AAAAATCGAAAGGGAGCTTACGTCAATAGATATAAACATTTCACCAAATTTTTATGAAAACTGCTGAAAGCATTTTTGAGTTATTGTCCGAAAACTGGAAAAATCCCCTGTTTTTAATGAATAAAACCCCATAACTCGGAAACTTAAAATCTAAAATTTATAAAAAATAAATGGGGAATGTGTCCATGGGACACAGATGATGCCCCCGCTTGCATTTAATGTTATAAAGAGACATAACTCAAAAACTGTACAAGTGAAGCTACCCAAATTTGTACTTGATCTGAGTTTTGTGGTAATAAGCATTGTGTATAAGTTTCATAACATTTGGTTGAGGCAAACTAAAGTTAGAGAACAGAAACGAAAAATTCAGCAATTTTTCCATTTGTAAAGGGCATAACTCTAGAACGGTTAAAGTGACGCCACCAAAATTCAAACTTGATATGTGTTTTGTGGTAATAAGCATTGTGTATAAGTTTCATAACATTTGGTTGAGGCTAACTTAATTTAGCAACCGGAAACGAAAAATTCAGCATTTTTTCTGTTTGTAAAGGGGTATAACTCTAGAACGGTCTAAGTGAAGTCACCAAAATTCAAACTTGATCTGTGTTTTGCGGTAATAAGCATTGTGTATAAGTTTAATAGCATTTGGTTGAGGCAAACTAAAGTTAGAGAACAGAAACGAAAAATTCAGCAATTTTTCCATTCGTAAAGAGGCATAACTCTAGAACAGTTAAAGTGATGCCACCAAAATTCAAACTTGATCTGTGTTTTGTGGTAAAAAGCATTGTGTATAAGTTTCATAACATTTGGCTGAGGCAAACTAAAGTTAGAGAACAGAAATGAAAAATTCAGCAATTTTTCCATTTGTAAAGAGGCATAACTCTAGAACAGTTAAAGTGATGCCACCAAAATTCAAACTTGATCTGTGTTTTGTGGTAAAAAGCATTGTGTATAAGTTTCATAACATTTGGCTGAGGCAAACTAAAGTTAGAGAACGGAAACCAATTTTGGGACGTACGTACGGACGGACAAGGGTAAACTTAATGCCCCTTTAAACAGGCGTATAAAAAAGGGGGAATTTCCAGTTTTCGGACAATAACTCAAAAATGCTTTCAGCAGTTTTCATGAAACTTTGGTGAATTGTTTATATCTATTGACGTAAGCTCCCTTTAGATTTTTATAAATTTTAGATTTTACATTTACGAGTTATGGGATTTTATTCCCAAAAAAGGATGAATTTCCAGTTTTTGAACAATAACTCAAAAGTGCTTTGAGCAGATTTCATGAAACTTTGGTGACTGCTTTATATCTATTAAATAAACCTCCCTTTAGTTTTTTTATAAAGTTCTGATAAGACATTGAGGAGTTATGGATCTTTATTCTTTGAAAAAGTGACTGGCGTATCATGCGCTCATGGCGCTGCTCTTTATCATTGTTTGTTCTTATGTTGTACTGTTACAACACTGTCCCAGGTTAGGGGGAGAGTTGAGCGCTCACATACATGGTTAACCCTGTCAAATTCTTTATGTGCCTGTCCTAAGTCAGGAGCCTGTAGTTCAGTGGTTGTCGTTGGTTCTTGTCTGCCATTTTTTTTAGTAAATTGTTTTGTTAAAAATTAGGCTGTTAGTTTTGTTGTTTGAATTGTTTCACATTTGTTGTCGGTTGCCTATAATTGCTTACATCCACTTCATTTGGACTATGGTGGATAATTGTCTCATTCGCAATCATACAACATCACCTTATTTCTATATTTTGCAGAATTTTTCTCCTTTTTTTTTCTTCAGTTGTTTACAATTTCTCTTTATCCACCAGTATTTTCTCGAAAACTGCAAAAATTGGTAAAAATAATCATTAAACCAAGCAATATCTTGTATAAAGAGTCGACCAAGTAATAACTCCTACAAAGAGTCGACCAAAGATTTCAGCAATATCGACTGATCTGTAGATCTTGTCTTGTGGCTCATTCTTGCTTTTATTGTGAACCAAATGTAAGTTTTCCACATTGTCATCTTCTCTTGGTCAAGGTATTTAAACTTTTGTCAGTTCACTTGTCCCATTGAATAAATACAATAGCTCTTGTTCACTTTGTAGTTTCTTCACTGGGACCTTTTAATTTCTTCTAAGAGAAATCCATTATTCATTGATTAATTTATCTGACCAAAAAACTTATCTTCTTAGTAGATGAAAATACATGTACCACTTCACAAAACTGCATGTGATGTTGTATTTATTCAATATCAATAATATATTTTCAATCTGTTCAATATAAACACTGATCTTATTATAAAAAGTTGATTTCTGACAAAAATTTTAGCATTGTTCCAATCAAATTTGCATTTTTTGTGTATGTGTAGTTATAGAAAACATTTTAGAAGGCCTTAAATTAAACATAGTCACTTTCCTTTTTTTATTTGTCAAAATCCCCCAAAAAAACAAAGTTTAATAGGTACATTATTGAAAATTTTGTCAGAAATCAACTTTTAATGTTTGAATCAGTGTTTATATTGAACAAATTGAAAATTTATTATTGATATTGAATAGATACAATATCACATGCAGTTTTGTGTGTCCTTATTTAGTATTGGTACATGCATTTTCATTATTGAAAGTTAAATTTTTTGTTCAGGTAAATTAATCAATGAGTGATGGATTTCTCTTTAAAGAACTTTAAAGGTCCCAGTGAATAGATTCTAAAGACAACAATAGCTATTGTATTTATTTGATGGGACAAAAGAACTTACAAAAGTTTAAATCGACAGGTTACCTTCAAGTGAATCTGTGGAAAAGTATTTCTTTCGCAATAACAGTTTATCTCTATCTAATGTTGTTTCAAAATAATAGGCAATAACTAAAACAAATCGTTAAAAATCATTATTTGAGGGCAATAACTCCTATAAAAAAACCAACTGACCATTTTGGCCATGTTGTCATATTTGTAAACCTTGTCTTGCTGATCATTAAGTAAGGCGTCGACTGATGATTTCAACCATGCTGACTTATTTGTAGATCTTCTCTTCCTTATAATTTTAGCTATATGAAGATTATATCTATCTATAACAGTTATCAAGATAATAGGCAAAAACGCAAAAAGAAATGGTGAAAATTGTCATTTAAAATAAGGAGTTGACTGGCAATTTGACCATGCTGACTTATTTGTAGATCTCGTCTTGCTGATCATTTGTACTATTAAAAGTTTCTCTCTATCTATTCTAATTTTCAAGACAATAGGCAATAAACTGTTGACACAGAGATATGTCTCACATTTTGTAATTTTGATAGTAAGATTCAAATGCTGAAATTAAAATGGCAATATTTAAACATGTAAACTATGCAAATGATTCAAAGTCAATGAACCATGACAGAAGGTGCAACGCCAAATAAACTCCATGGAAAAAGAAATGCCAATGCTTATAAAACTGCATACCAAATACCATTGACTTATCATAAGTCGTTCCCTTATAACAAACCTTACCACAAACTTTAACTTGTAAACTATTTAAAAATGTTCAAAGTCAATGAACCATGATGAAGGGATGGGGCCATATAATCTTCACCCAAATGAGACTTGCAAATGCCAATACATCTGCATACCTATCATTGACTTAATATTAGTGGTTCATCTTAAACTGTTCTAATCACAATTAAATTTTGACATGTAAACTATGCAAAACAACCAGAGTCAATAGACCATGACTGCAGGTTAGGGGCCAAATAATCTCAATGGAAATGAGATGTGCTAAGGCTGATTAATCAGCATACAGAATATCATTGATTTAACAATAATGGTTCCCCTTAAACTGACCTAATAACAAACTTATACATGTAAACTGAGCAAAAGTTTAAAGTCAATAGACCATGACTGTAGGGAAGGACCAAATAATCTCCATGGAAATGAGATGTGCTGATGCTAATACATCTGCATACAAAATATCATTTACCTACCAATAAAGTTTTCCTTTAAACTGACCTCATCACTAACTTATACATGTAAACTAAGCAAAAGTTCAAGGTCAATAGACCATGACAGAGGGGGTGGGACTAAATAATCTCCATGGAAATGACATGTGCCAATGCTTATACAACTGCATACCAAATATCATTGACTTACCACTAATGGTTCCCCTTAAACTGACCTAAACATAACCTTATCCATGTAAACTAAGCAAACGTTCAAAGTCAATAGACCTAATCACAAACTACTTCATTGTCGATGCTGCAGCTGTTGGAAAAAGCATGCTTGAGTCCTGCTTTTTCGACTTTGTCGACACGTGACAAAAATGGCAGAAATGGTTAAATTTCATCATTTGAGGGCAATAATTCCTTAAAGAAGTCGTCTGACAGTTTTGATTTAAATGAATAGTGGATAGATCTCAACAGTCTGACCATTTCTGCTCAGTAAGATTTTCTATAGCGGTTTTCCAGATAATAGACATAACTTTCATTTTACCACCATGTTCTATTTTTAGCCTTGTCGACCATATTGTATGGCAGACCTGGTCAACAGAGACAATTTATAAACTAGATACCACAATGATGATTGTGGCCAAGTTCGGTTCCAATTGGCCCAGTAGTTTCAGAGAAGATTTTTGTAGAAGTTAATGTAGGACAAAGATTTTTGTAAAAGTTAATGTAGGACAGAGGACAGTTGAGGGACGATGGAAGCCAAATGATGAGAATAACTCACTAAGCCCTTTAAGCCAGGAGAGCTAAAAAGGGTGATTTTTTATTTATTGAGAAATAATTTATCTTAATTGTATAATTAAAGTGGCAGTAATACTTGCTGGTTCATTGGCATAATGTCATTACCTAAAAAATGACCCTTTATTGATGGGTCCCACTAAGCTTTTAACTCTGGAAAATTTCAAGTGAAACCAGTAAAATTATGTTGTGGTCAATAACATTCCATTAAAATTTCATTCAATTTGGTTCAACTGTACACTCTTTAACATCTGGAAATCCCAAAATTAACTCTTTTTTTTTAAAGAAAATAAAGGACCATCACTATAGAACGCTTTATTCAAAATCAGCCAAAACCAATATAAATCTATATTTTGATTTATAATTCAATTCATTTAGTTCATTGGTACTTTCTGTGTCACCAAGAAAACAGAAAATGAACTATATTTAAAAATTAAATGGGCCATAACACAGAAACACTTTATGCGTAATTAACAAAAATAAAAAACTACAATTAGTCATCCATAACATTCAAGCAAGTTTGAATAAACTGGTCAAATGATTTTCTTTAAATCATTCATACTAGCAGACCAACCAACATTTAGTTTGACATGTGGACAACAGTATACCATTATTCATGTTATACATCAATCTCTGCATGGCCTATAGATATGATTTTACTGAGGTCATATAAAATATCTCAATTAAGCCTAGGCATTGGCTGTAAGTTCAAGAACGTGACTAACTTGGGTATCTCATTGACTTAAATTATTTGAAACTTTCATATTTATTCATATATTATGTAACTGCATAAATCCTATATATAAGTTGACAGTTAGGCTGTTTCAGCCGGAATCCACCACTTTTCATATAGTATCGTTTTTTTGTCTAATCCTTGTCCTATCAAAAGTTTTTCCATGTCAGTTATCATTGGTGATGGTCCACATATGTAAGTCTTTGTCTGATGTTCTTTCAACCAATTAAATGATTCTTTTATATCTTCTTTACCAATTCTTCCAGCTGAAATTATTTTCAGATCATAAATTTAAACCATTATCACCTACACTAAAAAAATTACATTGTGCATATGGTCCGAATACACAGTTATCGTCCTTTGATTTTCGTTGTCCACAAATATAGTCCCTAGTGTGGACAGTGTGCTACTTGCCAATTTTTTTTATACCCCTTCCAAATTTATTTCTCCATGTTTTATGCCTCAAATAGCAAGTAGGGGGATGAAATTACAATGTAATAAAATGCTTCGCAGGGCGCAGCTTGATACAACCGCAGAGGTCGAACTCTGAACAGTTGGGGCAAGTATGGACACAACATTCAAGCTTGATACAGCTCTGAATTTGGATTGTGATTAAATATTTGACAAAGCATAGGTTTCTGACACAGAATGAATGTGGTCTAAGAACTTAAAAATTTTAAATTGGACATTCACCTATTATGGTCCAATATCCAAAATCTAAATACATGGTTAGATTCAGCATATCAAAGAACCCCAAGAATTCAATTTTTGATGAAATCAAACAAAGTTTAATTTTGGACCCTTTTGACCTCAATGTGGACAAAGTTGATAATGGGTCCCAAAAATCAAAAATCTAAATACATGGTTAGATTCAGCATATCAAAGAACCCCATATATTCAATTTTTGTTGAAATCAAACAAAGTTTAATTTTGGACCCCGATTTGGACCAACTTGAAAACTGGGCCCATAATCAAAAATCTAAATACATGTTTAGATTCAGCATATCAAAGAATCCTAAGAATTCAATTTTTGTTAAAATCAAACTAAGTTTAATTTTGGACCCTTTGGACCTCAATGTGGACAAAGTTGATAATGGGTCCCAAAAATCAAAAATCTAAATACATGGTTAGATTCAGCATATCAAAGAACCCCATATATTCAATTTTTGTTGAAATCAAACAAAGTTTAATTTTGGACCCCGATTTGGACCAACTTGAAAACTGGGCCCATAATCAAAAATCTAAATACATGTTTAGATTCAGCATATCAAAGAACCCTAAGAATTCAATTTTTGTTAAAATCAAACTAAGTTTAATTTTGGACCCTTTGGACCTTAATGTAGACCAATTTGAAAACGGAACCAAAAATTAAGAATCTAAAAACACGGTTAGATTCAGCATATCAAAGAACCCCAATAATTCAATTTTTGATGAAATCAAACAAAGTTTAATTTTGGACCCTTTGGACCTCAATGTGGACCAATTTAAAAACGGGGCCCAAAATCCAAAAACTTAATACATGGTTAGAATCAGCATATTAAAGAACCCCAAGAATTCAAGAATAAAACCCCATTGAAATTGGTCAAGAAATAAGCAATTTATACGAAGTATCTTCTTTTGCACAATACTGAGCAATTGAATATTTTTTGCTATTGCGCAATACTGTACAGTTGACAATTTCTTGCTATTGCGCAATATTGTGCTATTGGATATTTCTTGTTATTGCACAATACTGTGCACTTGAAGATTTCTTGCTATTGCGCAATACTGTGCAATTGAAGATTTCTTGCTATTGTGCAATACTGTGCAATTGAAAATTTCTTGCTATTGCTCAATACTTATTATATAATAATTTACACATCCTGTTTGGTGTGTATCTCCTACCATATCATTATTATTTGCTTTTAAATATAAAACAGAAATAACCAACTTAAAATGGAAAATTTTAAAAGAAAAAAAAAAAGGAAAAAAAGAAAAAAAAGGAAAAAAAAAAAAATCCCCCCCCCCCAAATTTTGTGAACCCCCTTATCATTCATCACCCCCAAACTCAATCCCAGCCTTCCCTTTGTGGTATGGTACCTTGCAGTACAATTTCAGAGAGATCTATACACTTGAACACAAGTTATTGTCTGGAAACTAGAAAAATGCTTATTTTTGGCCCCTTTTTGGCACCTAATTCCTTAACGTTTTGGGCAATTACCCCCAAACTCAATTCCAGCTTTCCCTTTGTAATATGGAACCTTGAAGTACAATTTCAGAAAGATCCATACACTTACACACAAGTTATTATCATGAAACTAGAAAAATGCTTGTTTTTTGCCCCTTTTTTGGCCCCTAATTCCTAATATTGTGAGGCAATTACCCCCAAAATCAATCCCAGCATTCCCTGTGTGATATGGAACCTTGTGGTACAATATCAGAGAGATCCATACACTTGAACACAAGTTATTGTCTGGAAACTAGAAAAATGCTTATTTTTGGCCCCTTTTTGGCCCCTTATTCCTAAACGTTTTGGGCAATTACCCCCAAACTCAATTCCAGCTTTTCCTTTGTGAAATGGAACCTTGTAGTACAATTTCAGAAAGATCCATACACTTACACACAAGTTATTGTCATGAAACTAGAAAAATGCTTGTTTTTTTCCCCTTTTTTGGCCCCTAATTCCTAATATTTTGAGGCAATTATGCCCAAAATCAATCCCAGCATTCCCTGTGTGATATGGAACCTTGTGGTACAATGTCAGAGAGATCCATACACTAACACACAAGTTATGTCTGGAAGTTACAAAAATGCTTATTTTTGGCCCCTTTTTGGCCCCTAATTCCTTAACTGTTGGTACCATAACCCCCAAAATCAATCCCAACCTTCCTTTTGTGGTATTGAACCTTATGGTAAAATTTCATAGAGATCAATTCACTTAAACTAAAGTTAGAGTGTGAAAACCAATGTGTCTTCGGACGACGCCGGACGACGCCAGATGACGACAACGACGACGACGACGCCAACGTCATACCAATATACGACGGCAAAAATTTTTTGCGGTCGTATAAAAAAAATTGGGTCATGAATTTTAAAGTAAAGTAGTGATTTGGTCCAGCTGAAAAAGGTTAAAAATAAGCACTAAGGAAGCTGTCAAAAGATTTCAAGACCCCCTAAACATAAAATTGTCCATATTTTGAGTTAGAGCCGATGAAGTTTTCTATAATTTTGATATAATATGTCCCAAAAGTAGTACAACACACTGTAAAAATATTATTGAGAAAGCGCAGGTGGGATTTTTTTAATTTTCATTTATTGTCTAAAAGAAATGCACTACGAAATAACTGTGTACTCGGACCATATAGTTCGATGTACATAACTACATTACATCCCATTTTGCTGTAAGGAAATAAGGAGTGAGAGAACACAAGCTCTTTTATTTGTATGTTATATAGCTAAGTCATAAATTATAACTTTTTGAACAAACTTACAGCAAAAGGGGGAATAATTCATTAATTTTGTGTAGGTAATTTAGATGTTTGAGTAATGTACATTTATTGGCTGACTTGTAATGGTGAAGGAAATTAATTGACATCAACTTTACTGAACTAAATAGTAAATGATGCCTTAACAGTCTGCATAATTTAAGAAAAAGTTCAAAAGTCTCCAAGTAAAACTTACCCTTTAAACCATTACTAGACTCTGCCTGAGTCACAAAAAATTTACATTTGATCTCATCATTTGCAGATACTATCTTTTCTATTTGATTCTAAAATAAATATGAAAACAATTTTTTTTACATGTTCTATGAAGAAAACAATCAGACCTAAATCAAAATTTGATAAAAAAAAATACTGTACAATTATACTAGTGAAAATATAGCTTTGGTTATTTTAAAAATGTAAGGACAAGATCTCCAAAAAATCTGTTTTTCCCTTTCATTCTTGTCAGGAATTACTGTGTTAAATTTCGTAAGGTCTGGTCCACTAGTAACAAAGGTTAATGCATGAAAATAAGTGTGCTTATAGAATCAAGATAACAAGGGATCCCAATAAAAAACAATGGTTGTGGAATGAAAACTCAGTACAACAGGACGTCCTGGTCATAAATACATAATATCATATACAAATCTTCCAGAAGATACATTTTACCATCAAAGAAAAGTAACAATGACAAAGTGAGTTCTAATTGGCTTGCCAATTCTGGTTTCAAACAGGCATAATTTTGGATGCACTAAAACAATAAAAATAATGATATTTGCACAACTGACTTGTTTTTCTACAAGCTAAAGAAATTAATTCAAATCAACAAGCTAATTCTTTATAACCCAAACGTTGTTAAACACAGGAGGTATATAAACTGGGCTTTTTGAGAAAGACTATGGCCATTGATAATTTCTGTAAATAAAACTTTTCAAGCTTTACTCTGCAAGTCATGATTTTATAGGGTTGAAAAACTTACTGTTGAATAGCATTAAATTTTGACATAATGTAAAGATACCTGACTTTTGTTGAAGAATGTATGTTGACCTCTAGATGTCTTTTGGTTTTTAATTTTGTTGGGTTGCTGAACTTGCTTTGTCATTTACGTTGTATACCCCATATTCAAATTAATACAACTTAATGAAATAAAATTTTGATGGAATTGAAAATTAATACTTCATTTCATCTAAAGACTTTTATGAAATTAAATTAATAAATCCATGAACATTTATTAACCATTCAGTGCTATCTTAATTTAATCCAGATTGTAACGATTATTGTAACAGATATTATTTTCAACATTGTTCAGGAGAAACAACTGCTACAGGTAACATGACTTTATATATCCTTGATTTCCAACAGAGTAATTTAGGTTTCAACAACTATTTTTTTTAAAACAGCTCTTCATTAAACATAGAATAGATCTCTTGCAAGAAAATTGGCAAACACATTATGGTTTTCAGTTTTAAAGATAATCATTAATGTATAAGTACAAAACAATTCTAAAGTGAAATCTTTCTTTTCAATATGTTCTACAGTTGAGCTAATTTATTGATTATATATATAGATTCTACTAATGCATTAAGTGCGATACGATATTTCTTCACTCAAATTGTTATCTGCAAAAGGATGTGTTTTAAATATCTTTAAATTAAATTGTTGAGAGTGGAGAAATGATGTAATGCACAAGATTCAGTGGTAAAATCTGTTTCTTTAATGATTTTAAGATGATATGTAAAAAATCTTATCGTTCTTTTTCAATGATCTGCATAAAGATGTGTTCTTTCTATGTGACAGTCTGACGTCATCAGGCATGGTTTTCTTTTTATCTTGATGTCATAAAAAGCAAATTCAGAGGAAAGCAAGAAAATGTGAGCTGACAATTGAATTTTGATCAATGAAGAACTTAGATCAAAGGAACCACATGTTGATATATAAAAATAATCAATCAAAAAGTATAAATTTTGCGAAGAATTAGAGAAATATATATATATTTTATTCTTAACTGATTTTAACTTTTCTAGACCAGTTGATTATCATTTTTTATTATCAAGGTTTATTTCAATTGTTCTCAGTTCTTCAATTATTAATTATGTCCTTGCCTTCATGTGACATCACAAAAAAAGTGTCCATGCCTGATGAAATCACATTTTAGAATAATCATTGAAAAGGGATGTAAAAGTTTGCTTACAAATCATCTAAATCTTAACAGAAATAGACTGCACCAAAGCATCTTGTACAGTGCAATCTTTATAATCTAAACAATTAAATTTCAAATATTTAAAACAAAGGTGTTATTCAAAACAATTAAATCTTTTGCAATACATACCTTGCAAATAAGTTCATCTTGTTTAGCGGCACTGTACAACAATAAAACTTTCTGTGGTATCAATTTGTCGCCTTCAAGATTTCCTTTTTTCTTTAAGGTTATTAAATCTCTGACATGGTACAATATACTTAATAGAGGGTTGATACCAATGCCACCAGCAATCAACAAGAGATCATGGGGTGGCTCTGAGACACCAGGGTCATAGTAAATATCTCCACCAACTCTTATATATACTTTGGTTCCTTCATTACACTGAAATAAGTACAATGTAGTATATATATACTAATGCACAACGAGTGCATGATAAGCATGTCCTGATTATTATAAAATATTGATACATATTTGAAAAATATCAATTTTTTCTAAAAGTAAAATCAAATATTACTACATAATACCTGAAGAGGGATATGCATTTGTTAAATATCTGAGTTGAAAAATTCAGGAAGTGAGTAGTAATTTTCCCAAAAGTGAAAATCAACAGACAAATGCTTAAGTTACAACTCTATAGATATTACCTTACATGTTCACCCTTCATTTTGAATATTGACATGATGTGTCACATCTACATGAGAAGTATTGGGAATAATATTTCAATATATGTAGACGAAGTGGCTATCACGGCTACATCTAGATGGACTGACAGACAAAGTGCAATCTTAAAGTTCCCTTTGGCTTTGCTGTTTAGGTATTAAAAAAGTAAACATGCCCTCACATCATCATTTTTTTATAAATCGGTAAAGTTTGAGGTAATTTGCAAAATTCTTATTTGAGTTATAATAGTGCCTGACATGTTAAAGATTGTTATGTTTTTTTTTCAGATTAAAGTCCCATAACTCAGGAAAAAATTGAAAATTGGTAAAAAATATACAGACTCTCAGACCATGAAACTTCCTTTGTTGATGGGTGTTTAAAAATGAACTTAGAATTAATTGTGTGAGTTCATCAAAACAGCAAGCAATAAAGACTAACTGCATTCACATTATGTAAAGATTTGGAATCACGCTGTTCCTACCACTCTCCAAAAATCCATTCAAACATTTGCAACATTCAGTTGCATTTCTTATAAACATAAGTACACTTATAAGTGCAAAACACTTGTGCCAAGGTTTGTTTCTCTCCTAGATACAATGTTGAAATTGAAGTGTGAATTACCTTTGTATGTACCCATAATGCTGGTGGGTGTGTACTGTACTTAACAGCTAAATCAATAGTGCCCTCTCTCTGTAACTGTTCTGGTGATGAATACATAGAAAAACCACCAACAATGTCAACTTCAGGCATAAACATATCAACCCTGTAATTCAAATAACAATTTTACGTTAACAAATGATATGCTGCTCACATATGAAAGGACACAAGTTAATTTGCTATTGCCCATTATTTTATACCTTTGATGGTTGCATGATTTAAAAAAAAATCTCTTGTGAGTGAAATTTAAATGTATATTTTTTTGCATTTACAGTAGATTAAGTAATATAAACCATTATATCTTATTTTAGAAAATTCTCTACATCATAACTGCTAAACACAAACTCAATAATGATGAAACCAAAGCAGTAAAGCTTAGGAAATTAAAAAGTGTAAGATTGAATAAATGAACAATTTAACTTTTTTTAATTTCATTTTAATTTTTGCTATCTTTTACTTTTCTACCCTTTAAACAAGTATTCCCCATTCCAAACTAAAAGACAAATAGAAAGAATCGTCCTGCTTTGTTTCATAAAAAAGAATGGCCAAGGTAGATTTCCAGAGTTCCAAGTGATGAATTTGAAGTCATCAGTTCGAAATTTTTACAAACACCATCACGATTTGATTGACCGTTATGGAATATCTGTTTTACAGATGAAGAAGGATATGTTTCAATTGTCGTAACCACAATAATTTCCTCTTTTCCTTGGATGTGACCTACTGAATTAGACTAAACCCGGATTTGTACTCACATAAGCAACACAACAGGTGCCACATGTGGAGCAGAATCTGCTTACCCTTCTGGAGCACCTGAGATCACCCACGGTTTTTTGGTGGGGTTAATGATGATCAGTTTTTAGTTTTCTATATTGTGTCTTGTAGTTTGTCATTTTTCTTTTTTGCCATAGCATTGTCAGTTCGTTTTCAACTTATGAGTTTGACAACCCTTTTGGTTTCTTCAGTCTCTCTTATATTAAACTTAAGAAAGTAAAAATAAAAATACACATTTCACATTATTTTAAGGGTACAGATATATAATCACGTTAGAGTTTTCAAGAAACTTGACAGTAAAACTATTAGCACCATTAATGCATAAAGGAAACTACATTCTTTAAGCTGAATTGATGACCTCCATTACATACTATGGATTCATTATTTTCATTTGGTACAATTTTCATGGATTTTATAGGAATAGATGAACCCTGAACTTAAATATCTAATTATAAGTTTGCTATATGCTTGTATGCAAACTTTGGCAAAACATAAAAAAAAAAACAGTATCCCCGAAATTACAATTTTTTCTTTAAACCACAAAAATTGGTTCCCACAGAAATAAATTAATCCACAGTATACACTTCAAACAAGAGGCTCTCAAGAGCCTGAATCGCTCACCTGTAATTTTTTACTTAAATCTTTCATCAATGATTATTTTTGCTTTTCAATATATATTAATGAATGGCTTAAAACTTCCATTGATTTCTTCAAAATCAATGAAATGCATTTTACCCCTATGTTTCATTTTAGCCATAGTGGCTTTCTTTCTTGACGTACAAGAAAATAAAATACAAAATTTATACTAGATACTCTGAAACTCATTCAGCCTAAGTTTGGCTGAAATTGATTCATCAGTTTAAAAGGAGAAGATTTTTTAAAGTAAGCAAACTAAATGAACAAATTGTGAAAAATTGATTTTAAAGGGCAATAACTCCTTAAGGGGACAATTGACAATTTTGGTCATCTTATTTGTAGATCTTAATTTGCTGAACATTTTTGCTGTTTACAGTTTATCGTTATCATTAATAATATTCAAGATAATAACCAAAATCTGTAAAAAATTTCCTTAAAATTACCAATTAAGTGGCAGCAATCCAACAATGGGTTGTTAGATTCATCTGAAATTTTAGGGCTGACAGAGCTTGGCCTAATAAACATTTTTACCTCTCATCAGATTAGCTCTTAATGCTTTGGTTTTTGAGATATAAGCTAAAAATTGCATTTTACCCCTACATTCTATTTTTAGCCATGGCGGCCATGTTTTTTTACGAAACAGATAAAACACAAACTTTATTCTAGATACCCTTAGAATCATTCAGCTTAAGTTTGGTTGGAATTGGTTCAGTAGTTTCAGAGAAGATTTTTTAAAGTTAGAAAACATGATAAACAAATTGTGTAAAATTGTCCTTAAAGGGCAATAACTCCTTTAAGGGGACAATTGACAATTTTGATCATATGAACTTATTTGTAGATCTTACCTTGCTGAACATTTTTGCTGTTCACAGTTTATCTTTATCATTAATGATATTCAAGATAATAACCAAAAACTGCAAAATTTCCTTAAAATTACCAATTTAGTGGCAGCAACCCAACAATGGGTTATCAGATTCAACTGAAAATTTCAGGGCTTATAGAACTTCACCTAATGAACACTTTAACCCCATGTCAGATTTGCTCTAAATGCTTTTGTTTTTGAGATATAAGCCAAAAACTGCATTTTACCTCTATGTTCTATTTTTAGCCATGGCGGCCATGTTATTTGACGAAACAGTATATAAAACACAAACTTTATTCTAGATACCCTAAGCATCATTCAGCTTAAGTTTGTTTGGAATTGGTTCAGTAATTTCAGAGGAGAAGATGTTTGAAATAGTTTACACCAGACGGACGACGATGACAGACGACGACGGACGCCAAGTGAAGGCAAAAGCTAAAAACATATGTTAATATCTACTGGGTTATTTTAACTAAATAGCTTTCAACAATATTTTGTATGGGCACTGAAACAATTATTTGGCATTTTGAATAGGCACCAACCTCTTACAATATAGAGCAGGTCAGCAAAACAAGAGGCTCTCAAGAGCCTGAATCGCTCGCCTGTATTTCAGAGGAGAAGATTTTTAAATGTTAGCAAACTTGATGAACAAATAGTGTAAAATTGTCTTTAAAGGGCAATAACTCCTTAAGGGGTCAATTGACAATTTTGGTCATATTAACTTTTTTGTAGATCTTACTTTGCTGAACATTATTGCTGCTTACAGTTTATATATATATCTATAATAACATTCAAAATAATAACAAAAAATAGCAAAATTTTGTTAAAACTACCAATTCGGTGGCAGCAACCCAACAATGGGTAGTTCGATTCGTCTGATAATTTCAGGGCCGATAGATCTTGACCAATTAAACAATTTTACCCCATGTCACATTTGCTCTAAAAGATTTAGTTTTTGAGATATAAGCCAAAAACTGCATTTGACCCTTATGTTCTATTTTAAGCCATGGCGGCCATGTTTGTCGATGGATACAAATTTCGGATACAATTTATAAACAAGATACCCTAAGGAACATTTAGTTAAAGTTTGAAGGTAATTGGCCCAGTAGTTTCAGAGGAGAAGATTTTTAAATGTTGGCAAACTTGATGAACAAATTGTTTAAAATTGTTTTTAAAGGGCAATAACTCCTTAAGGGGTCAATTGACAATTATGGTCATATTAACTTTTTTGTAGATCTTACTTTGCTGAACATTATTGCTTCTTACAGTTTATATATATCTATAATAATATTCAAAATAATAACAAAAAACTGCAAAATTTTGTTAAAACTACCAATTCAGTGGCAGCAACCCAACAATGGGTTGTTCGATTCGTCTGAAAATTTCAGAGCTGATAGATCTTGACCAATTGAACAATTTAAACCCATGTCAGATTTGCTCTAAAAGCTTTAGTTTTTGAGATATAAGCCAAAAACTGCATTTGACCCCTATGTTCTATTTTTAGCCATGGCGGCCATGTTTGTCGATGGATCAAAACTTCGGATACAATTTATAAACTAGATACCCTAAGGAACATTTAGTTAAAGTTTGAAGGTATTTGGCCTAGTAGTTTCAGAGGAGAAGATTTTTGAAATAGTTTACGACAACAGACGACGGACGCCAAGTGATGGCATAAGCTCACATGGGGCCCTTTGGGCCCCGGTGAGCTAAAAAACTAAAAAAAAACGGACAACCAATGTATTAACTCTAAGGGATTAAAAATTGAAACTTTAAAGTAAATTTCCAATTGACACCATGCCTCCCCTCACATTATCATATTTCAAAGTTCTGTGAACTGTGAAATCTGGGTCAAAACCCTAAATTGGCATAATTTAAAAAGTGCATATCATTATAAAATTGTGTACCAAGTTTTAAGTTGATGTGACCAAAACTTAATATTAAACAACCTTCAAAGATAAATCCGATATACCTTAATTCTTATATGGTCTATTAAATCAAAAACTAAGTTTAAGAATGTAAAAAGAGTTGACAATAATAAATTTTTAATTAAAGAACCTTAGTGAGTGCGCTCACATACCCCACGTCCCAAAATTGTCACTGGAGAAATAAAATAACTGTAAGAAAAAAAAATTGTATAAGAAAAAAAAATTGAATCATAATTTCCTGTCGATATGCACATCTACATAGTATGTCCTTATTATCTACAAAGTTTCATGAAATTCTGTTGTGTGGTTTCAGAGGAGTTGCGATGACAAACTGTTGCAGAGGTATATTGAAGCAAATAAGTTCAAAGGGGCGTAACTCCTAGAAAAAAAATTGAATCCTAATATCCTGTCGATATGCACATCTACGTAGTATGTCCTTATTATCTGAAAAGGTTTCATGAAATTCTATTGTGTGGTTTGAGAGATTTGCGATGACAAAAGGTTAACGTAGTATATTGGGCAAATAAGTTCAATGGGGCGTAACTCCTGGAAAAAAAATTGAATCGTAATTTCCTGTCGATATGCACATCTACGTAGTATGTCCTTATTATCTACTAAGTTTCATGAAATTTTGTTGTGTGGTTTCAGAGGAGTTGAGATGACAAACTGTTGCAGTAGTACTAGTACATTAAAGTAAATAAGTTCAAAGGGGCGTAACTCCTGGAAAAAAAATTGAATCATAATTTCCTGTCGATATGCACATCTACGTAGTATGTCCTTATTATCTACAAAGTTTCATGAAATTCTGTTGTGTGGTTTCAGAGGAGTAGCAATGACAAACTGTTGCAGAGGTATATTGAAGCAAATAAGTTCAAAGGGGCGTAACTCCTAGAAAAAAAATTGAATCGTAATTTCCTGTCGATATGCACATCTACGTAGTATGTCCTTATTATCTGAAAAGGTTTCATGAAATTCTATTGTGTGGTTTGAGAGGAGTTGCGATGACAAAAGGTTGCAGTAGTATATTGGGCAAATAAGTTCAAAGGGGCGTAACTCCTGGAAAAAAAATTGAATCGTAATTTCCTGTCGATATGCACATCTACGTAGTATGTCCTTATTATCTACAAAGTTTCATGAAATTTTGTTGTGTGGTTTCAGAGGAGTTGAGATGACAAACTGTTGCAGTAGTACATTAAAGTAAATAAGTTCAAAGGGGCGTAACTCCTAGAAAAAAAATTGAATCGTAATTTCCTGTCGATATGCACAACTACATAGTATGTCCTTATTATCTAAAAAGGTTCGTGAAATTCTGTTGTGTGGTTTGAGAGGAGTTGCGATGACAAGAAACAGGACTGACGGACGGACGGACAGACGGACGGACGGACAGACGGACAGACAGACGGACAGACAGACGGGTCAAAAACATTATACCCTCCGCAACTCGTTGCGTGGGGTATAATTAATTCCCCAATAAACCAAATTAAATGATTTAGAGTTCAACATGTGGTAAAGACACTTGTCTATTGTTAAAGGGGCATTAGCTGTCAAATTCATGTTCACCTATTTGACTCAAATTCTCATATTTGATTTATAACATACTAAAACATATATCCAAGTTATAATAAAATGCTCCGCTGGGGTGCAGCTTGATACGACCGCAGAGGTCGAACCCTGAACAGTTGGGCCAAGTATGGACACAACATTCAAGCTTGATACAGCACTGAATTTGGATTGTAATTAAATATTTGACACAGCATAGGTTTCTGACACAGAATGAAATTGGTCTAAGAACTTAAAAAATTTTAATTTACCTATTCAAACCATATCATTATTATTTGTTTTTATATATAAATCAGAAATAACCAATTCAAAATGGAAAATTTTAAAGAAAATAAAGGAAACCCCCCCCCCCCAAATTTTTTGAACCCCCTTATGATTCATCACCCCAAAACTCAATCCCAGCCTTCCCTTTGTGGTATGGTACCTTGCAGTACAATTTCAGAGAGATCCATACACTTCAACACAAGTTATTGTCTGGAAACTAGAAAAATGCTTGTTTTTTGGCCCCTTTTTGGCCCCAAATTCCTAAAAGTTCAGAGCAATTACCCCCAAACTCAAACCCAGCTTTCCCTTTGTGATATGGAACCTTGCAGTACAATTTCATAAAGATCCATACACTTACACACAAGTTATTGTCCTGAAACTAGAAAAATGCTTGTTTTTTTGCCCTTTTATGGCCCCTAATTACTAAAATTTTGAGGGAACTACCCCCAAAATCAATCCCAGCCTTTCCTTTGTGGTATGGTACCTTGCAGTACAATTTCAGAGAGATCCATACACTTGAACACAAGTTATTGTCTGGAAACTAGAAAAATGCTTATTTTTGGCCCCTTGTTGGCCCCTTATTCCTAAACTTTTTGGGCAATTACCCCCAAACTCAATTCCAGCTTTCCCTTTGTGATATGGAACCTTATAGTACAATTTCATAAAGATCCATACACTTACACACATGTTATACTTATTGTCATGAAACTAGAAAAATGCTTGTTTTTGCCCCTTTTTGGCCCCTAATTCCTAAAATTTGGAGGCAATTACCCCCAAAAACAATCCCAGCATTCCCTTTGTGATATGGAACCTTGTGATACAATGTCAGAGAGATCCATAGACCTACACACAAGTTATTGTCATGAAACTAGAAAAATGCTTGTTTTTGGCCCCTTTTTGGCCCCTAATTCCTAAAATTTGGAGGCAATTACCCCCAAAATCAAATCCCAGCATTCCCTTTGTGATATGGAACCTTGTGGTACAATGTCAGAGAGATCCATACACTTACACACAAGTTATGTCTGGAAGTTAAAAAAATGCTTATTTTTGGCCCCTAATTCCTTAACTGTTGGTACCATAACCCCCAAAATCAATCCCCACCTTCCTTTTGTGGTATTGAACCTTATGGTAAAATTTCATTGAGATCCATTCACTTAAACTAAAGTTAGAGTGCGAAAACTAATGTGTCTTCGGACGATGACGACGACGCCAACGTCATACCAATATACGACCACAAAAATTTTTTTGCAGTCGTATAAAAAGTCTAAAATAAACAATTTGCAATACATGGGCTCGATAATATGTATCAGCATTTCGTGTGCATTTTAGTCTAGACACATCTAGTCAACCAACAAGGTGACCTCCAAAGACTGCCGACGGTCATATAACCCGAAGTAAACATAATTATAGATATAAATAGATAGCAAACTTGTGCAATTGGATTTTTCTAGGTCTGTTTGATTTCATATTATAGGTTACAAATATAAGTTAATCATCGTGTTTACCTGTATAAGAATGATTTTCTGTGGAACGAATCAGTCAATCAAATGGTTTACCCTTGGAATTGTTTCACTTTTAATGTTGACATTCTTTTCCTTTTAATAACTGAACACGCCTAATTCAAGCATAACCCCCCACTCTAGCTAAGGGGTTAAAAAGAAGTCCACATGAATACAGATTCAATGAGGTTGAATAATTCATCAGGGATGTCTCTTTGCTTATTTTGATAAAATGGAACCAAACTTGCTGCTAAAAGCAAATTATTATTTCACTATTTCACTTTCATTAAAGATTGAACAAAAAAAAAATCATACTTTATTTTTTTTATATCTCATAGCTAATGCCCCTTTAAAGACAGTATGTTTCCTTCTATGTGTCATTTCCAGTTTTATTGTTTATGGGTTGTTGTCTCATTAATATACACTAATGGCCTCTTTTACTTCATTTTTAACCTTACCACTGTCCTGCCTTGAATATTAGCCTTTCATCATGAATTTTTAACCTCAGACTTTTTACTGTTGTTGACTCTTGTCTCAGTCCTATGACCGTTGCCAAGGAGGTTATCTGCAAAGAACAATAATGATGTTCAGACTAATGTTCATTTAAAGGTCTACAAATTACATGTAGTTTGTGGTCTATTATATTTTTTTAGTTGTATTCAGGGGTATAAAACCCCCCAAAAAAAACATGATTACTTCCATTCCTACATCGGTTGTCTCTCTTGAAATCTTTATATTGAAATGGGACTCTGCTTATTGTTGAATACCATGTAGTAATTTGTAGATTGTTACATTCTGGTATTTTTGGTTGTTGTGGATTAAATTAATGTATTATGTCACATCGCCTTTTTTGTCTTAAAATTAAATGCATAATAAAATGCTTCCCTGGGCGCAGCTTGATACGACCGCAGAGGTCGAACCCTGAACAGTTGGGGCAAGTATGGACACAACATTCAAGCTTGATACAGCTCTGAATTTGGATTGTGATTAAATATTTGACACAGCATAGGTTTCTGACACAGAAAGAATGTGGTCTAAGAACTTGAATTTTTTTAATTTAACTATTATGGTCCAATGTCCAAAATCAAAATACATGGTTAGATTCAGCATATCAAAGAACCCCATATATTCAATTTTTGTTGAAATCAAACAAAATTTAATTTTGGACCCCAACTTGGACAAACTTGAAAACTGGGCCCATAATCAAAAATCTAAACACATGTTTAGATTCAGCATATCAAAGAACCCCAAGAATTCAATTTTTGTTAAAATCAAACTAAGTTTAATTTTGGACCCTTTGGACCTTAATGTAGACCAATTTAAAAAACAGGACCCAAAATTAAAAATCTAAATACACGTTTAGATTTGGCATATCAAAGAACCCCAATAATTCAATTTTTGATAAAATCAAACAAAGTTTAATTTTGGACCCTTTTGACCTCAATATGAACCAATTTGATAGCGGGGCCCACAAATAAAAAAATTAAATACATGGTTAGATTCAGCATATCAAAGAACCCCATATATTCAATTTTTGTTGAAATCAAACAAAGTTTAATTTTGGACCCCAACTTGGACCAACTTGAAAACTGGGCCCATAATCAAAAATCTAAACACATGTTTAGATTCAGCATATCAAAGAACCCCAAGAATTCAATTTTTGTTAAAATCAAACAAAGACCCTTTGGACCTTAATGTAGACCAATTTGAAAACTGGACCCAAAATTAAAAATCTAAATGCACGGTTAGATTCGGCCTAACAAATAAATAAATGTGGTCAAAGATTTTACAAATCTAATGCGCCATACTGTGCAATTTAAGATTACTTCTTGAAATTTTTCCCCCAAAAAATTCTTTCCCTCAAGATATGGTCAAAATCTCAATTCAAATTTCCAATGGAGTTGGCAACCATAATTACCCATATAAATTTACCATAGTGCTAACTTAATCTATTTTATAATAGAATTTAAAATATAGTGTCAAATCTTTCATATGGATTTTTTTGTAAAAAAAAAAGATGCAACATTTGGAGATATTTTTACTGGTCTTCCTTTTTAAATATGCATTTCTTTAAACATAATTTAAAAGCAGTGTAAGGGAAGTAACCAAAACGTTGTATTTGGATTACCTCCCTTACACTGTTTTAAATTATCTTAATTGTTCATTAACCATTACTTTATACATAATTTAAAAGCAGTGTAAGGGAGGTAATTTCAATGATGTATTTGATTTATCTCCCTTACACTGCTTTAAATTATGTTTTGTACTAAAGTATTTGTCCATTAACCAGAACAACCTTGTTTTCCCCCTTTTTTGCCCCTAATTCCTAAACCGTTTGAGCCATAACCCCACAAAGCAAATCCTAACCATCCCTTTGTGGTATGGAAACTTGTAGTATAATTTCAGAGATTCATACACCGTTCCACAGTTATTGTCTGGAAACTAGAAAATGCTTATTTTTTGCCCCTTTTTGGCCCCTAATTCCTTAACTGTTGGTACCATAACCCCCAAAATCAATCACAACCTTCCTTTTGTGGTATTTAACCTTATGGTAAAATTTCAAAGAGATCCATTCACTTAAACTAAAGTTAGAGTGCGAAAACCAATGTGTCTTCAGACGACGACGCCGGACGACGACAACAAAATTTTTTGCGGTCGTATAAAAATCTGATAATTAATAAAAACTTCATCAAAACTAGTTAAATATTTGTTGGTACATTTTTGTTTTTGGGAGAGGGACCCAAAGCTTTGAGTTTCTTTCAAACAAGAGAATGACTAGAATAAAACAAAACAATCCTTCTTTTTGTGTCATTTAAGGAACATTATGTTAAAAATAATTGGAGTTGTTTAGTTAACACAAATGTAATAAAAATATCAATACATGCATCATAATGCAACCATTTAGTACTGCTGTCATATAAATAAAAAACAAAGCATTTCCAAAAGGAAAAATGGAATAGGAATAGATTATCTGGTCGCCTCATTACTTTATAAACTGTAAAGTCATAATAAAGAACCAATGAGCACAAACTATCAAATACCAAATGGAACATCTATATGCTGATAAGAGAACACTAAGTTATACACCAAAGATGCCTCTAGAATTGTCATTTGATTGATCATGGAACAGAAGTTTACATTATTTCTTCCACTTTCTGCAGTTCTCTCCAAATGGTTGCTCACATCTGTCATTTTTCTTCCAAAATTTCTGAAAAAAATTAATCAGAAAATATATTAGGCATCTTGCAATTGTAAATGTATAGATTGATCTCTTAGATTGGATTCACCCTCCATGTGTTCATTGTACGTGTGAACAACTCCTAGGGTATGGGGTGAGGTTTTTTTTTGCAATTGCATCTAAATCTAAACATGTATAAATTCAGAATCATGAAAGCATCATCTCTCCTTTTACAGAAATGACTATTTTTGCTAGGTGTGTAAAAGACTCAAATCTCAAATTAATTATTCCAAAGATATAGTCATCATTGTCATGATCATCCCATAAATGTCTTAGTTCAACAAAATGAAAATCTGAACTTCAAGTTACAAAAATACAAACCAATAAAATAAACCTGCAGTGATCAGATCATATACAATTATGGCCCGTTGAAAAGGTGAATATCCAAAATTGTCAACACGAGAAGGTTATTTCACTGAGGGTGCAGCCCGAAGTGAAATAACTTTTAAGGGTTGACAATTTGGAATATTCATCGCTTCTAAGGGGCCACAATTGTTTTATTATACCGAACTAACAGTGGAAGGGCATTTTGAATCATTGTAAAAGCACTTACCCTTACTTGAGTCAGTAACTAATACAAGTTGACTTTCAAAAATACATGTAATTTGTGTCTTAGAATTCTCGTATGTACAACAAAGGTAGATTCTTTTTGTAAAATATTGATGGCCCTGAAAAGGACCGTTTTAGAGATATCATCGGCACAAGATGCATGTCAAAAGCCTTATTTCCTCTTCTCTCGATCAATGGGCTTCCTGTAACTTGAACGTTGCCATTTTGTTTATTTACGTCTGTGACGTCATTTTCATGAGTTCAAATCAACAAACTAAAAAGGTTATTCGCCGGTGAATAATAGGGTTATTCAACGCTGGTGTAAATTTTTAGGGTTATTCGTTCTTCCTTGCAATTGAATGAAAATTAACTGAATTATTCCATGTCACGTGATAACGTTTTACCCAATAGAATTGTTTGAAATATATGTAAGGTATAATAATATTACTTATTGCATGACCTGTAGAAGATTAGACCATGGTATTGCTTGAAATCAACCTCATTCTTAGCATTGATGGTTCCTAAAGAAGTTTTAAGAGTTTTAAAACTTGACAGCATTCTTGTTCTACCAGCAATTAACTCTTCCTTTGGAGTAAGTTCCATTTTCAAGGAGGTCATGTGATAGTTTTGGACCTGTTAATATAACTGTTGCTACGTGATGAAATTTATCAATTTATTGGCCCTGTTATAGATTTGAGCTTAGCTGTATTTGCCCTGAGACTGCGCAATACTGTGCAATTGAAGATTTCTTGCTAATACGCAATACTGTGCAATTGAAGATTTCTTGCTATTGCCCAATACTCATTATACTGTGGTATTGTATAATACTGTGCTATTGCGCAATACTGTGCAATTGAAGATTTCATGCTACTGCGCAATATTGGCAATTGAAGATTTCTTACTATTGCGCAATACTGTGCAATTGAAGATTTCATGCTACTGCGCAATATTGGCAATTGAAGATTTCTTACTATTGCGCAATACTGTGCAATTGAAGATTTCTTGCTATTGTGCAATACTGTGCAATTGAAGATTTCTTGCTATTGCACAATACCCAATTTATGGAACCTTGTAGTACAATTTTAGGGAGATCCATACACTTAAACACAAGTTATTGTCTGGAAACTAGAAAAACGCTTGTTTTTGGCCCCTTTTTGGTCACAATAGAAAATGTCAAACACCACAGAGGAAAAAAGCTTGTTATATGATATCACTAGTTCAAGTGTCGCAGATTCTCAGGTCAAGTGTCGCAGACATCCAAATAGCGATAAGATCTATTTTTGGAAAATTTTAGTAAGATTCTGTTGACCTATAGAGATGACTTTTATAGGCCCTAAAGCAATTTTGCTAGCCTGAGCTGCTGGGCCTATGGCTTAGGGTGAAGACTGGTTAGAGTGCGGAAACTGAAATGGGACAGACCGACAGACAGACGGAGAGACAGACGAAAGGATGGTTAAGGGTAACACTCAATGCCGCTGTTGCGTATGGTGGTGGTTAGGGGGGGGGGGGACAAAAACAACTCGACATTGGTTTATAAGTTTCATAACATTTGGTTAGAGTGCAGAAACAGCAAATTTCGCAATTTTCCATTTATAATTATAAAGGGAATAGTGTGCCACCCAAATTCGAACTCAATTTGTGTTTGGTTCATTTTTGTATTCTTCAACATATTGAAGTTCAGATGTATTATGTAGATGTAATAACTATAAGCATTGTATGTATACGTTTCATAACTTCTTCTTCTTCCTTGCTATGGACTGGATTCCTATTAGAATGTTATAAGTCTACTAGACAGAGAATGAGACAGCAATTCTCCTGTAACTATTTACAGATAAAATGTTCCGAAATATATACAATTAAAACTATGTACACTTGGCTGCTGTGTATGGTGTTGATTTCTGAGGTGCACTATTGTTGGATAGTGCACTCTGGAACCCCTCTATTGTTAGAGCTTCTGTTGTAGCTGTTGGGAGGTGGTTCTACTCTTGTATAGTCCGAGGGAAGTATGAGTACTTATATACTCTGTGGTTTGCTGGTGGTTGGTATAGACGTTGTTTGCCTCTAGCATGTCTAGTACATCCATCGTTTGGTCGTAAGATGGAACTGGCATCAATGTCCACTAGCTCATGCTGGATCTTGTAAAGCATAACGAGTCGATGGTTTACTTCGTTTGTTAGCTAGTGGTTCCCATCCTAGTATCTTGATCATAGTTGTAACACATCCTGGTGTTTTGTTAGTGTAGTTATTTGTTACAAACCTAGCGGCCCTCCTTTGTACTTGTTCTAGTTGATTTATGTCCTCAGTGGTATGAGGGTCCCATGCTGCACTTGCATATTCTAGAGTTGGTCTGACCAGAGAGATATAGGATGCATATTTTACTTTCTTACTGCATTCTCTTATGTTACGTCTAAGGAATCCGATGGATTTGAATGCTTTTTTGGCAGTGACGTCTACATGATGTTTCCATTGTAAGTCCTCGCTGAAATTAACTCCTAGATATTTGCTGGTTGGTACAGTTTCGAGATTGTGGCCATGTAATTTTTACATCTAGAAATTGACAATGAGGGTCGGTTGAAAACACAACTTTACGACAAAAGAGATGATTTCAGCTTCCCAATTGTGAACTTTCCATTTCTATGTAGCAACATTCCAGCAGCACCTGCATACGGAGTATATATCTTCCAATTGATATGATATTCCTGGGCTTGTATTTCCTATCATGATTTCCTTGATAGAGGATTGCTGCTCACAAGGAAGCTATTAAAGCAGGAGTTCCAAATGGTGAAGTTGAAATCATCCCTTCGTAAATTTTACGGACGCCATCACAAGTTGTGGTTGACCGTTATGGAATAACCGTTTCACAGATGATATCAGATATGTTCCTTATGTCGTAACTACAATACCCTTCCCTTTTCCTGAATGTGACCTACCGAATTAGACTATTTACCGGATTTGTAATAACATATGCAACACAACGGGTGCCACATGTGGAGCAGGATCTGCTTACCCTTCCGGAACACCTGAGATCACCCCCAGTTTTTGGTGGGGTTCGTGTTGCTTAGTCTTTAGTTTTCTATGTTGTTTCATCTGTACTATTATTTGTCTGTTTGTCTTTTTATTTTTGAAATTGGCGTTGTCAGTTTGTTTTCGATCTATGAGTTTGACTGTCCCTCTTTTGTAGTGTGTCTCTTTTTTAAATTTAATGCTGGTGCTTATGCGAATGACGGTGCATATTTCTGGATGGAATTTCATCTGCCATTTGGTTTCCCAGTCTCCTAGTGCTGAAAGGTCCTGTTGTAATTTGGCTTTTTCCTGGGAATTCTTGATGTGATGGAAAAGAAGGCAGTCGTCGGCGAATAGTTTGACAGTCGAATGTTGAACTGATTCTGGTAAGTCATTTATGAATACTAGGAAGAGTAAGGGGCCTAACACAGTGCCTTGTGGAACCCCTGACAGTACATCTCCCAGTGATGACTTACAGCCCTCAACCAACACTTCACTTGTTGTTTCCGGTTTTCTAAGAAGGAGGTTTTCGTCTCTAATGCCATAGTGGTTCAGTTTGTTAAGTAATCTGCAGTGTGGGACTTTGTCAAAAGCCTTTGCAAAATCGAGTAAGATTACGTCCACTTCAGGCACTTGATCTTTCCCTGATTTCAGTTGTTTGGCAAAATTTTGATTTTTCCCGTTGATATCAGTTGTGTCTCACAAGATCTACGAGCTCTAAATCCATGCTGATTGTCTGTCAAGATGTTATTTTGTTCCAGAAATGTGATGACTGAACTGTGTCTGTGTACTGACAAACGGACATACAGTACAAACTGACCAACCTGTTAAAATGCAATGCTTTCTTTCTTTTCAGGACAAAGGACAGACAGGATGGGATGACTTTGCTAAGTTTGCAGCTGGTCATGACCACATTTGAATAGCAGACGATTTCGTAACACCGGAAGTTTCATTATTTACTTCGGATTCAGTGCAAATCCACTTCCTGTTATCCCCCAAACGTAGCAGAGAAAGGTTTTCGAAAAAAAAAACAGCCATGGGGAAGGGTTTCAATAATTATATGACCAAGAAATTTTTTCATCCATCAAGCAAGGAAAATATCAAAAGGGTAAGATGTTAATAAGTTCACACATACAGTCTTCACACAAAACTTTTTGACATGCAACTTGTTTTTCATAAAATTTCTCTAGATAATATTTTATGACTTGTGCGGCATCTTTTCAGTAAAATGATACTGGTCTTCGCCGTAAGGTTTGTGATTAATCGTGAAAACTGACTATGTTTTATTGTTTTTTTATCAGCTCATGCTGTTGGGTGTTTTGGGGTTGTCAGAATCCCAATTCCTTTTGAAACAATAAAAAAGAAATATTTATAGCGATACACTAACCAAAACATGATTAAGATTTTATCAACACATAAAAAAACATTGTCAGAATCTCACTTTATTTAGAAACAATGAAAAAAAATAATTTATATATATATATATACAAATGTATATATAGAAACTATAACACAAATTTCCAACGTTGTCAGATTCGCACTTTATTTACTAGAAACAATGAAAAAAAATATTTATAACAATACACTAACCATAACATGATTAAAAATTATTCAACACAAAAATAAAATACTGGTCGTCAGAATCTCACTTTATTTAAAAACAATGAAAAAAAAAATATTTATAGCAATACATTTACCATGACACAAAAAAACCTTGTCAGAATCTCACTTTATTTAGAAACAATGAAAAAATATATATTTATAGCAATACACTTACCAAAACTCGTTTACAAATTATTAAACACAAAACCAATAAAAATTGGGCACGAACATGTAGGGTGCGAACGTGTAGGGTGCGAAAGCGAAAGAGAAGCGAACGTGATTGGGCACGAAAGGACCCGGATTCCACTACTGGCACTGCGCAGCAAAAACTTGAGTGCTGTGAGACAGTGCAAGTCCATAACATGATAAATTTACCCCAAATTTATCATGTTATGGACTTGCACTGTCTCACAGCACTCAAGTTTTTGCTGCGCAGTGCCAGTAGTGGAATCCGGGTCCTTTCGTGCCCAATCACGTTCGCTTCTCTTTCGCTTTCGCACCCTACATGTTCGTGCCCAATTTTTATTGGTTTTGTGTTTAATAATTTGTAAACGAGTTTTGGTAAGTGTATTGCTATAAATATATATTTTTTCATTGTTTCTAAATAAAGTGAGATTCTGACAAGGTATTTGTGTCATGGTAAATGTATTGCTATAAATATTTTTTTTTTCATTGTTTTTAAATAAAGTGAGATTCTGACGACCAGTATTTTATTTTTGTGTTGAATAATTTTTAATCATGTTATGGTTAGTGTATTGTTATAAATATTTTTTTTCATTGTTTCTAGTAAATAAAGTGCGAATCTGACAACGTTGGAAATTTGTGTTATAGTTTCTATATATACATTTGTATATATATATATATAAATTATTTTTTTTCATTGTTTCTAAATAAAGTGAGATTCTGACAATGTTTTTTTATGTGTTGATAAAATCTTAATCATGTTTTGGTTAGTGTATCGCTATAAATATTTCTTTTTTATTGTTTCAAAAGGAATTGGGATTCTGACAACGTTTTTTTTCATGTGTTGAATAATTCGTAATCATGTTTTGGATAGTGTATTGCTATAAATATTTTTATTCATTGTTTATGGTCAATTATGGACAAAGTGAGATTCTGACAACGTTTTTTTTTGTGTGTGTTGAATACATCTTATAGCAGTTTTGATCCAGGGCATTTATTTCCATATTAGCAGTAATCATACATAATTAACATTTAATAATTAATCATCAAATCAATTTAAAACAATATTTTATTTAAAAATTCCCGAATTTTTATTTATGAAAATAAAAATATTTTGATATAAACATCTACAAAACATCTAAAAATTTATCAGGTTTTTGAATAAAAAAAAGGGTGCGAACATATGCTGATTTTTTGCCAAAATTACGGGATTTGGACTTTAAAAATTTCATGAAAATAGCAGTTATACAGACTTTCAATCTCAAATTTCCACTCCTGAAAAATGGCTTCAAGCTTATTTCTGAGCGGGGCCATTCGTATCTAGTTTTTATGATTGAACTGTTTTTATTTTGGCCTAATAAAAAAATACTTGTGTTTCCACTAAACCTACAATGTACATACCCTAAATTTTACTGTCTGTCCTTCAGAACACTAAGTCTCACAGGGATCCTCAAAATGGATGCTAGCCATTAAGATTTGTGTGTCTTGAAGACTTATTGAAAATCAACCTTTACAGGACAATATTTAATAGTATTTTATGATGAAATTATGTGCGACTGAGTGGATACTTTTTCACAGCATCTGACACATTTAAATATACCTTTTCTGTGGAAAAGTGGACACTTTTTCACAGGACACTTTTATGGCTCACATAATTACTCCAAGCCTTCATTTCTTCAATAAAAGATATTTATATAAAAAGTTTTAAAGAACAAAAACATTTAGTGATTGCCCTTGGACAAATAAAATATGCACAACATGACAAGGACACTGGAACTCTGTTATTTTATTTTAAGGATAATGATTATATATGTAGGACTCTGAACCGTGATGGTGACACTGAAGTGCGTTTTTGATCACGCTGAAATGCGATGGTGGCATTTTTACGCTATCTTGTTGATAGCTACACCGATGTACGATGGTGATTACGCTGAAGTGCGATGGGTTACATAAACTATATTTTTAGTGTTTTTCATGTTCACATGTGGATTAAGAAGTAAATATGTTTGCTAGAAGCAGCTTTCTTGTTTATTAAGTAAATCATCGTGAATATTTACTGTCATAATTGTAACGTTGTAGCTAGTTTACTTTGGACAAAAAGAAGTCAACATTCATACAATCGTTCCAGCCGCTACATGCAAAGATTTTCTTTCCATTGAAACCAGTGCTTCTTTCAATTACTGAAAATGTGATAGCAGTTTAAAATGCAATATAATAAGTGCCTAATGAACTTATCACCGTATGTGGTTTTTACTGCAACTAAAGAAAATATGGAATGTTTTTGTATATCCAACATGAATACAAGTAAATAAATTCCTAATACTACCAGTAAAGTGAAATAATTAATAAACAGGGGAAATTTAGCCACTCTGTAGCAGATACTTTTTCCAAATATACAGAAGTTATGTTTTTTACGTACTATGGTGCTTGGAAATCTCTAACTACATACGGGTCCGCAGACAGGCTCTCCGTCTTAGGATATTACGGTAAAAGTAGAACTGAGAGCTGAGATCACTATAACACATATAGTAATCACAGATGAGGGGAACACAGTAAAGATAAACTGTTAACGCAGAATGGTGTTCTCATGCAGCAAACTTAAAGTTAGTAAAACTCATTGAGTATGAAACTATAACTAAGGACATATATAGACCATCGCACTTCAGTGTCCCCATTGTACCTCCGAGTCCTACATATATTCCATTGTCATTACTCATTTAGTAACCTTCATAATTTTTTAACACAGGACAAGTAAGAAAAGAATAGATATTCTCAAGAAAAAAAATGTCTTTGTTGATTAAAATTGAACATTGCTTGACAATTACATTCATAATCATTGCAACCCTGTCAATTGAGTCTTAAGAGGATTCTAAGAAATAACAATATAGTTTTTTATTAATTTTTATACGACCGCAAAAAAATTTTGTGGTCGTATATTGGTATGACATTGTCGTCGTCGTCGTCGTCCGGCGTCGTCGTCCGAATACATATTGGTTTTCGCACTCTAACTTTGGTTTAAGTGAATGGATCTTTTTGAAATTTGACCATAAGGTTAAATACCACAAAAGGAAGGTTGGGATTGATTTTGGGGGTTATGGTACCAACAGTTAAGGAATTAGGGGCCAAAAAGGGGCCAAAAATGAGCATTTTCTAGTTTCCAGACAATAACTGTGGAACAGTGTATGGATCTCTCTGAAATTATACTACAAGTTTCCATACCACAAAGGGATGGTTAGGATTTGCTTTGGGGGGTTATGGCTCAAACCGTTTAGGAATTAGGGGCAAAAAAGGGGGAAAAACAAGGTTGTCCTGGTTAATGGACAAATACTTTAGTACAAAACATAATTTAAAGCAGTGTAAGGGAGATAAATCAAATACATCATTGAAATTATCTCCCTTACACTGCTTTTAAATTATGTATAAAGTAATGGTTAATGAACAATAAAGATAATCTAAAACAGTGTAAGGGAGGTAATCCAAATACAACGTTTTGGTTACTTCCCTTACACTGCTTTTAAATTATGTTTAAAGAAATGCATATTTATAAAGGAAGACCAGTAAAAATATCTGCAAATGTTTTCATCTTTTTTTTTTACAAAAAAATCCATATGAAAGATTTGACACTATATTTTTATTAATTCTATTATAAAATAGATTAAGTTAGCACTATGGTAAATTTAAATGGGTAATTATGGTTGCCAACTCCATTGGAAATTTGAATTGAGATTATGACCATATCTTGAGGGAAAGAATTTTTTTGGGGGAAAAAGGGGGGGGGGGATAAAAAGAAATTGTGGGGGGCCAATTTTTTCTCATTTCAGATTTCAGAAATTAAAAAGAATTTTTCTTCAAATATTATTTTTTTTTCAAATTTCAAATATTGAAAAATTTCAAGAAGTAATCTTTAATTGCACAGTATGGCGCATTAGATTTGTAAAATCTTTGATCACATTTATTTATTTGTTATGCCGAATCTAACAGTGTATTTAGATTTTTAATTTTGGGTCCAGTTTTCAAATTGGTCTACATTAATGTCCAAAGGGTCCAAAATTAAACTTTGTTTGATTTTAGCAAAAATTGAATATATGAGGTTCTTTGATATGCTGAATCTAAACATGTATTTAGATTTTTGATTTTTGGCCCAGTTTTCAAGTTGGTCCAAATTGGGGTCCAAAATTAAACTTTGTTTGATTTCAACAAAAATTGAATATATGGGGTTCTTTGATATGCTGAATCTAACCATGTATTTAGATTTTTTATTTGTGGACCCCGTTATCTAATTGGTTCATATTGAGGTCAAAAGGGTCCAAAATTAAACTTTGTTTGATTTCATCTAAAATTGAATTATTGGGGTTCTTTGATATTCCAAATCTAACCGTGTATTTAGGTTTTTAATTTTGGGTCCTGTTTTTTAAATTGGTCTACATTGAGGTCCAAAGGGTCCAAATTAAACTTAGTTTGATTTTAACAAAAATTGAATTCTTGGGGTTCTTTGATATGCTGAATCTAAACATGTGTTTAGATTTTTGATTATGGGCCCAGTTTTCAAGTTGGTCCAAGATAGGGTCCAGTATTTAAACTTTGTTTGATTTCAACAAAAATTGAATATATGGGGTTCTTTGATATGCTGAATCTAAACATGTATTTAGATTTTTGATTATGGGCCCAGTTTTCAAGTTGGTCAAAATTGGGGTCCAAAATTAAACTTTGTTTGATTTCAACAAAAATTGAATATATGAGGTTCTTTGATATGCTGAATCTAACCATGTATTTAGATTTTTTATTTGTAGGCCCCGCTATCAAATTGGTTCATATTGAGGTCAAAAGGGTCCAAAATTAAACTTTGTTTGATTTCATCGAAAATTGAATTATTGGGGTTCTTTGATATTCCAAATCTAACCGTGTTTTTAGATTTTTAATTTGGGTCCCGTTTTTTAAATTGGTCTTCATTGAGGTCCAAAGGGTCCAAAATTAAACTTAGTTTGATTTTAACAAAAATTGAATTCTTGGGGTTGTTTGATATGCTGAATCTAAACATGTGTTTAGATTTTTGATTATGGGCCCAGTTTTCAAGTTGGTCCAAGTTGGGGTCCAAAATTATACTTTTTTTTATTTCAACAAAAATTGAATATATGAGGTTCTTTGATATGCTGAATCTAACCATGAATTTAGAAATTTTATTTGTGGGCCCCGCTATCAAATTGGTTCATATTGAGGTCAAAAGGGTCCAAAATTAAACTTTGTTTGATTTCATCAAAAATTGAATTATTGGGGTTCTTTGATATTCCAAATCTAACCGTGTATTTAGATTTTTAATTTTAAGTCCCGTTTTTTAAATTGGTCTACATTAAGGTCCAAAGGGTCCAAAATTAAACTTAGTTTGATTTTAGCAAAAATTGAATTCTTGGGGTTCTTTGATATGCTGAATCTAAACATGTGTTTAGATTTTTGATTATGGGCCCAGTTTTCAAGTTTGTCCAAGTTGGGGTCCAAAATTAAACTTTGTTTGATTTTAACAAAAATTGAATATATGGGGTTCTTTGATATGCTGAATCTAACCATGTATTTTGATTTTGGACATTGGACCATAATAGGTAAATTAAAAAAATTCAAGTTCTTAGACCACATTCTTTCTGTGTCAGAAACCTATGCTGTGTCAAATATTTAATAACAATCCAAATTCAGAGCTGTATCAAGCTTGAATGTTGTGTCCATACTTGCCCCAACTGTTCAGGGTTCGACCTCTGCGGTCGTATCAAGCTGCGCCCCAGCGAAGCATTTTATTTTTTTTAATATAGGTATGGATGGCTCAACAGAAAACAGAATTTGAAAAGAAGAAACAGGAAGATTTACTTAATCAGTATCAGAAAGAACAAGAAACATATCAAAATAGGTAAAATAACTGCTGTTTAAATATAATAGTATTCATGGGTCTGTCATTCAGGATATTATTTTCAAAGTCAAAAAAGGAAAGAAATTTTTTGTAGAATAATGCAAACTAATTTTTTCAGGCTATTCCAACTGTTAGAAACAAGATGGTGTTTTATTTTACTGTTAATGATGTTTTACCCTAAATCCATTTGATAATCTACATGATATACCCTTCATGTACAATGTATATACTTTTTATCAGTTTAACTTGGATTTCATACATCCCAAATTCTTAATCCCAATAATTTCGAGTGCTCGTACAGTTACATTGCAGAAATGCTTTGTTTCTATTGATATTTCTTTAGATATTGGCATGCTAAGCATAAATCTGATGATTTACCGGTACATGTAGATCAATTTCAGTTGATTTTATACAATAGCAAAAATTACTAAAGTTTTAGGCTGAGGTCAAAATCTTGTCACTATTTAACATTACTTTTGATAAGTTTGTTTCTACTGTTACTTGGCAAATAGATGATGAAGTTTTGTTTGTTTCAGGACCTTTATAATTTCCCTAAAAAACTTTGATTATCAATGATTTAAAAGTGTTTCAAAGGTTTTCTTGATGATGAAAAATTTGCCCTAACAATTTTGTATTTATTTTTGTTAGGGCTTTACTTGGTGATGAAAAGGCAAAGCTTGGTTTAAGTTTTATGTATGATGCCCCACCTGGACTGAAGAAAAAGGAAGATGTAAGAGTTTTTTACACAGTTTTTAAAATGTCCTATTTTATACCATTTTACACTACAAATTATTGAGGTTTATCTTAGCTTGTCAGCATTTTTAAAAGTAGTTTTGACTGAAAGTGTAAACAAACATGAACATCAGACATGAACATATAGGTACATGCAAAAATAGACAATTCAGCAATGTCATGAATGTAGTCAATTTAGATCCATTTGCATATCGGTTTTCCCCAACACCCTTCAAACTATTAACATCACCTTTAAAAAAACATTGAAGAAGATGCTGAAATAGACAATTCAGCAATGTAGTCAATTTAGATCCATTTGCATATCGGTTTTCCCCAACACCCTTCAAACTATATATACATCACCTTTAAAAAAACATTGACCAATGTTTCAGTTAAAAAAAATAGAAAAAATATGACAAAACAATTTATGTATTAAATATATTCATGATTGCCTGTATTATAAGAATGGTTAATGTTTACAACCAGCACCTCAGCTGAGATATTCATGAAATATTTCCTACTTGACATTAAACAAACAAAAATCAAACAACATCAAAGTTACAAGATCATGAAGGCACATTTCATACAAAATTTCAATTTGATCTACCATGAACAAGTTTTCAATGATAAATTTGAATTCACAGGAAAAAGATGTTGAAACAGAGGTTAAGTTTGAATGGCAGAGAAAATATAATGCTCCAAGAGAACAGTAAGTTATTATTTATTGTGTATTTAAATGGTAAACATTAATTTGCTGATTTATTGTCTTGCCTCTAGGAAGTCACAGAGGCAAGACAAAGACTTGTGGTTAATGGCATTACCCTCAACAATTTGTTAAAGCTTGTGATGAGGTCAATCTTTAGGGGAAACCACTAGTGGTGATTCAATGATATTTGTTATGCAGTTGATTTAGCATTGGTACATCTCATTTCCATGGAGATTATTTCACCCCACCCCCTCAGTCATGGTGTATTGACTTTGTGCATTTTATATGTTAAAGTGTGTGGTTAGGTCAGTTTTAAGTGATAATTCAATTGGTATTTAGTATGCAGTTGTATTTGTGTATACCTAAAGTGGAGATATCATCCGTGTTGCTTTTTGATCCTCTGATTTCATTTTCCTGAAATTAGTTGTCTGGCTTCATGTGAACATACTCATTTTCACGTTAATCACTCTTCAACTTCTTATTTACTGTATACTGATTTTGTTTTATATATTATATGATTGTTCATTTTCTTGATAGAATAATGCTAACACAACCAGAATTAATTGATATTAGCTCTTTAATCCATAGGCTGTCAGTGCTGCAACTTTTGTACTTTGTATTCTTTTCAGTACTTACACAAGATTTATTATTACAGGTATGCCAAAAATGATGATGAAATACGTGACCAGCCTTTTGGTATTGAGGTTCGTAATGTTCGCTGTATCAAATGTAGAAAATGGGGCCATGTTAATACAGACAAAATATGTCCACTATTTAATAGAGATTTGACAGCAGAACCACCTCAACGTAAGTTTATTTTGAACTCACTTGGTCCTGAGATGAGCTACTGCCATTACTCGCTATAATCTGTTGTCCAATATTGATTTAATTGTTATCCTTAGAGAGTATATTTGATTGTTATCCTTAGAGCAAGGCTTCCAAAACGGTCATATATTCCGGACATTTGTATAATGTCCGGTAAAAGTCCGGCTGGGCAAAGCATGAAACGGTCATCTACTTTTTAGTTTCAAGGCTTTCTTAAGAGACAGTCATTTTAACATAATTCGCGATCTTTTTGACCCAACCTTTTGCCTTTAACAGCCACACATTTCCAGTCATAAAAGTGACATGATCATTAAGTACTATCAAAACAACCCCTACTTAAATACCTTCTCATTTCAATCAAGGCTAATTAGTTGTCGAACAGCTGAAATTTACCTGTTCAGGTGACAGGTAAACTATTTTGAACCGGACATTGATCGGTCTATTCAAAGTTATTTTCTTACATTTCAGCGGTTTGCATCTAATTAATTTAGTCAAAAAGATTTAAATTATCAGAAATACATTTACAAATATGATTTGATGAAAAAAATAAAAAGGTGAAAATGAAAAATCGTCATAACCACGTTGTTTGAACCAAAGACATGTCTCTGTTTGAACTAGTACACGCAGGTGTGAAATTTAATTATGCATCCTAATTTCTTCAAAAAATGTTAAAATTGTCATTGATACCTTTATCTCACGTTTATTTCGAATATTTTCTTGAAGAAATAACGTAGCAAAGAGAGTATATTTAATTGTTATCCTTAGAGAGTATATTTATTTAATTGTATGTGATACTTCCACTGCAGTCTTTAGTGTAAATAGATGTTAGGGTTGATATTAATTTGTTTAACAGTATGCTACCTATGGTGATCTTTTTAATGTTTTTATCTACATTTACATATATGTTGCTTCTAAGGTGTGGAGGTACTTTGATTTAGCAAGAATGAATGAAATATCATGTTTCCAATAAACATTTAAATTGTCAAACCTGTAATTTCATGTATTTAACTATTAAGAATTTTTCAGTAACAATATTGAAATATAAAATTTGAAAGTTGCATATACTTTTTTGCAATTTTTCATGTCTGGAAAAGTTTTAATTTTACAATTACCAGTACTTTGGTTTTTTATAACCCTGCCTTCTTTCTGAAGTCGTATATAGTGATGGACGAGTTTGTCTGTTCATCCTTCTGTCCCCCTTTTGTATATGCAAATGCTCCTTAGCCTCTTGACCAAATTTAAGGAAACTTTTTATATGATGTTTTTTGCATATCCATTTTTATTTCTTGATCTGAATGTTTTTTGGGGGTACTTGATGTGGACTTAGTCATATTTGCACACTATAATTCACTTTGGTATCAGCTTTTCCTCCTAAACCTTTGAACAGAATTTTATAGAACTTTCTCAGAATCTTAACCAATATGATGCCATTTTGTACCTCCTTATTTATTTGGATATACCCTAGCAAATCATGGACTTTGTGATTGCTTTATGTAGTTGGTTTAAGGGGGGAGGGGTAACATTTTGTTAGCGTTGCTCACAGTACCTCTAGTTTATCCATTGTACTACTATCCCTTAACATCTGTTAATCCTGCTTAAAATCCAAATGGTAATAGAACATAGTTTTTACAGGATATCCAATTACATTTAGATATATCATGATGTAATATGATGTAATATCTGTCCATTCTTGTACAACAGATTTTTTGAAAAATGACTTTTATTTGGTAGTCTTCCAGTAACCTAAATCACTTTTAATTGCTAATCTCCTAGGAGCCTGAATCATTCACCTGTCTAAACTACCCCTTTATAGCTGAAAAGAGTATTAACTTAAGACTTTGATTGAAGTAACAAAATGGTACTCCCTCAAACCCAATTAAATCGCTAACTGTTTCAATTGGTTCACTAGTTTTCCATGGCCTCACTGGCTTTTTTATATGGAGATATTTAAAATTCTTGACCAAGCTGACCCTTTTTTGGCCTCTTAGAGCAACATTGGACTTATCATCAGGATCAAAGTAACAACACACAGTAAATACTTTCTAAAGGACAATCCTGCATGCATACAATAAATTAAGTTTGCTTTTACTGACTTTCGTTAAAAGTAACATGAAGATTATTGGAAGAAAGCTCCCTTTAAGTTTTCACAATTGTCTGAATTGTCATTTTAAAAGTCATGGGACTTAAGTTTTAGAAACAGGGGTGAATACAATTTTACTCTTTATACATGCTTTGAACAATTATTGTCATAATATTTTGATTTGTCTCAAACATTTAAAAAAGTAGTGATTGATATATGATATATAACTCCATAATGTTTAACACAAAAGACATGAAATTTGTAAGTAATATCAAACCAGTTAAGGTAGCCTCTTTTTTTCGTTTTGATGATTTTCCAATTTCTTTTTTCCAGAGTTGTGATTTCAACCATAATGCAACAATGGTGACATGCATATTATTTGCTCATTGCACATTGTTTATTGCAGAATTTTGGACCATTCCTTTATTATGACAATGTTCATTAATCTACTGAGTCTTGTCTCCGTGTCTCAAGGTTTTAGTTTGTCTAATTTTGGAACAACGATTGTTGATTTACTCTTAAAATTGTCTAGTATCTGCTGAAGATATTTGGTTTAAGTATCCTATAAGCTGTATTTGCTTTTGGAATAAAGTTTTATGAATTAGTAATTTAATTATGTTTTTACAGCATCAACAAGTGCAGCAGCTTTAGTAGAAGGGATGAAGGAGGATGGATTTAAATTAAAGCAAAGCATCCTGGGAAGAATGGCTGAAGATCCATCTGCAGAACATGAGGTAATGATAGTAATATTGCATAGTTGATATTTTGGGATGTATCCATCATGACCATGTACATATCAGTTACATGCATACTTACCTGGTAATAGAATATTGTGTAGTAGATAGCTATTATATGTGTGCATGTATATAAAGTATATAGGGCTTTTTTCACAAATATTTTTGATTTGCTTTGTTTGTGGCAAAGCACATTAATTTGACTCAGTGGAAAATGCTATGGTCTGAGAGAAACTGGTCTGGGCATGGCAGTCTAAAGAAGGACTTTCACAATTTTTTTCTGATTTTTTTTTACTTCACTTGCGAGGTAGTCGATATTAAGGCATACTTTAGATTTAAAACACTGTCAGTATCTATATGAGTTGGTTTCCACTTTTTTTGGAAGAATCAGATTTCTACTGAAGAAGGGAAGCCCACCCACCCAGAATTGCCATTTCTCTCTAATTTCAATTTTCTTTCAAAAGTTCGAATTTGGACTCAGATGCACCTTGTACCTGATGAACATAACAGTAAATACATGTAGCCTCAGTTTGATAGGACATGCATGAATTTTGAAATCAATTTCAAACATCTAACCTCTAAAGGTATGGATATGAAATGGAGCCAAAAACAAGATTTGGGGAAGACATCATTATATCACCTCCCCACATAGTAAGGGTCAATAGTTTAAAGACTTCATTTGAACCAATGTTTGAAGACCCTCTAAAAATTCTGTTTTACTTAATTTAAATGATTTCCTTAAATTTATCTTCAAATGATCAAATCTCCAATTAATAATGTATAGTTTTTATTCATAAAAATTGACATGTGTTGATACTTTATTTGAAATTCAAGGAGCCAAAGTTGTATGCAATTTTTTGTTAAAATATGTGACATAGACCATTTACTGCACCTTGACCTTAAACTTGAATGTAAACTCAAAAGTACAGTAATGCATCATCTATTTTATGTCATGATGGCTTTGGCATAGGGGCTGATGTGATGTATTCAAGTCTTGTTTGTACCTTCCTTTAACTACATGTAGTTAAATTTGGATAAATTCTTTTAATTTAATTGTAAGTTTTGCATTTCTGTTGTTTTCTTTTTCAATTTCAGATATTTTCTAAAATGTGGACTTAGTCTATAAACTGTATTTACCTATTATCATACAATTTTCAAAGATATGTCATATTCAAACTGTAAATGAATATTTGAGTGTCTAGTACTACTAATAATCAATTTTATTTACACAATTTAAGAAGATGTATTATTTCTCACAGAAAAGTGATTGTTAAACCAATTACTGTAAAAAAAACATTATACATTGGTATATTTTGTAGATAAAACATTATATATTGGTTATATATTTTGTAGACAAAAAACTTTACATATTGGTTATATATTTTGTAGAAACTGTTAGAAAGTGGAGATGAAGATGACCCTGAGGTTAAGTTTCTGAAGTCACTCAGTGCTAAACAGAAAAAAAAGTTACTTAAGTAAGCATTAATATTGAATAAGGCTTTACAGGTGTTTTGCTAGATATTAAAACTCTCTAATAGAGTTCAGTACAGTTCATTGATAATTTATTAGCATGACCTATATTTAATGCTTAAATTTTTTTTAACCATAGTAGCAAAGCAAACTAAATCACAATCATAATTTTCTTAAAGACAACGCCCAAAAATGAATCAATATTTTGTACTAACATATATTATTTCTAAAATAGACAAAACCTCATTTGTCTGCCATATACCATTCCTACTCGCTTATTAGTCAGAAAATTGGGAGTAAAATTCATAATCCAGAGAGGGGGACCGACTAATAGACGAGATCTAGCGACCAGAGGAAAAATCCAAGCTTGAGAAAAGTGGTCAGGAGTGAATTTCCTGGTCAAAACTACGTTTTTGATTGCCAAACCTACATAAATCAATAAATAAAAAGTTTTTGTTGAAAATAAATGACTACAATACTGTCTTTGTGTTTTATTTGTTCTTTGGTAAACATTTTCTGCAAATTCGTGTTGAAATTCTACTGTTTCCGGTTTGTGTATTGATTTTCATGGTCACATGGTTTTCCTATAAACCCAAAAGAAGAGCCAAGAACCAAAAATGAAAAGGAGATAACAATGTACCAAATATGTGAAAGGATGTTTTCAGCGGAGTTATTGTGATATCATGATATCAATTCAATGCTTATAAATCATATAATAATCAAAAAATAATTTTAAGATTCATTCACAAAATCAAAATATTATTCATTAAAGTGTCTCAGGTAAACAAAAATTACAAAATTGATTGACAAGCCAATATAATCCATTGATAACCCCAATTAAGAGACAAAGAGTTGTATTTACTAAAGGTGTGAAAACTATCAGTGATAGGTAAACAGATGACACTAATGAGTTGGAGTTAGTTATTTTAATATATTGATTAGCTTCACTTAATTTTTTTAATCCTTTAATCATCACAATATAATAAGAATTATGAAGTGTACATGCTCATTTAACACCAAGTTATGTATGCTGTGAAAAATATTTTCATCAAGTGTTGATTGACTTTAAATTTTTCAGGTTCATATTGGTTTATATTCGCTTTTCTCAAACAATAGGTTATTAGTCATACCCTACAAAATCATTGATGCATTATGTAAACAACACATGGCTAATCTAACATTTGAACAGTGAACAAAACAAGAGAAACGAATACATCTTTATTATTAACAGCAATATAAATTATCATGATCAGCATCAACTAAATTCAAACCAAACAAACATTAATGCAGAAATGAATATTATTCCTGGATTTGCATTGGTTTTACCGGCGTTCAGTTACTGTCAGCTGAAAAAAAAATGCCCAAATTTTGTCCGACTTATACGAGGGTCAAGACTAAATCCTTAGAATTTGGAGCTGAAAAGGGCCCCCGACTTATAGTAGGATCGACTATTAGGCGAGTATCTACGGTAGTCTGTATAGTAATGTATCACAAAAAAGTCGCAATCCAGTATTAGAAAACATGTTATTTTCTTAAATTTTCTGTTTAATGTTATTTTTAATGTTGTCACATAATTCCTTGCCTTGGGACTTCTAGTGGTTGTTTTGAATGACATAAATGTATAATGTATTCAACACTTGATTTGAACGACTTTAATCTAAAAGAAAAGACTTGAAACTGTCCTAACACTAAAATCAAAATGAGGAACTTATTATGTTCCTGGCTTCAATTTCATTCTTTGTTAGGAAATCAGAAAAGATTTTTCAAATGCTTTAAGTCAAAAGAAAAAAATTGTACTATGATTTTGATAAAAAAAAATAGGGTGCTCTCTACTTCTTCATGTTCTTCAAGAAAAACACATTTCTGGAAAAAGTAGTCAAAAACTGTGGAATTGACATTTTCTCCTATTTTTTGCTGTTGTGTAATATCCTTAAACCTGCCTGGCCATTTGAATATTTCTACAAAAAAATGGATTATACATGCCAGAATTTCGTAGTTAGTGCATTTTGGTCTTGCATATATTATATAGTTTTTGATTTCATTTAAACATGCTACTTTACCATGGGAATAATTTCAAGTTTTCATTTAATTTGCTGACATCTGTGTATTTTGCATGAATTTTGGTTGCTTGTTTTGTTCAAAATTATGAAAATAATATATATATAATCATGTCGCAATAAGTTGTCTTTGCAACGCATTAATATGTCCTGAAGTACTACATTTTCATATTTGTACACCAAGTCAACAGGGACCTGGTTCTTTTCACAGATAAATTACTGAACGACACCAATTTAATCACTAGGGGCATAATTATACCCCCGCTTTAAAAAAGTGGGGGTATACTGTTTTACCTCTGTCTGTCCGTCCATCCGTCAGTCTGTCCGTCCGTCCCATGATTATTTTTCGTCGCATCTTTCTCAGGAACTTCATTACAAGGAATTCTGAAATTTGATTTCAGGGTTTATATGAGTCAGCTTTACCGTGTGATGTGTTTTCAGATTCATCACTCACCAACTTCCTGTTTACCGAACACTTACATCATTTTACACATGACATCCAAGTTGAAAATTTAAGCACATTTTTCTCAGGAACTACATTACAAGGATTTCTAAAATTTGGTTTCAGGGTTTATATAAGTCAGCTATACGGTGTGATGCGTTTTCAGATTCATCACTCAACAAATTCCTGTTTACCGTCAAGTATTTGGGCGGGGGTATCATCAGTGAGCAGTAGCTCGCAGTTTCACTTGTTTCATTCTGAGTATGAATGAATGGAGATGTTAGATATGCATCAATAAGACACACATTTTCAACTTAGTTTATAGCACCATCAATTACCATAAAGGATTGATTAACTTTTGTTTAAAACGTGAGTGATCTATTTAACGTTTCTGTATTTTGTGGTTTTTGTTCACCTACATAAGATTTTATTTATAGGAAACTGAACAAACTTCAAGAAGGGAAAGAAAAGAAGTCGAAGAAAGACAAAAAGCAGAAAAAGAAAAAGAAGCATAGGTCTTCATCAGGTAATAAAGCAGTCAGTTGCAGAATCACAGCTTAGTTATTTATGTATTCTGTCAGTAAAATGCTGCTGCTTGTGTTTTTTCTAGCAAAAGAATTTAAATAGAATAATGAAACAGAATTTGCAAATGCCATAATTTAAGACTGGGATAAATGAAATTATGTTTAGTCACAATATTTTTCCACAGTTCTCAACCTGTTTTTAAATTCACTTGTGTTGCAATTCAAACAAATTCAACATTCTTGTCTACTTGCTGTCAACAAATGCTCAATTCATTTTGCTGCAGTGTTTCATGCTACAAATTTGTATATCATCAGGTTTAAGCATTTATACATTGTCAAAAGTCAATCAATTTTTATTAGCCAAACAAGTTATCTAGCTTTTGTTTTGCTGTAAAAATTAAATTTAGAATGACCATAACTGTTAATTGGTAAGTGGTCACTCTTCTATTATAAGATACTTAAATATATTGCTTAAAATTGTATGAATATTGATTAGAAAAAATTGAAATAAAATCAGCAAAAAATACCTTATACTCTTCTTTAGGTTCTGAAGATGAAAGCTCAAGAAGAAAAAAGAAGAAACGAAATGAAGAAACTGACAGTGAAAGTAGTAGTGAAGATTCAATGAAGAAAAGAAGAGACCATTCTAGTTCAAGTAAATTTTAAATAAAAAAACTTCAGATAATTTAAATCTTTGTGTTTAGGCTTTTTTGACATATTTTTTGGTAAATTTGAAAATGAGATCTTTACAAATTCACTAAAATTGAAGTAATCTATCAATGAAAGGAGATTTATTGTAGTCATCCATGAGACCAAGCAACCACAATTTTGTTTTTAAAAGCATAAAGTGTCCAACTTAAGTTCCCAAAATACACAAGTCTGTATACCATATTACAATTTTGTCCTGGAAAGAATGTTTAGGCACCCACCAAGGCTATGCCCTTTTAAAGATAGATAAGATTTTTTTTTAAAAATATGACAAAAAAATTTATCTGTAAAAATTTTAAAAAGCAAGCAAGTGGAGTCTTTTAATACGACCGCAAACAAATTTTTGTGGTCGTATATTGGTATGACGTTGGCGTCGTCGTCGATGTCCGAAGACACATTAGTTTTCGCACTCTAACTTGAGTTTAAGTGAATGGATCTCAATGAAATTTTACCATAAGGTTCAATACCACAAAAGGAAGGTAGGGATTGATTTTGGGGGTTATGGTACCAACAGTTAAGGAATTAGGGGCAAAAGGGGGCAAAAATAAGCATTTTTGTAACTTCCAGACATAACTTGTGTGTAAGTGTATGGATCTCTCTGACATTGTACCACAAGGTCCCATATCACAAATGGAATGCTAGGATTGATTTTGGGGGTAATTGCCTCCAAATTTTAGGAATAAGGGGCCAAAAAGGGGCAAAAATAACCATTTTTCTAGTTTCATGACAATAACTTGTGTGTAAGTGTATGGATCTCTCTGACATTTTATCACAAGGTTCCATATCACAAAGGGAATGCTGGGATTGATTTTGGGGGTAATTGCCTCCAAATTTTAGGAATTAGGGGCCAAAAAGGGGCAAAAAACAAGCATTTTTCTAGTTTCATGACAATAACTTGTGTGTAAGTGTATGGATCTTTATGAAATTGTACTACAAGGTTCCATATCACAAAGGGAAAGCTGGAATTGAGTTTGGGGTAATTGCCCAAAAAGTTTAGCAAAAAGGGGCCAAAAATAAGCATTTTTCTAGTTTTCAGACAATAACTTGTGTTCAAGTGTATGGATCTCTCTGAAATTGTACTGCAAGGTACGATACCACAAAGGGAAGGCTTGGATTGATTTAGGGGGTAATTCCCTCAAAATTTTAGTAATTAGGGGCCATAAAAGGGCAAAAAAACAAGCAATTTTCTAGTTTCCAGACAGTAACTTGTGTTCAAGTGTATGGATCTCTCTGAAATTGTACTGCAAGGTACCATACCACAAAGGGAAGGCTGGGATTGAGTTTGGGGGTGATGAATCATAAGGGGGTTCGAAAAATTTCGGGGGGGATTTTTTTTTCTTTAAAATTTTCCATTTTAAATTGGTTATTTCTGATTTATATATAAAAGCAAATAATAATGATATGGTTTGAATAGGTAAATTAAAATTTTTTAAGTTCTTAGACCACTTTCATTCTGTGTCAGAAACCTATGCTGTGTCAAATATTTAATAACAATCCAAATTCAGTGCTGTATCAAGCTTGAATATTGTGTCCATACTTGCCCCAACTGTTCAGGGTTCGACCTCTGCGGTCGTATCAAGCTGCGCCCCAGCGGAGCATTTTATTTACTTGTAAAATCAGTGTCATAATCATCTGTAACTGATCAATAATTTTGGTTACAATAAACAGTGTTTCACTAAAATCAATTAACAAAATTGAATAACTCTGACCTAAGAAAACAGGAGTAACATTTGTGTGTGTTCATTCCCCAATGTATTGCTTTTCAATTGTAAAAGGTATTTGTGTATTTCGGGGTAGGAAATATATTTTTATCCTAATTTTTGTTGTGTCTTTCTTTCTTCAAATCAAAATTCAATAATTTAAAAAAACACTACACTATCCTTTAAAACTTCCTTTTGCCTTCCATATAAAAATCATTAATGACAAATGTTTATAGTGTAAAAGTGTAATGTTGACTCTAAAAAGTAAGTCCATTTATCAGTACAATACAAAAAATATTTTTTTTAAATCAAACTTTTTTCTTCTGATTGATATTGAAGATTAGCTTCTGTCCAAGTTTCATAACAATCCATGAAGGTTTACAAATTTATCGAGTTAAAAATATTTAATCCAAATCTGTATGTAAATGTTAATTGAAAAAAATATAAGTCCATCAAGTTTTATAAAATACTATGAAGGTTTGACAAAGTAATTGATGTCTAACACACTTTAACATCAAACTGTGTCAATATGTAAATTGCAACAAAAAAACTATGTCCTGTTATTCAGTAAAATAGGACACAGCAGACAACAATATAAGGTAGGATCACTATGTCTTTCTACTTCGACATTTTATGTAGCAGGCTCAACAACAAAAAAATCGGTGCACCTTCCAAAATTGAAATATTAAAAGAATATCCCATAAATTGAAATGTTACAAATAAAAACTTTTCAGTAAGAATATTGAAATTGAAATACTATTAATTCAGAAATTATTTTAAAAAATTGTGAATTATGTGACAGGGTGAGTATTGCAAAAATAAGAACTTGCATTGTGACATCTGATACACATATAAGTATGCAGATTTTTCTGAAATCACATTATTTAATCTCACTTTTGCTCTGACATTTTATGTACTGAAAATGTGCTTATCTTTCAAAAAAACTGCAGAAATGCAACTATGCAATATTGCTATATCAAGTTTATGTCGTCCATCACCATACCTCAATGGAATACTTAAGTGAAAAATGCACAAATCTTTCCAACAGTGGTTTTGATCACTCTGATTCAGTTAGAAGGTTGATATTTAATTCATGTTTGTTTCTTCTTTGTTTTTTTGGCTTATGAGTAAGTGAAATATTTTTCAGTTTAAAAAAATTGTTAGACATATCAAATGTATTATCAGTTGTTAAGCTTTGAATATAAATACTCAATGCTAATAAATAACAGATTTTTGTGATTGAGTGAATAAACTCATTATTTAATTAAGACAAATATTTAGATTTAACATTGCTCTGAGTAATGATATAAGTCTTCAGGGAATTGACCTTTGCATTAAGTAATACTGCAAGCTTCCATTCAATTATTTTTTGTTTGAAAAACTGCAAGCTTTTAGTTGACATTATATGGTGTAAATAATTTTTGTGATAGGATTAAAAAGCAGGTTGGGTGGGTTTTAAAAGAATAGTTTTAACATTTTTGATATTATGTAAGTTTTTGTTCTTAATATTGACAGAAGGAATTTCTTTTATTGTTCTTTCTAATCAATTTATATTCCCTTTTCCACATATTTTTAGTTGAGTTTAATTTAAAGGTAAAAAGGATGTACAATAAAAAAAAATTCTGCTATATATGAAACATAATATTTAGTTTAGCTGTTTTTCAGCCTTTGCATAAAAATATAATCTGCATTAGACATTTTACACATATTGATTATAAAAAAATCTTTCATTCTCCTTATTTTGTAAATATCAGTTTTATTTTATGCTAAACAAGAACTTACCAAATACAATGTTTGTTCATTTTACCTAGAAGTGGAAATAAATTGTGATTTTTTTTTTTGGCATCTCAGCAAATTTTGAATTTTCTTCAGACATAAATTTGAAGTCTAAAAGAAGAGATAAAGGCAAAGGAAAGATGAGAAGATACAGCTCCAGTCCTGACAAAAGGTCATCAAGAGAGAGACAAAGAAATTACAAGGACTACAAACAGAACAGTTATAAAAGTTCTAGTGACTCAGACTCAAGTAGTAACACAGGAAGTGATTTTTATGAGCAAAAGTATAATAAACAGCCACATGATTCTAGAAAGAAAGATAGAAGAAATAGATCACCTGATGATAGAACAGATTCAAGAGATAGAGTCAGAGATTCTAAATCAAGTAGAATATCTAAAGAGCAATCACATCATAGATATACAAGGTCAAGAAGTAGGACACCATCCAAAAGTAAATCTAGGAGGAACAGATCTATGTCTAATGAAAGAAGAGAGCAATCACATTATAGATATACAAGGTCAAAAAGTAGGTCACCAGATGAAAATAAGTCTAGGAGAAATAGAGCTATGTCAAATGAAAAAAGAGACCAATCCCATCATAGATATACAAAGTCAAGAAGTAGGTCACCAGATGAAAATAAGTCTAGGAGAAATAGATCTAGGTCAGATGAGAGAAGGTCCTATTCTCGAGAAAGATATGAGTCAAGATCGAAGTACAAAAATGGAGGTCAAAGAAGTAGTTCAAGATCTCCAGATCGTCAACATTCAAGATACAGCACGTATGGTGGAAGGTCATCAGTCAACACCCCACCAGTAAAAGGCTGGTTCTCAACTGCCGAATTAACACCAGGAGCTAAGGATAAAAGATCAAGAAGTAAGACAATTAATAAATAAATTAATGTTTTGAGTTCAATATAGTGTAACATTTCAACAAAAATATTTCAAATGTTCTGTTGAAATAATAAGGGATGATTCTTCTTTATGATCTAAAGTGTTTAAGTACTTAAAGGTCACTACACCACATACACATGTGAAAAATTACAGAATTTAAATTGAAATTTTGAAAACTGAAAACCCATTGTTAAAATGTTAGTTTCATATGAGTGAATCAGTTAAATTAAACTTAAAGTAAGTAATTGAAGGTGAAATTTGGATTATAGAATTCAAAGGAAACTTGATATTTTCTTATTACTACTTTAAGTAAAAAGAAATTCTGTATTTTAGAATGTTTGTATGTTTGTTCTTAAATATAAAGTATCATAATGTTTAAGTAATTCAAATTTCTATGAACTTCCTAATTGTTATTTCCGTCATGTTCTATGTGACATTTAGATGTGTCAATTTATGTGTATTTTACTAACATCTTCATATATATATTATTTACTAATGTTAATGGGGATGGCAGGATAATGTAGTGGTATTTTATGTTTTTTTTCAACTAACAAATGTACAGAGTTCAATAGAATATGAAAATTACTATTGGGTTCACGCCATACTCGGTTAGCTATCAATGATCCTAACTGTGTAAAATGTAAGTCTTATTCAAGTCGGTAACAGAAAGCATAAAGGTAAATAAAATGACGACAGTTGCAGACTTTAGACAAACATGTATGTATATGTAAGCTTGTTTTGGATTTTAATATATAAAAACACCACTCTTATAAAGGTCGGGCACCATTGCATTTACCTTGTCTGTCTATTTTCTCAGGTACTACCTAACAGAATCACTTCATATTTTGCCAGCTTCAGAAATCTTCAGAGTGAGTTGTAAAGTGTGGGTGCTTTTTATGCGGTCGTATAATTTGTATTTGTCAGACACTTTCTTCCTATTTTTGATACTTAAATTATAAGGTGGGGTATGCTTAGCACAAAAATGCTTGCCACTTCTTGCTTGTGATTGCTTAACTCTCACGCTAATGGACAACACTCATTAAAAGCAAATCTGTGCAACTAACTGTAAAAATAAACTCAAATGGACTTTACTCATCAGATTCTAAATCATAAAAAACTACCAAAGAAATAACATGCACAAAAAAAGGTAATCTATAAGAACATACTGAAATCAAGTTTAAAATCCATTTGTACATTAATCATTTTACTATTCTGTTTTCAGCTTCAGTATGGATAGTTGGATCATCTATTGTTTACTGGGCTCATAAGAGGGCATCTCAGCTGAGAGACATCAACCTGGGTGTAAAAACCTCAGAAGCCTGTGTAGAATGGTATGGAACACGAGGAATGAGATGGAATGCACTGTTGCCAAAGTTGATGGAACTTGTACAGTCAAAACCACCCCCAGATGTATTAATATTATATGTTGGTTCAAACGATGTTGGCTATGTCAAACCAATGGACTTGGTCAAAATGATTAAGAATGATTTAGGTACCATTAAAGAAATGTGCCCTGATACTCAGTTGATTTATAATGAAATCCTGTCCAGAATCAACTGGAGAGGTGCTCCAAATAATGAGGATGGCGAGCAACAAAGATTGACTATAAATAAATATGTCAAACCTGCAGTGGAATCCATGGGTGGATTTATGATTCATCATCCAGATATAAGAAATGTAAATCTCGCACTGTACCGTGACGATGGGGTCCATCTCAATGATGTTGGTTATGATATATTTAATGGTAATGTTGCCGACACAGTCAGAGCAGCCCTGTTGAAAATTAAACTTTAAATTAAACAATCATATTATTTATTCAAATATTTTATTTTGAACTTGTGTATTATTATTTTTAGAAAAAAAATGTTTAATGCAATAAAATGAATAGATGTAAAGTTTATAATTTATTGTCTGGCCTGCTGCTAAGCGACACTTAGAAAATCTGTCTCTGTTGTAGACAGTGTCAACAATTGATAAAAGTTGTGATTATTCATGGTCTATTGACTCTGAAAGTTTTGCATAGTTTAAATTTCAGCATGTGCGTTATACTATAGAAATTATATTTAGGCAGTACATGACTGTCAAGAGAAATTATATTCAGACAGGCCATGACTGTGTCAAGTTCATTCTAACGGTTTAAGATGGTCATATTATTGAATACTATTGTCTGTTAGTCTGTCCATCTGTCTGGGCATTTTCTTGATCTTTCCTCAAATTTTCACACTAGCTTTTTACCATGAAGACATTTAGTCATTACCAAGTCCTAAAAAAATTTATCAAGGTAGAAGAGCTAAATAATTGGTATCTTGTATACAGATGGATTCTGCCTGGCATATTTGTTGTCTTTGAAGTAATTTTCTTGGTTCAATCCACCAGAGTCCAAATACCTTTTGGGTCACTGTACGGCCTTCAACACTGAGCAAAACCCATGTATAATCTGCTATAAAAGGTCTAACATGACAATATATATACTATTCAGATGAGATGAGTGCACACACTGAAATGTCTTCCCTGCTTTACTTATGATTTAATTTATGTTGAAAGTCCGTAATATGAAGGTTTTATTTAAAGTATCACATAAACTTAACATTATCAATGATCCATGTAAATGAGGTCAAGGTCAGATGAACCCTGCCAGACAGACATGTACACCTAACTATCATACCATAAACCCCATATAGTTAGCCTATTGCTTATAGTATCTGAGAAACAAACCCAATTACAAAAATAAAATTGAACATTGACCATGAAACTATGAAAATGATGTCAAGGTCAAATGAACCTTGACAGATAACATGTACACCATACAATTAATCCATACACCAAATATAGTTGACATATTGCTTATAGTATCTGAGAAACAGACATAACCATGAAAAATTAACATTGACCAATGAAACATGAAATTGAGATCAAGGTCAGAAGAAACCTGCCAGACAGACGTGTACAATACAACTTACAATCATTTCATATACCAAATATTGTGGCCCTTTTGCATATAGTATCTAAAGAAATAGACTAAAGTCAGATAAAAATATATACATTAACCAATGAGCAATGAAATGAGGTCAATGTCAAATGAAACCCATTCCATATGCAAATAAGATTGACCTTTTGCTTATAGTAACTGTGATAAGAACTTGACTACCTAAACTTAACCTTGATCACTGATCCATGAATTGAGGTAGGATTCAGGTGGACCCTGTCAGACAGACATATATCCTTACAAGGATCCAATATACCAAAAATATATAGATATCCTATTACTCATAAGTGAGTATTTCACATGACAAAAAAAAAAAGTATAATTTTTATTAAAGCAGTCGCTGAACCATCAAAATGAGTTCAAGGACAATGGACATTTGACAGAAGGAAAGTTTGTAACATAAGACATCTGCATACAAGGTATGAAGCATCCAGTCTTCTACCTTCTGAATAACAAATAGTACAAATAGTTTACACCACCATATAGTAATCCCTATGTCTTGCATTCTGCGAAAACCAACACACCTGTGCCAAATAGACATTTCTAAACAAAACTTTTATATATACATATACACTTTACCAAAAGTACCAGTACCTTACAACATCAAGTATGGTTGACAATTAACGTAATTATGAAAACTGGTCAGTTATGTTTATGGTTGACATGGCTTCCTAATGTGGAATTTATAGGTAAGTTATATGGATCTGAGCATTCTATTACTTCTTTTTTAAATAACCTGATGTACATAAAGTATCAATGTATTTGACAAATGATACGAGTTCAAAGCTAGATGACATGCAATACATGTAATTAATATTCATTGCATTGTGTGCTTCTACTTTATATGGAGCTGAGAAGATATATTTACTTATCTTGATTTAAAACCCTTTGCAAGGGAAAAAGTGAAAGATACCATATACATGTATTAAGGGAGCTGCCATTTGATTTTTATTGGGGGCTAGGATGAAAAATTTTGTCCTGTATTTTTTTCTAGTTGTAATCTCTGTCCTGCCTTTTTATTTTTCACTCTATTCGGTCCTGCCTTTTTTTTTTAGTTTATCCTGACTTTTTTTTACATAAATTGTCATCCTGCCTTTTTTTTTTTGCAAAGTGTCTCATCCTGCCTTTTTTTTTACTCAAAACTCCTGTCCTGCCTATTTTTTTCAAATTTCATCCTAGTCCCCCCCCCCCCCCATAAAAATCAAATGGTAGCTCCCTAATTAAAATAAGATCTTGATCTCCATGTATTACCAGAAAAAGGAAAAAGGACAGAACTAAATTTCTACTATTATACATGTATACCAGTGGTATGTCTATTTGTACCACCATTATATTCTCATACATTTGTATTAATATACAGTGATCACTGAGGTTGTGAAATCGAGAAATCAAAACCCAGTTTGTGGCAAGGTGTGTTTGACTCAAATCTTATTTGACAAGAATTGCCAGTTTTCCTGCAGAAGGTTGGTGGTTTACTTCAGGTACTCTGGCTGCCTCCAATAAAAACTTGCTGCCATTATATAGACCAGGCCCTGCTGTCATAAAAATTTCAAGCACGATTATTATAATCAAGACTCAGAAATCAACCAATGAAAATACTGGATTTGATGTTTCAAGTACAAATTTTGTACTCCCAGTACTGATTTAAGTTTTATGACCGACGGCGCTGGTAGATGAAATTGGCATTAAATCCAACCAACTCTTTTTTTTTAAATAAGACATCCTAAGGATGATTGTGATCCAAAGTTGCCTTCCCTTGATTCTGTGATTTCAAAGTAGAAAGAATTTAAAGAAATTGATGGAAATATGCTAATTGACAGTGATAGCTCAGTCTGGCTATTTGGCTTTGGGCCAGATGAGCAAAAAATTTTGGAAATTTTATGTTCATTTCCAAAGAATACTGTAGGCAATCCAATAGACAATTTTACTAATCACTTTATTTAAGGCATGTATGTTTGGTGTAAATTTTGAGGTTTTTCAATGTGTCACTTGCAAAAAGAAGAAATTTTGACTTTAAATGTTGTATCATGAACTAACAGAGTTATGTTTTGGTAAACATATGTTGATTTAAAAAAATTGTGTGTTTTTCCTTTTTTTTATCAGTTTAGATCTTAAAGTTGATGTTTGTCAGACAAAATGGCACAACTGACACCTTATAGGCTATCTGTTTTTTACTACTATGGTTATTGAGTTCTTTGCCATTGTAAAAATGAATAAATTGCTTCACCGAGCGCAGCTGGATACGACCGCAGAGGTCAAACCCTGAACAGTTGGGGCAAGTATGGACACAACATTCAAGCTTGATACAGCACTGAATTTGAATTTTCTTTGGATAAAGAAAAAAAAAGGAAAAATAGGAAAAAAAAATCCCCCCCCCCCAAATTTTTGAACCCCCTTATGATTCATCACCCCCAAACTCAATCCCACCCTTCCTTTTGTGGTATGGCAACTTGCAGTACAATTTCAGAGAGATCCATACACTTGAACACAAATTATTGTCTGGAAACTAGAAAAATGCTTGTTTTTAGGCCCCTTTTTGGCCCCAAATTCCTAATCGTTTACGGCAATTACCCCCAAACTCAAACCCAGCTTTCCCTTTGAACCCTGTAGTACAATTTCATAAAGATCCATACCCTTACACACAAGTTATTGTCCTGAAACTAGAAAAATGCTTGTTTTTTGCCCCTTTTTTGCCCCTAATTCCTCAAATTTTAAGACAATTACCCCCAAAATCAATCCCAGCCTTCCCTTTGTGGTATGGTACCTTGCAGTACAATTTCAGAGAGATCCATACACTTGAACACAAGTTATTGTCCTAAAACTAGAAAAATGCTCCTTTTTTGCCCCTAATTCCTAAAATTTTGAGGCAATTACCCCCAAACTCAATTCCAGCTTTCCCTTTGTGATATGGAACCTTGTAGTACAATTTCATAAAGATCCATACACTTACACACAAGTTATTGTCCTGAAACTAGAAAAATGCTTGTTTTTTTGCCGCTTTTTTGGCCCCTAATTCTTAAAATTTTGAGGCAATTACCCCCAAAATCAATCCCAGCATTCCCTTTGTGATATGGAACCTTGTGGTACAATGTCAGAGAGATCCATACACTAACACACAAGTTATGAATGGTCGTATAAAAATGCTTATTTTTGGCCCCTAATTCCTTAACTGTTGGTACCATAACCCCTAAAATCAATCCCAACCTTCCTTTTGTGGTATTGAACCTTATGGTAAAATTTCATAGTGATCCATTCACTTAAACTAAAGTTAGAGTGCGAAAACCAATGTGTCTTCGGACGACGACGCCTGACAACGACGACGAGGACGACGTCAACGTTATAACCAAAAATGTTTTTGCGGTCGTATAAAAAGTATGAGCCTTTTCAAAATTCAAAATATCCCTAAAGGAAGAGAACTCAATGGTTTGAAATAAAATTTTGAATTTAGATGCAGAAAATTATTAATTAACACCATTTTGATGTTCTTTATTAGAAGTTTTGGAAATTTAGTTGGCATGTCTACTTATTTGTAAAATTAGATATCTAACTTTTTAAGTCACAGCTCCTTTGATATATCAATTTTTTTATTATTTCTAATAAATCAAAATGTAATTTTCTTAAAGGGGCATTAGCTGTCAAAATCTTGTTCACCGATTTGACTCAAATTCTTATATTTGATTTATAACATACTAAAACGTATATCCAAATTACAATAAGTCTGAAATAAACAGTTAAGAATGCATGTGGACTCGATAATATTTATCAGAATTTCATGTGTATTTTAGTCTAGACACCATCTAATTGACTATCAAGATGACCTCCAAAGACTGTCGATGATCACATAAACCCGATATAAACATAAATATAAATAGATAGCTACCTCGTGCAATTGGATTTTTCTATGTCTGTTTGATTTCATGTTATAGGTTAAATAAAATGCTTCGCTGGGCGCAGCTTGATACGACCGCAGAGGTTGAACCCTGAACAGTTGGGGCAAGTATGGACACAACATTCAAGCTTGATACAGCTCTGAATTTGGATTGTGATTAAATATTTGACACAGCATAGGTTTCTGACACAGAAAGAATGTGGTCTAAGAACTTGAATTTTTTTAATTTACCTATTATGGTCCAATGTCCAAAATCAAAATACATGGTTAGATTCAGCATATCAAAGAACCCCATATATTCAATTTTTGTTGAAATCAAACAAAGTTTAATTTTGGACCCCAACTTGGACAAACTTGAAAACTGGTCCCATAATCAAATATCTAAACACATGTTTAGATTCAGCATATGAAAGAACCCCAAGAATTCAATTTTTGTTAAAATCAAACTAAGTTTAATTTTGGACCCTTTGGACCTTAATGTAGACCAATTTAAAAAAACGGGACCCAAAATTAAAAATCTAAAAACACGGTTAGATTTGGCATATCAAAGAACCCCAATAATTCAATTTTTGATGTAATCAAACAAAGTTTAATTTTGGACCCTTTTGACCTCAATATGAACCAATTTGATAGCGAGCCCACAAATAAATAAACTGCTTCGCTGAGTGCAGCTAGATACGCCCGCAGAGGTCCAACCTTGAACAGTTGGGGCAAAAATGGACATAATATTCAAGCTTGATTCAGGTCTGAATATGGATTGTGATTAAATATTTGACATATTATAGGTTTCTGAATAAATGTAGTCAATGATCTTGAAATTGGTTATATGAATTGAATTTATATTCAATTAAAGATTTCTTGCTGTTGTGCAATACTTAGTAAATCTGTTGTCAGACTATAAACAAATAAAGTTCAATTAATTCTCAATGTCATATTAGAAATTTATGAAAATAAAAAGGGAGCTTACATCAATAGATATAAACAATTCACCAAAGTTTCATGAGAATTGATGACAGCATTTTTGAGTTATTGTCTGAAAACTGGAAAATCACCCCTATTTTAATGAATAAAACCCCATAACTCAGAAATGTAAAATGTAAAATTTATAAAATTCTAAAGGGAGATTACATCAAAACATACAAACAATTCACCAAAGTTTCATAAGAATTGCTGAAAGCATTTTTGAGTTTTTGTCCAAAAACTGGAAAATCCCCCCTTTTTTATGAATAAAACCCTGTAACTCGGAAACGTAATATCTAAAATTTATAAAAAATCGAAAGGGAGCTCATGTCAATGGATATAAACATTTCACCACAATTTCTTGCAAGTTGGTGAAAGCATTCTTAACTTATTGTCCGAAAACTAGAAAATCCCCCTTTTTTTAATGAATAAAACCCCATAACTCGGAAACGTGAAATCTAAATTTTATAAAAAAACAAAAGGGAGCTCACGTCAATAGATATAAACAATTCACCAAAGTTTTATGCAAATTGGTTAAAGCATTTTTGAGTTAATGTCCGACATGTTGACAACATACAGACCAACGGACAGACGGACGGACGGACAGATGGACAACGGTATACCATAATACGTCCCGTAAACGGGCGTATAAAAATCTAAATACATGGTAAGATTCAATATATCAAAGAACCCCATATATTCAATTTTTGTTGAAATCAAACCAAGTTTAATTTTGGACCCCAATTTGGACCAACTTGAAAACTGGGCCAAAAATCTGAAATCTAAATACATGTTTAGATTCAGCATATCAAAGAACCCCATATATTCAATTTTTGTTGAAATCAAACAAAGTTTAATTTTGGACCCCAACTTGGACCAACTTTAAAACTGGGCCCATAATCAAAAATCTAAACACATGTTTAGATTCAGCATATCAAAGAACCCCAAAAATTCAATTTTTGTTAAAATCAAACTAAGTTTAATTTTGGACCCTTTGGACCTTAATGTAGACCAATTTAAAAAAGGGACCCAAAATTAAAAATCTAAATACACGGTTAGATTTGGCATATCAAAGAACCCCAATAATTAAATTTTGATGAAATCAAACAAAGTTTAATTTTGGACCCTTTTGACCTCAATATGAACCAATTTGATAGTGGGCCCACAAATAAAAAATCTAAATACATGGTAAGATTCAGCATATCAAAGAACCCCATATATTCAATTTTTGTTGAAATCAAACAAAGTTTAATTTTGGACCCCAATTTGGACCAACTTGAAAACTGGGCCAAAAATCTAAAATCTAACTACATGTTTAGATTTAGCATATCAAAGAACCCAATATATTCAATTTTTGTTGAAATCAAACAAAGTTTAATTTTGGACCCCAACTTGGATCAACTTGAAAACTGGGCCCATAATCAAAAATCTAAACACATGTTTAGATTCAGCATATCAAAGAACCCCAAGAATTCAATTTTTTTTAAAATCAAACTAAGTTTAATTTTGGACCCTTTGGACCTTAATGTAGACCAATTTAAAATACGGGACCCAAAATTAAAAATCTAAATACACAGTTAGATTCAGCATATCAAAGAACCCCAATAATTCAATTTTTGATGAAATCAAACAAAGTTTAATTTTGGACCCTTTTGACCTCAATAAGAACCAATTTGATAGAGGGCCCACAAATAAAAAATCTAAATACATGGTAAGATTCAGCATATCAAAGAACCCCATATATTCAATTTTTGTTGAAATCAAACAAAGTATAATTTTGGACCCCAATTTGGACCAACTTGAAAACTGGGCCAAAAATCAAAAATCTTAATACATGTTTAGATTCAGCATATCAAAGAACCCCATATATTCAATTTTTGTTGAAATCAAACAAAGTTTAATTTTGGACCCTTTGGACCTTAATGTAGACTAATTTGAAAACTGGACCCAAAATTAAAAATCTAAATACATGGTTAGATTCGGCATAACAAATAAATAAATGTGGTCAAAGATTTTACAAATCTAATGCGCCATACTGGTCTTCCTTTATAAATATGCATTTCTTTAAACATAATTTAAAAGCAGTGTAAGGGAAGTAACCAAAACGTTGTATTTGGATTACCTCCCTTACACTGTTTTAAATTATCTTAATTGTTCATTAACCATTACTTCATACATAATTTAAAAGCAGTGTAAGGGAGATAATTTCAATGATGTATTTGATTTATCTCCCTTACACTGCTTTAAGTTATGTTTTGTACTAAAGTATTTGTCCCCCTTTTTTGCCCCTAATTCTTAAACGGTTTGAGCAATAACCCCCAAAGCAAATCCTAACCATCCCTTTGTGGTATGCAAACTTGTAGTATAATTTCAGAGAGATCCATCACCGTTCCACAGTTATTGTCTGGAAACTAGAAAATGCTTATTTTTGGTCCCTTTTTGGCCCCTAATTCCTTAACTGTTGGTACCATAACCCCCAAAATCAATCCCCACCTTCGTTTTGTGGTATTGAACCTTATGGTAAAGTTTCATAGAGATCCATTCACTTAAACTAAAGTTAGAGTGCGAAAACTAATGCGTCTTTGGACGACGACGCCGGACGACGACGCCAACGTCATACCAATATACGACCACAAAAATTTTTTTGCGGTTGTATAAAAAATAAGTTAATTATTGTTTTTACCTGTATAAGAATGATTTTTTGTGGATAGAATCAGTCAACAAAATGGTTCACCTTTGTTTTACTTTCAATGTTGACATTCTTCTCCTTTTAATGGCTGAACACGACTAAAACATGCACAACCAATCTCTAACTAATGGGTTAAATTGAAGATCACATGAATATGGATTAAATGAGGTCAAATTATTTTGACAAAATTGAACCAAATCGCCTGCTAAAAGCGAATTATTATTTCTTTATCTAAATCATATTCTATTTTTTTCATATCTCGTAGCTAATGCCCCTTTAAGATAAAATAATATAAAAACTTTTAATTTAAATGACAGTAGCACAAATAAAATTCGTTTCTGTATCAAAATTTCTTATTTCAGTAAAAAAATATTTGTCATGAATATGTATAAGATTTTTTCCATTGGATAGAAAGAAACAATCAATAAGTTAAATAAAAACCAATCATTTGCAGATAACATTTTTACTATTTTAACATTTTCCACCAACAAGAGACATCTTTGTTAAGAAGTGAGAGATACAACTACGTGCATGTTTTACTTTTTATTTCATGTTACAAAACATGGAATACATATTCTTCATCACATTTCAAAAGACAAAGATAATAAACAGATTACAATGATTTTTAATTATCTTATGATTTTGAACTATAACAGCTTGTTTCTGTATCTGTTGATACTTTCCTCATGACACTGACATGATGGTGATACATGATATGATATTGTAATAGGATACATATGATGAAATTGAACAAGCATCAAAGGTAACAACATGGTCCTTGTAACAGGACATACCTTTTAGTGCCATTAAATCAACAATTGGATGAAATTTATATCAGACAAGATAAAGGTATAATGCAATGACACTGTTACTAAATAAATACAATGTACAATAACACTGTTACTAAATATATACAATGTAGTACAATGACACTGTTACCAAATACATATGCAGTACAATGACAGTGTTGTTAATTATTATTACAAAGTACACAGTACATGGACATTGTACCAAATGTGAACACCATACAATGACAGTGTTATTTAATGTATACACAGTGCAATCACACTGTTACAAAATATATACACATGGCTTACTTCCATATTCTTTTTTTAATAGTTGCCACAAACATTGATGATTTCAGTCCTTTACTGAATTTCATGATAAAATTATTTCCAAATCAAAATAAACTTCAAACTATATGTACTGAAATAATGTCTGATATACATTTATTTTAGCTAATGATTGTTTTGAAAACAGAATGTTTCACATTTCCTTTGAAACAATTTCCAGTTTAATTAATCAAATTATAAATGTTTCACCAGAAAACATCAATAATCTTTCACAAAAATCTATACATGTACACTGGCAAATGTGGTGAAAGAATATTTAAACCTGACCTTGTTTTTGGTCAAATTATCAATGAAAATGTGGAGTGCGTGTGCAAGGAAAGGTTACTTATGTTTGTATTGGTTTTTTTTATGAAAGAAATATGTAAAAATTCATCATTTTGTAAAGAAAGAGAATAAACTGACACAAAACTCTCATCATCTTGCAGTAAAACTGACTTCTAATTTAACGTTTTTGAAAATGAGACCAGATGAAATAAATATTGTAGTTATGCAGAATGTTTACTCAGCACTACAAGGAACTGAGAAGATGAAATATTTATCAAGGTCACACAGAAAAACGATGATTTCTCAGCACTAAATATTTGGTGATATTTAACCTTTCAAATGATGATTTTTAAAGAAGCACGAGCATTACAATATGATAAAACAATTTTACAAGACAGACCACGATAAAAATCTTGTTTGACTATAACACATAATCCAGCTCATATCTGACATAACTGTTTTTCACATCATTAGGTATTCGTGGATAGGATGGAATCATACTGTCCTGTGCACCAATATAAACTGTATTGTACACTTTCCAATAAACATCTCGTACTTTTCTGGCAGGATGAAATAAGCCCTGGAAATAAACAAGAGAAAAAAAAATTGATTATTTTCTTCCCATTATGATGTCTTACTCGTAACAAAGGATATTGTGCTATCAAGACAAAACCAAATACCTTCAGTGAACAATTTACATCCTACACTATGTATAATTCAATGATAGCTTTTACATTTTTACAGGTTACATTTGTTGCTGGGTCTGGCTGATATTTTACATTTATCACAGAAAACTTTGTAATCTGTGTAACTATTTAAGAGTTTCCTTGATATTATTGTGCTACCATGTTTTGCAAGTTTATTTTGAAAACTTTCCGTCAAATTATCAACACAACATCAAATGGTTTGAAGATAGCATTTGACCTAATCACTAAACCTTAACATGTGAGATCAAAATGAGATGGACCCTGTGAGACGGACATGTATCCCTTGCAAAGATTCTATAAACCAAATATAGTTCTATTACTCAAAATATCTGAGAGAAAAAAAATAAGGCATCTATATACAGATGAAACTTATCAAGTGCTACTTACCTCTGAAATATAAAACTTTTTTAATTTATTCTTTTAGTACATATATTTTAAGAAAATAAATAATCCCTACATCAATACTGAAACTCAAAAGCAAATCATCCTGAATATGCATGAAATAATTGTAACTGGATGTTAAGCAAGCAATTATCAATCAATCAAAAGTAAGCATGAACTTCCATTCAAGAAATGTCATCATATTCTAGATATAAACAATAATTACCTGAAGAGCATATTGCAGTATTTTTGCAGCCCCCATTCCTACTCTAAATCCTTCAATGGCTCCCATGAAGGCCTGGACCACATGGGGTGATGTTTCAAATATATTTGGCCATACATAGTTCAATAAATGTACCAAAGCATCCTCACAACCAAACCCATATACACCTAAAGCCATGTGTTGTATGGTAGACATTGTTGTCTGTCTGTGTACCAGATCTCTGCAAAGAGGAAACAGATTATTTTTAAATCATTTCACCCATAGCATTTTTATTTTATTAAATCACATCACTTCCACGGACAGTGATAAAATATTCATCTTAGTGCATTTTGACACATGATTTCCATGATTTGGGAAAATCTAATATTACTTTAAAATAAATGGACTACAAAGATCAATCCAAAAAGGATTTACACTGCCATATTTACTTTGAATATTATTTTTTATCAGATAGTCAACTTAACACTTAACACTTTAATGATTGAAATGTTACAACAGATAACAGGTTTGTAATTTTTCAAATTTGTATATGGTGCATGAAATTAAATTTGGTATCTTGTAATTTTGTATTACCAAGATATTATTATTTTATGAATCTAATTATTTATATATTGATGGAGACATTTTTTCTATTCTCGGCCAAATAGTCTTGACTCTCAATTTTTGAATGCCATTTAATAAACCACTGATATGCAAGTTACCATTATACATGTCAAACCAGAACTTTAAAGTATTTTTTGAGAATATGCTAACCATAATACCTTTCATCAAGGAAATAAAGCAATAATCATCGTATACTCTTACCTGTCCATTAAAGCATCCTCCAACAGGGGTGCAATAGCATAAATATAATCTTTTCCCATCTCGCCAATATATTCAAACATAAATGATAATGATTTTAATACACCATTTTGTACATTGAGTTCAGGTACACGATATTCGTTCATTAGGGCTGGTATAACAGTAAAAGGAGAACATGTCTCTGCTACAATAGCTATAGCCACTGTGGTACACACACGATTCTGTCTTTCCTGTACTTTGAGATTGTTGAGTAATGTGGCCAATACGTCATGAGGACTGAAAAAATAAAGATATAGTAACATTTAAATGAATGAAAGAACCTTAGTGAGCGCGATCACATACCCCACGTCCCCACATTGTCATTGGAGAAATAAAATAAGTGTAGGAAAAAAAAATTGTATCAGAAAAAAAAATTGAATCATAATTTCCTGTCAATATGCACATCTACATAGTATGTCCTTATTATCTACACAGTTTCATGAAATTCTGTTGTGTGGTTTGAGAGGAGTTGCGATGACAAAAGGTTGCAGTAGTATAATGGGCAAATAAGTTCAAAGGGGTGTAACTCCTGGAAAAAAAATTGAATCGTAATTTCCTGTCGATATGCACATCTACATAGTATGTCCTTATTATCTGAAAAGGTTTCATGAAATTCTGTTGTGTGGTTTGAGAGGAGTCGCGATGACAAAAGGTTGCAGTAGTATATTGGGCAAATAAGTTCAAAGGGGTGTAACTCCTGGAAAAAAAATTGAATCGTAATTTCCTGTCGATATGCACATCTACGTAGTATGTCCTTATTATCTGAAAAGGTTTAATGAAATTCTGTTGTGTGGTTTGAGAGGAGTTGCGATGATAAACTGTTGCAGTAGTACATTAAAGTAAATAAGTTCAAAGGGGCGTAACTCCTAGAAAAAGAATTGAATCGTAATTTCCTGTCGATATGCACAACTACATAGTATGTCCTTATTATCTAAAAAGGTTTCGTGAAATTCTGTTGTGTGGTTTGAGAGTTGTGATGACAAGAAACAGGACTGACGGACTGACAGACTGACGGACAGACGGACGGACGGGTCAAAAACATTATACCCTCCGCAACTCGTTGCGTGGGGTATAATTAAGTTGGTTTTCTTTATAGCAATGCTGCAGTGTTCTTCTCCTGACCTTGTATCATCATGGCCTGCAGTGTTTTCCTGATTGTGATCTTTATATAAAGTATTTTATAAACAAAACCTTTTTTATAATCAGTGCAAATTTTCCAGCTGGCCCCATTTTTTTTATATCAATAATGTAATTTTTGCACTGGATTTCCTCCTTAAAATGTGCTCTATATAAATCATTTCAATATGAAAATTATCTTAACAATTATTCCCTTCAAATTTGTATTTATCTTGTTTCTTTTTTGGTTATTTTCTTTGAAATAACCACTCAGGTGAATACTGAAGAAACCAAAACAATGATCTTAACAATAATCAGTTCACAAATGAGAACTCACTTTTTGAACTTCCAAGTACCACCTATAATTAATTTATTGTTCTATTCAATGATAAAAGTGGCTGAATTCCACAGGAAAGAAAAAATTCAGCCGTTCTGATTCACATGTGTTGAAATCATGTTTCTATATGTCAACTGTTTGTGAAGTGAAGGTGACAACTTTTCTTTTATGTCCCCATATAAAGCCCTAAAATTTTACCTAGGTCACAAAAATATCCACATATATTTATATTTTGGTGATCTATTATGTGTGTATTTGATGTAACCTGACCTATTACATAATGCCTAGTTTAAAATAAAATTTTGTTGGTTTTTTAATTCTAAAAGAACCTACCCAATAGCTTTAGCTATGTAACCAAATGTATTGACTGTTGCTCTCCTGATAGCTTTCTTGTGTGCTTTCAGTAATTCCAGTAACTCAAAACAAATCCTCATCCATTCCCTGGCTGATACATATTCTGCTCCTCTATCAGCTATTCTACCTACTAAGTCAATACAATTCTCTTGTACCTTTTCATGTCTGTAATAAAAATGTTCTAATTTAAGAAAGGCTTTCAACAAGGTTGCAGTTAAATATATAAATCTCAAATCATATTATCATGTACATTCTGGGTTTTATTTGGCCCTATTAATTGACTTAATATAACAAAATTGGATGATACTAATACTTCTTCCATTTTTTTTACCTCCTGATATAGGCTCTACAAAAATGTGATAGAATTGGGTAAGTTCTGATGAATCCATTTCATTGTGTCAGATGTCATTTTGAAGTGACTCTATAGTGACATATTTTCAATGTTTTTAAAATTCTAAATCTTTTAGAAAATTTGCTATACAATTTATTTAAGAGTCAATCCAGACCCAAATCTGATATCTTTGAAATGATAATATGAAACAAAACTTATTGTACTTCTTTAACAGACAGTGAAAAATTTTTTATATGAGAAGAATCGTATGAATGGAATATTAACATAAAATTTTCAAGTTTAAGTCTCAATCTGTAAGTTATTAAATGAACTCTTACACAAAATTTTCAAACATAAAATAATCCATTCTAGTTTAAAGTTTACCTGTTTTTCAGAATAGGTGTAAGTCTTGGTAAGAGATCTTTGATGGGTGGTGTCATCTTTGTCATACCAATGACATTGACAATGCCTTTCAGAGCCCCCAGGATACTTCCTAATACCTCTGGATATTCCTCTCCCAAGTATTCATACAATACAACACCTAAATGTCCCATCAATCTTTCCTGTAAAAAAAAAAAGTATTTCATTGATTAAAGTAGTTATACAGATTGTATTTGCTTGACAAAGAATATACTCCTGAAGTTTAACATTTTGCAAAGAAGAATATAAAAGTTACACATTGTTGGCCTCTTAAATAAAAAGTATAGAAACACTTGTATGAACTTAATGTTTCAAATAATTGCCTTCAGATGTTCATGAGGAATGAGTCTCTCAGACTTCTTTAATGTTGCCTTTAACATTTTCTTCAAGGCTATAGATATTGATTTCCTCCTTTTTAGATATAAAGATTTGTAGATATTTCCATTAATATTTAGGTACAAACAACAACTTCATATAAACAGAAATATATTTTGCAAAAGGTTGATGCAAGTTAAATGTTGTTAATTACATTTCTCTACTAAAGTGTCAAGACTATATCATCTTATTCATTTACCAAAAAAAACAAACTTGGATGGACTGAACAGGCAAATAATGGCCTTCATCATATCTCCTCCTTTCTTTTATCTTATTCATGAAAGGAAATACTTAGGAATAATTCTTTAACCAAATAGAAGTACATAAAAAAATATTCAAATAACAAAATGCATGTTCTAATGAAAAGAAGTATATTGTTTATATAAAAGTAAATATTTTTTTTATTTTCTATTAAACAGAACCCTATTTAACTTTACTTCTGTTTTAAGTGATCGTCATCTATAAATTATGAATAGGATCACTGTGTTTTAATTATATTCAATAAATAAATCAAAGTTCTCACCTCCTGACAAGTTTTCATGACTATTGCAATTCTTGAGATGAGATCTGCAGCCTGTTGTCGTACTTTGGCAGACTTGTTGTTAAGACGCCACAGGATTGTACCACAGATCTGAGGGAGATATGGCTTTACACGCTTCCCAAGGGCATTAACCACTGTACCAAACCCATTCAACATCACTACATCCTGTTTGTCAACAACAAAAAAGAAAAATACAGGGTTATTAATTTTATTTATATAAAATATCAAAATACAATTATAAATCAAATATAAAAATAAACTCAAAATAAACCAATTTTCAACAAATGTAAAATCTCCGACAATTAACAAGAAAAAAATGGATCAAAAACTCAAAATGGCTGGGTTGCACAAAATGTCTATAAAATTTACTACACTCCATACTGGGGAGTGTGCTACTTCAATATATGGAGTAAATTCCTTTATTTCATAACAGATCATGCATAACATCAATATATTACATCAATATATAGTTTAAAGAATCTGGGTTTACAGTAGGAAGAGTTCATTACACTAAAAAGATACCAAATTTAACTGCTCAACATCACCATCCTTTAAGTCAGTTTTCTTCGTGCAACCCAGCTTACACATCGCAATAACTTACACAATTTCTTAGTACAATATGAATTCAGTAGTTTATCAAATTTGGTACATCCAAATGAAACAGTAGAGAAATTTCCTACAGGAGAAAATTTAATTGAAAAAAACATGGTTAAGAAGTTTAATTTGTATATTAATAAGGAGGAAATCAGTTGAAAAACATTGTTAAGTAGTTTAATTTGTGAATTATTTAAAATGTACTGACGAGGTAGCACCAATTAAATTTTTAGTTCTTTTATTGCTTTGGTACCAGTTTTTGACAGATAATTTTTCTTTAAAAAAAAATAGTTTTATCATATCCCACAGACAAAATACAAGCATAGCAATTGATTGTATTGCACCCTTAGTTAAATCAAATATAAATATGTTTAACCGTTCAACAATAAAATAAATTTTCTTTAAAAAACTTTAAATCCTGCATTAGATTGATAGTTCTTACTTTTAAAATGTTTTCAAGAAAAAATATAACAATGTAATTTTTCTTGCTCACAACTCTTGTTTCCCTAATTCCTAAAGAACTATAATGTTACATTTTATATACCAAAAGAAATTTTATCTGATAAAAATCACTCTACACCCATTCTCAGTTCTATAGTATGATCTTGATTTCACAACTTTCTGAATTTCTCCATTCTTAAGCTTGAAATATATATTACGTTTACTAGTCCACATATATTTCACATTTAAAATGTCACTTTGTATTGTCTTTTGGATAAATTTATTGATAACACAGAAAATGTTGAGAAGGTGAAAATTTACCTGTAATTAAAAATAAAATGCTTCGCTGGGGCGCAGCTTGATACGACCGCAGAGGTCGAACCCTGAACAGTTGGGGCAAGTATGGACACAAAATTCAAGCTTGATACAGCTATGACTTTGGATTGTCATTAAATATTTGACACAGCATAGGTTTCTGACACAGGATGAATGTGGTGTAAGAACTGGAAAAAATTTAATTTACCTATTATGGTGGAATCTCCATAAACTAAATTGTTTGTTAATTTCAATATATCAAAGAATATGTAGAATTCAATGTTTGATGTAATGTAATAAAGTTGAAATTTGGACCGTTTTTGTTCAATGTGGACCAATTTGGTAACATGTATAAATAATCAAAAATCTAAATACATGGGAGCCCATTTAAATACATCATAAAGGTATTAAAATAGAAAGTGACATCATAGTCATGGCTAAAAATAAACAAAAATCCTTAATCAGCAACATTTAAAGTAATATCTAAAAATAAAATTCCTTTGTAACCATAAAAGCCCATTTAAATACATCATAAAGATATTAAAATAGAAAATGACATCATAGTCATGGCTAAACATAGCAAAAAACCCTTAATCAGCATCATTTAACAGTAATATCTAAAAATGGAAATTACATCATAAAGGTATTAAAATAGAAAATGACATCATAGTCATGGCTAAAAATAAACAAAATCCTTAATCAGCATCAGCAACATTTTATAGTAATATCTAAAAATAAAATTCCTTTGTAACCATAAAAGCCCATTTAAATACATCATAACAGATATTAAAATAGAAAATGACATCATAGTCATGGCTAAACATAGCAAAAACCTTAATCAGCATCATTTAACAGTAATATCTAAAAATAAAAATTTCTTTGCAACCATAAAAGTAAAATAGAAAATGACATCATAATCATAGCTAAAAATAAACAAAAATTTTTTTTATTGGCAAATTTTAAATGGAGTTTATTATACTAAAACAATAAATTTGCAACCATAAACATGATAAAACCCCATTTAAACACATCATAAAAGTATTAAATAATTCAACTACATCATAAGGCTATAAAAATAGAAAATGACTTCATAGTCAAGGCTAAAGGTAAACAAAAAACCTTCATCAGCAAAATTTTATATTGGCAAATTTCCAATGAAGTTTATTACACTAAAATTGTTGGCAAATTTCCAATGCATTTATTAACAATAAAGTTATTGGCAAATTTCCAATTTACATAATTTAAAAGCAGTGTAGATGAGATATTTAAATGAGTTTGAATTACCAACCTTACACTGCTTTTAAATAATGTTCTTTACTCAATTATTTGTCTATTAAAATGGAAACCCTTGTTTTTTAACCTTTTTTCCCCTTATTCCTTAAACATTAGAGCACACTAAAAAAATCCTTATTTTCCACCAATATTTGGCCCCTTATTCATAAATGTTTGAGCAATTAACCCCAAAACTCAATTCCTACTTTCTCTTCGTGATAAAAAATAACTAACTTAAAATGTAAATTTTAAACAAAAAAAAAAGGAAAAAAAAAATTACCCCTTTTTTGACCCCCGCCCCCCTTATGATTCATCACCCCCACCCCCCTTTCCCCCCAAACCAAGCTCAATAACAGCCTTGCCTTTGTGGTATGGTACCTTGTAATACAATTTTAGAGAGATCCATACACTTGAACACAAGTTATCGTCTAGAAACTAAAAAATGCTTATTTTAAACCCCTTTTTAGGCCCCTTATTACTAAACGTTTTGGGCAATTACCACAACACTCAATTCCAGCTTTCCCTTTGTGAAATGGAACCTTGTAGTAAAATTTCAGAAAGATCCATACACTTACACACAAGTAATTGTCATGAAACTAGAAAAATGCTTGTTTTTTGCCCCCTTTTGGCCCCTTATTCCTAAAATTTTGAGGCAATTAACCCCAAAATCAATCCCAGCATTGACCCTTTGTGATATGGAATCTTGTGGTACAATGTCAAAGAGATCCATATGCTAACACACAAGTTATGTCTGGAAGTTACAAAAATGCTTATTTTCGGCCCCTTTTTGGCCCCTAATTCCTTAACTGTTGGTACCATAACCCCCAAAATCAATCCCCACCTTCCTATTGTGGTATTGAACCTTATGGTAAAATTTCATAGAGATCCATTCACTTAAACTAAAGTTAGAGTGCGAAAACCATTGTGTATTCGGACGACGACGCCAGACGACGACGACGACGACGCCAACGTCATACCAATATACGACCTCAAAATTTTTTTGCGGTCGTATAAAAAGCATGCATTACTTGCTATAAGACAATGTATTAAATGTAAAAGTAAAACAAATGGATACACATTTACCCTTTTTGTAAACTTCATATACATTACTGAAGGGTTAATGAGTAAAGAATTTTTCACTTTTTGTGTATGGTAGTGTGTTTTCCAGTTTTTATTTTTAGATGTTGCATTCCAAATAAATGTGGATAGTGTCCACATGTGGACACAGATGATGCCCCCGCTTGCACATCACATAGTTATAAAGGGACATAACTGAAGAACGGTAAAGTGACGCTACCCAAATTTGAACTTGATCTGAGTTTTGTGGTAATTAGTATTGTGTGTAAGTCTCATAACATTTGGTTGAGGCTATCTTAAAAAGAGAACAGAAACTAAAAATTCAGCAAATTTTCTGTTTGTAAACACGCATAACTCTAGAACTGTTGTGTATAAGTTTTATAACATTTGGTTGAGACAAACTAAAGTTAGAGAAAACGAAAAATTAAGCAATTTTTATGTTTATAAAGGGACATAACTCAAGAATGGTAAATGGGTCGCCACCAAATTTCGTACTTAATCTGTATTATGTAGTAATAAGCATTGTGTATAAGTTTCATAACATTTGGTTGAGGCAAACTAAAGTTAGAAAACGGAAACAAATTAATTTATCAGTAGGAAGTAAAATTGAATATTGCATCGTATAAAGCATTCGTTGTAGTTGATTCAACTACCATTATGCACAAAGAAAGATAACTCCAATTTTCAAAGAAGACTTTTGAATATTTTTAGAAATGAACGGTAAAAATTGCTTTAATTTATCAGGGGAAGGCAAAATTAAACATTGCATTGTATAAAGCATTGATTGTAGCTGATTCAACTATAATCATGGACAAAGGAAGATAACTCCAATTTTAATATAAAATGACTTGATATTTAGAAATTATTTTTTTTTTAAATTTAACAATTTTTCCATTTGTAAAGGGCATAACTCTAGAACAGTAGAAGTGACAGCACCAAAATTCGAACTTGATCTGTATATTGTGGTAATAAGCATTGTGTATAAGTTTCATAACATTTGGTTGAGGCAAACTTAAGTTAGAGAACGGAAACGAAAAATTTAGCAATTTTTCCATTTGTAAAGGAGCACAACTCTAGAACGGTAAAAGTGACGCCACCAAAATTCAAACTTGATCTGTATTTAGTGGTAATAAGCAATGTGTATAAGTTTCATAACATTTGGTTGAGGCAAACTAAAGTTAGAGATCGGAAACCAACTTTGGGACGTACGGACGGACGTACAGACGGACAAGGGTAAAACTTAATGCCCCCTCCTCTACGGCGGAGGCATAAAAAATGAATGCAAATATTCTAATAATTTCAGCACAATTCTTCCTCAAACAGTATACTTTTCCATTTTAACTATGATTTTGTCAACCTACTTCTGAATAAAGCTATAATGGAATTAAAGACAGCAAAGGGGTGTTTGGGTACCTTTAAACCTGGTTACCCAAACACAGTTTGTAGTTTTATAAATTCAGCTTAATGTTTCTTATAAGTTTCTGAAGGTTAATGTGGTGAACCATATTTTTTGTGAAACTCCTTTTTGAAATACCATTAGATAAATTTCAGAGACCTCCAAATATGTGAACATGAATTAAATGTTGCAAAGGTGTGAGGAAACATTCAACAGTACGCAAAGTTGTTTTGAAATGTAGACATATATTGGGTCTATTTCAGTACAATTTCTATTCTGGTTTTCTATCAATAAATAATTACATACCTCAGTTGTCTGTTCCTGGAAGGCATACAATATACCATCAATCAACTGTTCTTCTAGACGTGAATCAATATCAGCAGCTCCCAGGTTAGCCATGATTTTTTCAATTGTTTCCATTACCATCTTTCTGTATTGTTCAGCTTCATCTTTTAGGTCGTCTACAACACGACCAACAATTTCTGCTGCTCCAACCTTGTTAGCTATTTCTACTGTGGTATCTACAAGCTGTCTGTAATTCCTTCTATCCAGAGCCATTCTCTGATTCCAAAAATGTTTGAAGAATGGTGGCAGGATTTCTTCTTTAATATACTGTGGTTCTACACCATCAGTTGCACAACACTGTTTCACTACCTATAAATTCAAAACATTTATGACTTATGACAAATAAATGTGGATAGTGTCCACATGTGGACACAGATGATGCCCCCGCTTGCATAGCATATAGTTATAAAGGGACATAACTGAAGAACGGTAAAAGTGACGCTACCCAAATTTGAACTTGATCTGAGTTTTGTGGTAATAAGCATTGTGTGTAAGTCTCATAACATTTGGTTGAGGCTAACTTAAGTAGAGAACAGAAACTAATAAAATGCTCCGCAGGGCGCAGCTTGATACGACCGCAGAGGTCGAACCCTGAACAGTTGGGGCAAGTATGGACACAACATTCAAGCTTGATACAGCTTTGCATTTGGATTGTGATTAAATATTTGACACAGCATAGGTTTCTGACACAGAATGAATGTGGTCTAAGAACTTAATAATTTTTAATTGGACATTCACCTATTATGGTCCAATATCCAAAATCTAAATACATGGTTAGATTCAGCATATCAAAGAACCCCAAGAATTCAATTTTTGATGAAATCAAACAAAGTTTAATTTTGGACCCTTTTGACCTCAATGTGGACAAAGTTGATAACGGGGCCCAAAAATCAAAAATCTAAATACATGGTTAGATTCAGCATATCAAAGAACCCCATATATTCAATTTTTGTTGAAATCAAACAAAGTTTAATTTTGGACCCCGATTTGGACCAACTTGAAAACTGGGCCCATAATCAAAAATCTAAATACATGTTTAGATTCAGCATATCAAAGAACCCTAAGAATTCAATTTTTGTTAAAATCAAACTAAGTTTAATTTTGGACCCTTTGGACCTTAATGTAGACCAATTTGAAAACGGAACCAAAATTTAAGAATCTAAATACACAGTTAGATTCGGCATATCAAAGAACCCCAATAATTCAATTTTTGATGAAATCAAACAAAGTTTAATTTTGGACCCTTTGGACCTCAATGTGGACCAATTTAAAAACGGGGCCCAAAATCCAAAAACTAAATACACGGTTAGATTCAGCATATTAAAAAACCCCATGAAATCAAGAATAAAACCCCATTGAAATTGGTCAAGAAATAAGCAATTTATAGGAAGTATCTTCTTTTGCACAATCCTGTGCTATTAAATATTTCTTGCTATTGCGCAATACTGTACAATTGACAATTTCTTGCTATTGCGCAATATTGTGCTATTGGATATTTCTTGCTATTGCGCAATACTGTGCAATTGAAGATTTCTTGCTATTGCGCAATACTGTGCAATTGAAGATTTCTTGCTATTGTGCAATACTGTGCAATTGAAAATTTCTTGCTATTGCACAATACTTATTATATAATAATTTACACATCCTGTTTGGTGTGTATCTCCTACCATATCATTATTATTTGATTTTAAATATAAATCAGAAATAACCAACTTAAAATGGAAAATTTTAAAAGAAACAAAAAAGGAAAAAAAGAAAAAAAAGGAAAAAAAAATAAATCCCCCCCCAAATTTTTTTGAACCCCCATTATGATTCATCACCCCCAAACTCAATCCCAGCCTTCCCTTTGTGGTATGGTACCTTGCAGTACAATTTCAGAGAGATCCATACACTTGAACACAAGTTATTGTCTGGAAACTAGAAAAAAATGTGTTTTTTGGCCCCTTTTTGGCCCCAAATTCCTAAACATTTAGGGCAATTACCCCCAAACTCAAACCCAGCTTTCCCTTTGTGATATGGAACCTTGTAGTACAATTTCAGAAAGATCCATACACTTACACACAAGTTATTGTCATGAAACTAGAAAAATGCTTGTTTTTTGCCCCTTTTTTGGCCCCTAATTCCTAAAATTTGGAGGCAATTACCCCCAAAATCAATACCAGCATTCCTTTAGTGATATGGAACCTTGTGGTACAATGTCAGAGAGATCCATACACTAACACACAAGTTATGTCTGGAAGTTACAAAAATGCTTATTTTTGGCCCCTTTTTGGCCCCTAATTCCTTTACTGTTATTACCATAACCCCCAAAATCAATCCCAACCTTCCTTTTGTGGTATTGAACCTTGTGGTAAAATTTCATAAAGATCCATTCACTTAAACTAAAGTTAGAGTGCGAAAACCAATGTGTCTTCGGACGACGCCGGACGACGACGATGACGACGACGACGACGCCAACGTCATACCAATATACGACCACAAAAATTTTTTTGCGGTCGTATAAAAATTCAGCAATTTTTCTATTTGTAAACACGCATAACTCTAGAATGGTTGTGTATAAGTTTTATAACATTTGGTTGAGACAAACTAAAGTTAGAGAACGGAAACGAAAAATTCAGCAATTTTTATGTTTATAAAGGGACATAACTCAAGAATGGTTAAAGTGTTCTCACCAAATTTCGTACTTAATCTGTATAATGTAGTAATAAGCATTGTGTTTAAGTTTCATAACATTTGGTTGAGGCCAGGGATGGGCACGATTACTGACAAATGTAATCGATTAATAATCGATTACATGGAGGATTTTTGTGTAATCAATTAATAATCGATTACTTTGATTTTTGTATGTAATCGATTGCAATCGATTACTTTATCAAAAGTAATTACATTACTTTTCGATAACTGTCAATTACATGCTACAAAATTACAAAAAAATAATAAAGTAAGTTAAACACAATATTGTTGCTCAACGTTTGTATAGTGGAAATTTAGAACTTTACCAAAAACAGCATTTAAAGCATTGTTTCCAAATTTTAAGTTGACAGTTGTTTTCTAGATGGATTCTCTTACTGAGGATTAGAAATATTCAAAAATTCTTGAAATTTTGGCTTTCAACATGAATGAGAGATGACATCGCATTGCATCAAACACTTATCTATATTGTAGATTTTTTTCATAAATTTTGCTACCATACTGACTTAAGTTAGCTTTTTGTTTTTTACTAATTAAAAACAGGTATATTTTAACATAGTTAATTACAATGTTGGAATTTTCCTCTGAAAAAAAATGTAAAAAAGGTAGAATAATTAATTAGTTCAGCTAATTTTAAAGATCGAAATTTATAATTATAATGACATGCATGAATTAATCCTTTTGTTTGGATAACCACCCTAATTACAGGTTATAAAACTGCCAATGGAGTACACTTTATAACCTGGGGCAAAATAATGTAAATCTCCTTCTTAATTAGAAATAATTGAAAAGAAAACAAAGTCTGCATCTTATTGATTAGAAGTCTTTGATCATCTGATTAGTAAAGACAAGAAGTTTGTTTAGATTTTTTTAATTCTCTATTCAATTTGTAAACAATATATATTTATAGTGTCAAAATGGGATACATGTATCTATTTCTGAAAAAGAATTTCAATGCATAGCCATTGGTTCATTGTTGTAAGGATTTTGTGTACTTTCTTAATTTTTGTATCATAACATTATAAGGAATCAACTGTGTATCTATTCTAAGCTAAAATTTCAACTCTTATTGAAAATTATGCTTTAAGGAATTTAAATACAAGTAAACTTACTACTTTAATGTAGTACAGAACTTAACTTAAGACTCATTTCTTATTTTAAATCTATTTTCTTATTTCAAATCTATTTTCTTATTTTAATAAAAAAGGTCTTGAATTATTGACAAGCACATAAATTCATTTGTTTCAAAAGCTAGATATAAAGTAAAATTTGGTAGGGGTTCTGGTTGATCATATTGCAGCTTGAGACAAAAGATAGAAATAAGGCAGTTGATAAACTCTTCAGTCATTTTAATACATTCTACTTTTATCTGTACTATACCGTGATGAAAACATACATATTTTCATTTAATATATGTAATATTTCATCAAACTGTTTTACTAAAGTAATCGAAATGTAATCGAAAAGTAATCGATGATTACATCATAATTTTTGCTGTAATCGATTAAATTACGATTACATGTAATCGAAGATGTCTTCAATTACAGATTACTGTCGATTACTGGAAAAAATGTAATCAATTACAATCGATTACAATTACAGATTACGATTACCCCATCCCTGGTTGAGGCAAACTAAAGTTAGAAAACGGACACAAAAAATTTGTACTTGATCTTAGTTTTGTGGTAATGAATATAGTGTTTAGGTTTCATAATGTTTGGTTGGGGCAAACTTAAGTTACAGAATGGAAACTAAAAATTTTGGCAATCTTTCCATTTATAAAGGGGCATAACTCAATAATGGTTAAAGTGACACTACCCAAATTCAACTTGATCTGTGTTTTATCAGTGGAAGTCAAAATTAAACATTGCATTGTATAAAGCATTGATTGTAGTTGATTCAACTATAATCATAGACAAAGGAAGATAACTCCAATTTTAATAAAATGCTCCGCAGGGCGCATCTTGATACGACCGCAGAGGTCGAACCCTGAACAGTTGGTGCAAGTATGGACACAACATTCAAGCTTGATACAGCTTTGCATTTGGATTGTGATTAAATATTTGACACAGCATAGGTTTCTGACACAGAATGAATGTGGTCTAAGAACTTAAAAATTTTAAATTGGACATTCACCTATTATGGTCCAATATCCAAAATCTTAATACATGGTTACATTCAGCATATCAAAGAACCCCAAGAATTCAATTTTTGATGAAATCAAACAAAGTTTAATTTTGGACCCTTCTGACCTCAATGTGGACAAAGTTGATAACGGGGCCCAAAAATCAAAAATCTAAATACATGGTTAGATTCAGCATATCAAAGAACCCCATATATTCAATTTTTGTTGAAATCAAACAAAGTTTAATTTTGGACCCCGATTTGGACCAACTTGAAAACTGGGCCCATAATCAAAAATCTAAATACATGTTTAGATTCAGCATATCAAAGAACCCTAAGAATTCAATTTTTGTTAAAATCAAACTAAGTTTAATTTTAGACCAATTTGAAAACAGAATCAAAAATTAAGAATCTAAATACATGGTTAGATTCGGCATATCAAAGAACCCCAATAATTCAATTTTTGATGAAATCAAACAAAGTTTAATTTTGGACCCTTTGGACCTCAATGTGGACCAATTTAAAAACGGGGCCCAAAATCCAAAAACTAAATACACGGTTAGATTCAGCATATTAAAGAACCCCAAGAATTCAAGAATAAAACCCCATTGAAATTGGTCAAGAAATAAGCAATTTATACGAAGTATCTTCTTTTGCACAATACTGTGCAATTAAATATTTCTTGCTATTGCGCAATACTGTACAATTGACAATTTCTTGCTATTGCGCAATATTGTGCTATTGGATATTTCTTGCTATTGCGCAATACTGTGCAATTGAAGATTTCTTGCTATTGCACAATACTGTGCAATTGAAGATTTCTTGCTATTGTGCAATACTGTGCAATTGAAAATTTCTTGCTATTGCACAATACTTATTATATAATAATTTACACATCCTGTTTGGTGTGCATCTCCTACCATATCATTATTATTTGCTTTTAAATATAAATCAGTAATAACCAACTAAAAATGGAAAATTTTAAAAGAAAAAAAAAAAAAACCCCCCCCCCCCCCCCCCCAATTTTTTGAACCCCCTTATCATTCATCACCCCCAAACTCAATCCCAGCCTTCCCTTTGTGGTATGGTACCTTGCAGTACAATTTCAGAGAGATCCATACACTTGAACACAAGTTATTGTCTGGAAACTAGAAAAATGTGTTTTTTGGCCCCTTTTTGGCCCCAAATTCCTAAACGTTTAGGGCAATAACCCCCAAACTCAAACCCAGCTTTCCCTTTGGGATATGGAACCTTGTAGTACAATTTCAGAAAGATCCATACACTTACACACAAGTAATTGTCCTGAAACTAGAAAAATGCTTGTTTTTTGCCCCTTTTTGGCCCCTAATTCCTAAAATATTGGGGCAATTACCCCCATCATCAATCCCAGCCTTCCCTTTGTGGTATGGTACCTTGCAGTACAATTTCAGAGAGATCCATACACTTGAACACAAGTTATTGTCTGGAAACTAGAAAAATGCTTATTTTTGGCCCCTTTTTGGCACCCAATTCCTAAACGTTTCTGAAATTACCCCCAAACTCAATTCCAGCTTTCCCTTTGTGATATGGAACCTTGTAGTACAATTTCAGAAAGATCCATACACTTACACACAAGTTATTGTCATGAAACTAGAAAAATGCTTGTTTTTTGCCCCTTTTTGGCCCGTAATTCCTAAAATATTGAGGCAATTACCCCCATCATCAATCCCAGCCTTCCCTTTGTGGTATGGTACCTTGCAGTACAATTTCAGAGAGATCCATACACTTGAACACAAGTTATTGTCTGGAAACTAGAAAAATGCTTATTTTTGGCCCCTTTTTGGCCCCCAATTCCTAAACGTTTCGGAAATTACCCCCAAACTCAATTCCAGCTTTCCCTTTGTGATATGGAACCTTGTAGTACAATTTCAGAAAGATCCATACACTTACACACAAGTTATTGTCATGAAACTAGAAAAATGCTTGTTTTTTGCCCCTTTTTTTGCCCCTAATTCCCAAAATTTTGAGGCAATTACCCCCAAAATCAATACCAGCATTCCTTTTGTGATATGGAACCTTGTGGTACAATGTCAGAGAGATCCATACACTAACACACAAGTTATGTCTGGAAGTTACAAAAATGCTTATTTTTGGCCCCTTTTTGGCCCCTTATTCCCTTACAGTTGGTACCATAACCCCTAAAATCAATCCCAACCTTCCTTTTGTGGTATTGAACCTTGTGGTAAAATTTCATAGAGATCCATTCACTTAAACTAAAGTTAGAGTGTGAAAACCAATGTGTCTTCGGATGACGACGACAACGACGACGACGCCGCCAACGTCATACCAATATACGACCACAAAAATTTTTTTGCGGTCGTATAAAAATTACTTGATATTTACAAGAAAATAAAAATTTTGCAATTGTTCCATTTATAAAGGGGCATAACTCTATAACGGTTAAAGTGAGGCCACCAAAATTCAAACTTCATCTGTGTTTTGTGGTAATAAGCATTGTGTATAAGTTTCATATCATTTGGTTGAGGCAAACTTAAGTAAGAGAACCAGAAACTAAAAATTTTGCAATTTTTCCATTTATAAAGGGGCATAACTCTATAACGGTTAAAGTGACGCCACCAAAATTCAAACTTGATCTGTGTTTTGTGGTAATAAGCATTGTGTATAAGTTTCATAACATTTGGTTGAGGCAAACTTAAGTTAGAGATCGGAAACCAAGTTTGGGAGGTATGTACGTACATACGGACAAGGGTAAAACTTAATGCCCCCACCGCTACGGCGGGAGCATAATAAAAAACAGAATAAATAGTACAAAATTTTTTTCAAATTATTCAGGCCTTATAAAAAGTATCAAAATTTATACTTATACATCAATTTCTAGGTCCTAAGAAAGAAGATACAAAAAATGCAGACATTGATATTTCTATGGAGTTGTTTTTCAGTTTCAGCCATAGACAATATGTATATTTAAGAATTGAATGATTCTTTTTATAGTCTTATTGGGATGTAAAAGCATTATCCTAGGCACATTTTGTTTGAAGCATGAAGCGCTTCATTCTAAAAATGTGCACACGATCAACCTTTTACAACCCTATAAAACCATAAAAAGAAGCATTCAATTCTTATAATTACATTTTAATGCTACAACCATGAAATTAAGAGTTATATCAAGCTTTTTGTTTGTTTTCTATGCATTGTTTTAAGATTGTCATGGATAGCATGTGCTGTCATAGCTGTTGTATTTCATTTGGAAATACAATTTGATATTGGAGTGCTTAACAATTGTTGTCAGCCAATCAAAAATTATGGATTCCAATGAAACAAACATGTAATTATTCAATAATAAGGTGAGTATTCATTTTTCTGTCATCTTCATACATTATAATATGTTTGTATGCAGGGAATATTCACCTTTTTCAGAAAAATGTCCATTGTGAAGTGTCTCTTATCAAGAATATACTTTAAAATGTTACAAATCTAAACACATTATATAATATTGAAAAACAGTTTTCTAAAGCTATTCTTGATATTTGCCTGCATTTTACAACTTTCTATTGATGACCTACCTTTAATACAATCTTTTTCATTTCTTCATCAGGAGACTGGAACTCTCTAATCAAGATCAACATCACTTCTCTGGTATAGTAGTTAGCATACTCAGCATCCATTAAGGGGATTAAATATCCAATAGCCTTCAGGAAAGCAGCCAAACCCTACAAATACATGTATGTGATATAACGTGATAAACTGCTAACATAACTGGTACATACAGTTCAAAGGCCTTAGGGACCTGACACAACTATGTACCTTTATTTCAGGTCTGGTCTTCTGAGGTCGATAAGTTTCACCAGGGATTTTTAATTTGTTGGTTTACAGAATTTTAATCTAAAATGTTAAGGGAGGTCTTTTGAGGGAGAAATAGGGGGGAAAACTGATCTTATAAAACACAACATTGAATAAGTTTACATTGTATTTCATCTTTATCTACTTATATTTTGTAATGTTCTGTAACTTTAACAGCCTATGAGAAAGAGTCTGTTTCACCATTGATGACGACATACATTGTGTGTTTGAAACTGCTGATCAAATATGTTTTGAACTAAAATCTTATGGAATGATGTCTGTATAAAATAGCGCATAATTTGAAAATGGGGCATTTTGTGCAAATATATCTGTTAATCAATAAATTAGAAAACTCTCCCTGTGCATCATGTTTTGGGATTTGATTTTTTAGCAAAGTATTTCTAATCAAACATACTTTTCCATTTCATCTGCACCAATAACTTTTTTATAATAAATTACGAGAAACAAAAATTCACAAATGTTTACAATTGTTATTGTATAGAATAAAGAGATGTGGTATGTTTGCCAATGAGACAAATATCCACCAGAGACCAAATGAAGTAGATGTTAGCAACTATGATTGCTGTACAAGAAAATTGATGGGCATAGTATGAATATTTTACTACATATTTTGAACTTCAATGTTTTTTTTCAAAATGTTTTTAGGACTTAGAAATTAATCTTTTAACGCATAAAGGTTAATTCATGTTCATTTTTCTTTGAGGGGATTTCAAAATATACCCAGTAAACCAAAATTAAAAAAAAAATACGATTCATTGGAGTTAAAAATGTATTAAAGAAATGAGATTTTAACAGAACTAATAAAATACTTCTACTTAATTTTTCCTGAAGCCTTGAAAATCGGTACCCAACAAATTAAATTAATATGCAGTATACGTGATATATATTCTTTTTCCTTCAAGATATTTTTCTTCAGTGTTTTCTTCCTTGTCACAATAATCTGTTACATATGTTTTCAAATAAACAGTGTTCTAGTAAATGAACTTTCATTTTCATTTCAGTATAAACAAATGATCCTCAGAAATTGAAATTCAATTAAACAAAGAAACATTTCTTCTTTTCATCTTTGTTAAATCTGATTCTTTACTTCCTCCCTGGCCGGGCTATATATATATCCTGATACTAACCTTTCCTCTGTGTTGCCTGATACCCTTCCACAATGGTTTCAGTACACTATCAAAGGATTCAATACCATAAGGAGTGGCCGCCTCTGCAAGAGCAGCTAAAGCCAAAGCTGTAATGGTTCTCACTTTCTGCTGTTCATCCACTAGACCTAAATATAGTTAAAAAAAAAAAATAATATGAATAATCAAATTACAAATTGTTGGCAACAAAAGTATACATTTTTTTTTATAAAATACTCATCTTAAAAGATTTTTACTTAACAAAAATACAATTCTATTGAGATTTATTCTTGTTTGTTAGAGTGTAAATATAATGACAGTCTAGAACGGTAAACAACACAAGATGTCAAACAATTCCACCATGTCTGAAAGTTTCATGAAATTAAAAATACGAAAAGGACTAAAAAGAACAAATGTCAGCGGAACATAAGAAAAAGTGTAATATGGACCTATTTTACTAGTAATTTTTGGGGCCCTTTATAGCTTGCTGTTCGGTGTGAGCCAAGGCTCCATGTTGAAGACCGTACTTTGACCTATAATGGTTTACTTTTATAAATTTTGACTTGGATGGAGAGTTGTCTCATTGGCACACATATCACATCTTCTTATATCTATTTGACTGTAATCTGACCTACTCCTTAAAGTGCACTGCAATGCCTGTTAAGATGATCAAATATCTTATACTAAAAAAGATAAAAATTTCTGTGTATACTTGAACAAGTGCCATTGAAGCATAAAAAGTAAGTCAAATAGCCATATGCCTGCTTGTTGACCTCCCGAAAGTCAACCATCTTGGTCCATTAGAGAAGGGGTATAATTATATAACTTTCCCTCTTTCTGAGAAATTGGTCTGAATGAACATGCCCTAGTGCACAAAGGCACATGGCAAATGCACTTCATTAGAGCCCAACAATTCAAAGTGGACAAACTACAAAATACAGAAAATTTAATGTTCACTTGTCTATGCCCCTAAAATACACATGTACTGCATGTTCACTTGTCTATGCCCCTAAAATACACATGTACTGCATGTTCACATTCTTCACCTTTATTTTTCAGTATGTAGCACCTTAACGTAATTTGGGGCTCACATGGAGTTAAATAATATATAAAGATTAACCTCACCATGTTCAATAATTTCTACTAAATTTTTTAAGTGTGGCAATATAGCACAACCCATCAAGATGGCAATCTGTTGTACAATTTTAATTCCGGTATGTCTAGCTTGCCAACTCTTCTTACTCTTACATACAGCCTTCAAGAATGGCAGGAGTGATGGTATTCCTAAAGCTGAAGCGACAACAGCAAAGGCTCTAGCTGTGGTATTACGGACATACTCATCCATATTGTCAATATCAGGTCTCATTGTAGAAATCATAGTAGCCAAACCAGCAGCCTGTAAAACACGGTACATTTATTAAAAGTTGACATATCTAAACATTACCATACACTGATCAGTACGATTTTATGTTGTTTTTTTATGTAATGATTAATTTTATGGGCTGTTTTATACAAAATTTATCTTTGAAAAGTCTGGTCCTTGTAATTGAACCAGTTCAGACATGTTACTCCAGTTTTTCATAATCTCAACCTATAAGTAGATTTGGCTAAGTCCATATTTTGATATGAGAATCCACAAAAATCACTCAGATCAAAAGGTCAAATAGCAAAAAGCAACAATGTCCCAAAGATGATTTATCTTAGCAAATTTAGTTGTAATCTGTCAAGCTGTTTTAAAGGAGTTGCAGATAAACAAAGTCTGACACAGACTGCAACATGGACAACACTAGACAACAAGAGATATCTCTGTGTTACTACAGCTTTGCTATGAGGAAACACAACAATACTAGAAGCCCATTCTAATACATACTGGATTCATGGCAAATAAAACAGTTCACATCCAATGTAAGGATACAAAAAGCAAAACAGCAATACTGTAGCACAAAAACATTGCTGATATATTTTCATTTCAGTTTCAAAATGAGGTCATGTTTGGCAATGATTTTGAAGTAATATGAGCCTTGATACATTTGACATATGAAATTTTTACCTTGAAATAACACAAAAGAAACATGCGGAATGAACCTGAACCAAAAACCTTATCAGTTCCTCAATCATATAATATTGGTATAAATAAATCAACATGTTGTGGATCAAAGCTATACAGTATTGTAAGACAGTAGAGGTGAATATATGCTATTGGAATCCTAGTACCATCATGATTTCTTAGTAACAAATTTATAGACACTAAAATATGTGAAAAAAATTGACACAAGTATGGCCAAGAAACTAAGTGGCAATGTATAAAATGTTTTTTTTTGTACCAACCTTTGCTAAATTAGATATGATTTCTCTGCCCTCAACTCTGGCATAATAGTCTTCATCAATCAACAAGGGTTCAATAACAACAAGAATCTTGTGAACATATGGTCTCACCAAATCATCAAGTTTGTACAGGATACGATCAATGACCTTTACCAACAAATGTCTCTCCTGGTCCTCCAATGTAGGAGACATAAGTAAAGGTAATATTTGATTGAACAGGGGACCAGCTCCAAATTCTCTGGCTTTGTCTGTAATCTGTCTTAAAGCAGCCTACAAAATAAAGAACTGTGTAAGTCATAAAACAATATATTTTGGAAACACTTGTCTGAGTCTGAGTATGATAATCGTATTCGAACGTTTTATGACCGTAAGCCCAGATCTGCTTAACCACAGAAAAACTTTACATTATGGAAACATCATATTTTTAAGTTTCTACTAATCAATTTTCTTTATTACATTTTGTATTACCAATTATCATAATGAACACCATACTACTTCATCAAATTATACAGCTATAGCAATGTTTTCTATAATCACTCAAATCATACAGCTATAACAATGATTTCTATAATCACTCAAATTATACAGCTATAACAATGATTTCTATAATCACTCAAATTATACAGCTATAACAATGTTTTCTATAATCTTTGAGTACTAACCTTTCTCATGGGAGGTGTTCCATTTTTTATTTTCAGTAACAGTTTCATGATCTTCCTTTCTTTCTGTTCCTCTGGACTCAGTGTTTCTTCATCAATATCAACCTGTTATGACAAGTACTAATATCAACACATCCATAAATACAATAAATTGCATGCCATTCATAAAAAGATTTTTTGTATTAAGAAACATTTTTGTAACTTGAATAATGACTGATTAATAATGTTATATACCGATGACCATGAATTTCTTTAGTCAGGACAACCTATAACTGGCTATCATACTATTCAGTGCAAAGTTAATAGAATAAACAAGTAAAATATAATGCCTCCTTTCGTTTAAGGGAAGACTTAATTAGGTTTTAATAATAAAGCTATTACACTTACCAGAAGTTTATCAAAGTACTGCATATCATCAGGTTTCATCATAGGCAGGTTACCCTTAGGCTGCATGTCTACAATTTGGACCTTGTTGTCTGGAGTCTGGATACGAAAACCTGTTGGGGTACCTGCTATAGGTGTGGGTGTGGCTAATAACCTTCTGGCTGGAGTTCTGATTGGTACATATCCTGCTGGTGGTTGCAAAACCTACAGTGTAAAAATATACTCAAATTAAATAATATTCACAATTGAAAATAATTATGCAACAAAAGATATTTTCAAAACAATGTCACTTATTATGCTTATTAAAGTTTAAATTTAAATAGATTTATATTATTGAGGATCACCAATAATAAATCATAATATAATTTATGTGTTGCTTTCTTTCGACAGCTGAGCCATCTACTTCAAATTTTCCTGAGAACCCTATTTATACCAATATTTTTACCTTGTATCCTGGTGGCAAAATGGAATCTAATTCATCATCTCCAAGTGGTCTGTTCCTTTCATCTATTTCTCTCTGCCAAGTGAAGGCTTGTAGCTGTTCAGGTGTCATGGACATCAACTGTCCAGGAGAAGGTGTGGCCATGGCCATAGCTTTAGCCCCTATAGGAGTGGCGCCACTGGGAGTGAAACCTGCTGGTGTCTGTCCTCCTGGAGTAAATCCGCTAGGAGTTGATCCACCTGGTGTTGTTCCCCCTGGTGTCATACTAGGAGTAAGTCCACCTGGGGTGTGTCCACCACTTGGAGTGGCACCACCTCCACCACCACCACTTGGTGTGGCACCAGGTGTTTCATCCCAACGAGATCGTCTTTTGCTTGCCCCTGGAGTGGGTGTGTCCTGTATTAAATCTCCACCTCTATCTGTTTTAGGTGTTTCTGCCCATCCACTACCATGTCCAGGGGTTTCTACAAGAAGCAACAATGATTGAATTGTAGAAAAGTTCAGTACATGCCCAAGTCTCACTTCTGCAACTTTGTTGCACACAAGACAAAAACTCACATTTTTACCCTCAAGTTGCAAAAAATATACAGATTAAACTAGGAGAAAATAAAAAATAAGCTGTCACTTGAAAAATCAATTTGGCTATGACATACATGTATATTCTTTTGACATCATAAAGATAAAATGCCAGATTTAAGTAAAAATAGTATAATTTCAATTACATTTTAACTAAATCAATATAAAACACAAGCATCCGTCAGAGGTATTTTTGCAAGTAGGGTAATAATTACAAAGCTGATTTCCTGCTAGAATATCTGTTTGAATAAATTTTGTTTTAAATATTAATAAAAGAACAGAGTTCTTATGTCCCCCATGTTGCACATACTTTATCTGTCCAAGGGCTATAACTAAAAAACTTCTTTTTTTATTCTTTAAAACTTTTTATAAATATTTTAGAGAAAAGAAGGCTTGAGAGCAAATTCATTGCAATTTCCAATAAAATTAATATTCCCAAGGGGCATAACTTTTTTTTAAATATTAAATCAGCACTGATTTTCAAAATTTTCCCAGACATTGCTGATATAAACCTTTGATAATAGATTTGACAACAAGAATGTGTCCATAGTATACAGATGCCCCACTCACACTATCATTTTCTATGTTCAGTGGACTGTGAAATTGGGGTCAAAACTCTAATTTGGCATTAAAATTAGAAAGATCATATCATAGGGAACATCTGTACTAAGTTTCAAGTTGGTGGGACTTCAACTTCATCAAAAACTACCTTGACCAAAAACTTTAACCTGAAGCAGGACAGACGGATGGACGGACGGATGCACAGACCGAAAAGCATAATGCCTCTAGGTGGGGAATAAAAATCAGGCCAAAATTGTACACGAGAGCGCTAACAATGTAATTTTCCATATAATTATTATTTCCTAGGGGTATAACTCTTTTAAAAATAGTTGATCGGCACTGATTTTCGAACTTGTCCATTGAAGACTTGAAGACATTGCTGATATAAACCTATGATATAAGTTTCATAAAAATCTAGAAAGAATTGTACACATGAGAGCGCTAACAATGCAGTTCTCCATATAATTAAAATTTCCAAGGGGCATAAAAATAGTTGCTAGACACTGATTTTTAAATTTGTCCGAGACATTGCTTATATAAACCTATGATATGAGTTTTATACAAATCTGGCTAGAATCGAACACGTGAGAGCGCTAACAAGACCGGACGGACAGATGCACATATAGACGGATGACTGTTTTTCTACGTCCCTGCAACAGTCGCGTGGGGAAAAAAACAACTACTGCAGTGACTTTCAATGATAACTGACAACTTTCAAAACATAAAATTTTAGAAGAACAAGAAATGATTGTAACAGGATGCTGTTACGAAGTCTCCCAAACGAAGCTCCCATAATTCGTAATTCCCAGGGTCGCCTGACATTGGGCAACGTCCAGTGAAAATTGGTTTGGTCCAGTCTAGTTATATGCATTAGTGATGCCTGGGGACTAACCCTGTATACCATTCAAATCATCTTGGCATGACAAACCAGAATATATATGGTTTAGGGTGGGGATCTCGACCATTTACAAGATACTAGAACATTGGGGGTGGGGGGAACACCTGGGGACTGACCCTAAACGTCATTCAAATGTTCGTTACATGACGAACAGGAATATATATGGTTTAGGGGTGGGGATCTCAACCATTTACAAGATATTAGAACATTGGGGGTGGGGGGAACCCCTGGGGACTGACCGTTTACGTCATTCAAATGTTCGAGACATGACAAATAGGAATATATATGGTTTAGGGGTGGGGATCTCAACCATTTACAAGATATTAGAACTTTCTCAAATGGCAGGGGGTCGGGATGACCCCTGGGGACTAACCCTGTATATCATTCAAACCATCTTAGCATGACAAACCAGAATATATATGGTTTAGGGGTGGGGTTTTGACCACTTACAAGATATTAGAACTTTCTTAAATGGCAGGGGGTGGGGGGTGACCCCTGGGGACTCACCCTGTATTTCATTTGATGTGCTCTATCGTGACAAACCAGAATATATATGGTTTAGGGGTGGGGATCTCGACCATTTACAAGATATTAGAACTTTCTCAAATGGCAGGGGGTCGGGATGACCCCTGGGGACTAACCGTGTATATCATTCAAACCATCTTAGCATGACAAACCAGAATATATATGGTTTAGGGGTGGGGATCTTGACCACTTACAAGATATTAGAACTTTTTTAAATGGCATGGGGTGGGGTGCCCCCTGGGGTCTAACCCTGTATTTCATTTGATGTGCTTTATAATGACAAACCAGAATATATATGGTTTAGGGGTGGGGATCTCGACCATTTACAAGATATTAGAACTTTCTCAAATGGCAGGGGGTCTGGATGACCCCTGGGGACTAACCCTGTATATCATTCAAACCATCTTACCATGACAAACCAAAATATATATGGTTTAGGGGTGGGGATCTTGACCACTTACAAGGTATTAGAACTTTCTTAAATGGCAGGGGGTGGGGGTGACCCCTAGGGACTAACCCTGTATTTCATTTAATGGGCTTTATCATTTAGAACATTTTCAATTAAAAAGATTGTGTTTATCACAAACGGTTTTCAATTTATAATCATTTGAAAATTTTAAAAAATAAAATCCCATAGGGTTCTATAGTAAAACCCTCTTTTCTTTTTGCCCCTCAAAGTACCCCTTTATAAACCCCATTGCACAAACAAAACCCTGATTGCACAACTAGACATGTTAGTCTAACATATTGTGAAACCCTAAGTTAAATCTGACAAGCGGTTTTGGAGAACGGGTGCGGACAAGTTCAAATTTAAAAGCGGCGGAAGAGGAAGAAGAAGAAGAAGAAGAATAATAATAATAATAAGAACTGAGCAAAAACAAAAAGTAATCTCAAACTTCGTTTGGGAGACTTAATAAAACTTATTTGAAAGAAACAGAAACAAACAACCATAATATCATATTTCTGAAACACCATTACAGTATCACAAGTGAGTGTATTCTTTTTGAAACAGGTATTTTTTAATGGAACTTTGTCCTGGAATTATCTTACAGTGTTCACTTTCAAGTACTGCTACACTTATACCCAAATTTCAACTGTTTCAACAGTTGGTGTTCATGAAAACAATTGATCAAATTGAATCTTTTTCAAATTTTTTTTTAAAACACATCCAAATAGAATAAAATGCTCCGCAGGGCACAGCTTGATACGACCGCAGAGGTCGAACCCTGAACAGTTGGGGCAAGTATGGACACAACATTCAAGCTTGATACAGCTCTGAATTTGGATTGTGATTAAATATTTGACACAGCATAGCTTTCTGACACAGAATGAATGTGGTCTAAGAACTTAAAAATTTTAAATTGGACATTCACCTATTATGGTCCAATATCCAAAATCTAAATACATGGTTAGATTCAGCATATCAAAGAACCCCAAGAATTCAATTTTTGATGAAATCAAACAAAGTTTAATTTTGGACCCTTTTGACCTCAATGTGGACAAAGTTGATAACGGGGCCCAAAAATCAAAAATCTAAATACATGGTTAGATTCAGCATATCAAAGAACCCCATATATTCAATTTTTGTTGAAATCAAATAAAGTTTAATTTTGGACCCCGATTTGGACCAACTTGAAAACTGGGCCCATAATCAATCAAAGCACTGTAAGCGCTGTAGGCAGTTAACCAAAAACCAAGGCAAACATAATTATGAAAACTGTGGCTATGTTGCTTCATTTTTTTTAAGATTTAAAAGAACAAACATTAAACATTCATATATTGTGCATTTATGTTCATTTAATGAATTAATTATTAAGGCAAATAATTCATATTTTATCAAGGTTTTCAAAAGCAACGCATATATCAAGTATATTTTTAATGGTCATGTGTCTGCAGTGGTACAAGTTCGAAATGATTGCAGTTGTTCTAGTTGATAGTTAACGTTGGTATTAGTTGACTGTTAGTAGTTCAAGTTGACTTAGTACGAGCTTGTAATAGTATGCATGGACTTGCTTCCCTGGAAAGAAAACTGAGTTTGCGTTCTACAGTGCAAAAGTTATGAGACACAAATCAGACAAATGTTTACTACTACGGGGATCAAAGGTGAGGTCTGACTGACCTGCCCATAGTAAATGTAAATGACCCCCGCCTTCACCCCAAGTCCATGATGTCTAAGTTTGGAATAAAATGACAAGTGATTATAATAAAGTTGGTCAAACACTCTTGGGCTTGAAAGATATGTTTTCTTTAAAATGAGCCATATTAAAATGAAATTTTTTATAGAACTAGAAATTATTCAAAACATAATTAAGGTAAATTCTTTAAACCTACTCATTTTTTGCACCAATAAAATTTTATAATAAACAAGAAATAATTGTAACAGAATGCTGTTACGAAGTCTCCCAAACAAAGCTGCCAAAATTATTCATTCCCATGGTCGCCTGACATTGGGCAAAGTCTAGTACACATTGATTAGGTCTAGTAAAGTGATATGCATATGTGATGCCTATGAGATTGACCTTGTATGTCATTCAAATCTGTTTGAAATGACGAACAGGAATGAATATGGTTTAGGAGTTGGTATCTCAAACTTTTACAAGTTCTTAAAACACACACAAGAGGGGATGGGGTGACCTTAGGGACTAACCCTATATTTCATTTGATTTTTTATGTTGTCCCATACATGAATATATATATGGTTTAGGGGTGGGGATCTCGACCGTTATCAAGTTTTCAAACAGGAGGGGGTGGGGTGACCCCAGAGACTTCCCCTATATTTCATTTGATTTGTTATATTGCCAAATACATGAGTATATATGGTTTAGGGGTGGGGATCTCATCTGTTTCCAAGTTATCAAACAGGAGGGGGTAGGGTGAACCTTAGGACTCTCCCTATATTTCATTTGATAAGTTCTGCTGTCCCATACATGAATATATATTGTTTAATTTAGAGGTCGGGATCTCGACTGTTTCCAAGTTCTCAAACAGGAGGGGTGGGGTGACTGCAGGGACTCCCCTATATTTCATTTGATTTGTTATATAGTCCCATACATGAGAATATATGGTTTCGGGGTGAGGATCTCGATCGTTTCCAAGTTCTCAAACAGGATGGTTTACAGTGACCATAGGAGCTGCCCCTATATTTCATTTGATTTGTTATATTGTCCCATACATGAATATATATGGTTTAGGGTGGGGATCTCGACCGTTTTCAAATTCTCAAACAGGAAGGGGTAGAGTGGCCCCAAGCACTCAACCTATATTTCATATGATTTGTTATATTGTCCCATACATGAATATATATGGTTAAGGGGTGGATCTCGACCGTTTCCAAGTTCTCAAACAGGAGGGGTGGGGTGACCCCCAAGGACTCCCCTATATTTCATTTCATTTGTTATATTGTCACATACATGAATATGTATGGTTTATGGGATCATTATTTTTTTGTATGCTCCAATGAACAAATTATGTCTTTAAGAGAAAGATATATACCTACATATTACACACAAAATCCTTCCCAATTGAAACTTACTGGTCTATTATCACACTGTAACGTGCCACTGCTAACAAAAGTGTGCATGTTTCTAAGACATATTGAAAAAATATTTTCATAATACAAAGCATGTTACAATAACTTCATATCCACGTTGCAATTAAGAATTTTGCAAACAAATCAACCAACTATGGTTTATTTCAATTTTATTGTATGATATCACTTATTTATTTATAGTGTGTCTTGCTTGTAAATGTATAAGTATATATGTAATTGTTAATGTATAATTGTTATCCTCTTGTAGCACCATACGTGTGCTTAAGTTTAAATAAATTGTCTTGTCTTGTCTTGGGATCTTGACCGTTTCCAAATTCTCAAACAGGAGGGTGGGGTGACCGCAGGGACTCCCTCTATATATCATTTGATTTATTATATTGTCCCATACATGAATATATTTGGTTTAGGGGTGGGGATCTCGACCATTTCAAAGTTCCCAAACAGGAGGGTTGGGGTGACCCCAGGGACTCCCCTGTATTTCATTTGATTAGTTATATTGTCCCATACATGAATATATATGGATTAGGGGTGGGGATCTCATCCGTTTCAAAGTTATCAAACAGGAGGGGGTAGAGTGACCCAAAGGATTCCACCTATATATCATATGATTTGCTTACATTCAGGTATCATAAAATCTAGTTGCACTATTTGCGAAAACAAAGTAAGAAACTTCCAGCTATGTTAACCTGAGACTACTATAACTACTGTGTTATAGTAGTCTCAGTGTTAACTGACCCTTCAAAATTGAGAAAAAAATTGCAGTAATATGTTTACACTTTAAAAGCATCTTACATGCATTATCAACATTTATCACTGATAAAGAAGATTTATACTGTCACCAGGAACATATATATTGTTAGATATACTGTTCCCAGCTGTCACATTGTATTGGATTTTGACATTAAAATTTGTCAAAAAGTAATTTTGAGTTTCTGTATCAAATATTTTTTGCTTTTTCTTTCTTTTACATATATCTTTTGGTTTCCATTTCTAGTGTTTATATTTATTTACCATGCATAGATGTATTTTGTCACCTGCCTGAAATTTTTTTTTGTAGTTGATCTCCAAAACCCGGAATTACCCTTATCCGCTTCCGGAATCGGACCCGATATTGTAATTGTCTACACGGCATCCATTGTTTTTCAATGTTGTTTTTGTCAGTCAGATACGATTTTACTCGAATTTACACATTACTTGTAGGCGATTATCTGTATAAAGCTAGCGGTTGAACAAAATGAACATCGCTGTCATGAATAATAAAGATGAAAATACGTTTTGAGATCGTTTATTTAGAGACTTTGGTAAAAAGGTTTGCAAAGTTATTTCTTAATTTTCTTTCAAGTGAAAGGTCCGTCGGGCGTAGCTAGTAACCAAGTCGAGAGTCCGATTGCAAAAGTGGAAGGTCGCGGACCTCGGACCACCGCTAATTTGAATCCCTGCCTCCAAATTGAAAAGATACGAAAATTTCGTCTTCTAATTTGAAATTGCCGCCAACAGCATGAACAGTGGAACTTATTAATAGACTACTGACGTAGTTGTAACACGTATTGACGACAAACAATATTCCTACGACTTTTGCCATTTGGGAAATCTAAACTACTTGTCTTTAAAGATTTTCGGCGATTAAATATTTCATACAATTGTTCTTTGACATCTTAGCCAAAAGCACAGGGGATAATAAACTACATAAGGATTCCTAATGTGCTCTACTTCCTATGTGCAACTTCAAAACTTTTGGGTGGTTCGACGATCATTTAAGGTTTTTTCTGGTCATATTTTTGTAATCCAGAATTAAAAGTATGAAAAAACTATTCAATTAGTTATAAATAACATTATATCCAGCTAGATAATAACAATGGCACGTATTTCAGCATTTATTGGGTAGAACACAAATCTAGGGTGCTCGCATAAGGCAGCTTAACTGCCTAAAAATCTAAAAATACATGTTTAGATTCAGCATATCAAAGAACCCTAAAAATTCAATTTTTGTTAAAATCAAACTAAGTTTAATTTTGGACCCTTTGGACCTTAATGTAGACCAATTTGAAAACGGAACCAAAAATTAAGAATCTAAATACACGGTTAGATTGGGCATATCAAACAACCCCAATAATTCAATTTTTGATGAAATCAAACAAAGTTAAATTTTGGATCCTTTGGACCTCAATGTGGACCAATTAAAAAACGGGTCCCAAAATCCAAAAACTTAATACACAGTTAGATTCAGCATATTAAAGAACCCCAAGAATTCAAGAATAAAACCCCATTGAAATTGATCAAGAAATAAGCAATTTATACGAAGTATCTTCTTTTGCACAATACTGTGCAATTGAATATTTCTTGATATTGCGCAATACTGTACAATTGAAAATTTCTTGCTATTGCGCAATATTGTGCTATTGGATATTTCTTGCTATTGCGCAATACTGTGCAATTGAAGATTTCTTGCTATTGCGCAATACTGTGCAATTGAAGATTTCTTGCTATTGTGCAATACTGTGCTATTGAAAATTTCTTGCTATTGCACAATACTTATTATATAATAATTTACACATCCTGTTTGGTGTGTATCTCCTACCATATCATTATTATTTGCTTTTAAATATAAATCAGAAATAACCAACTTAAAATGGAAAATTTTAAAAGAAAAAAAAAAGGAAAAAAAGAAAAGAAAAAAAATCCCCCCCCAAATTTTTTGAACCCCCTTATGATTCATCACCCCCAAACTCAATCCCAGCCTTCCCTTGTTGGTATGGTACCTTGCAGTACAATTTCAGAGAGATCCATACACTTGAACACAAGTTATTGTCTGGAAACTAGAAAAATGCTTATTTTTGGCCCCCAATTCCTAAACGTTTCGGGCAATTACCCCCAAACTCAATTCCAGCTTTCCCTTTGTGATATGGAACCTTGTAGAACAATTTCAGAAATATCCAAACACTTACACACAAGTTATTGTCATGAAACTAGAAAAATGCTTGTTTTTTGTCCCTTTTTTGGCCCCTTATTCCTAAAATTTGGAGGCAATTACCCCCAAAATCAATTACAGCCTTCCCTTTGTGATATGGAACCTTGTGGTACAATGTCAGAGAGATCCATACACTTACACACAAGTTATTGTCTGGAAGTTACAAAAATGCTTATTTTTGGCCCCTTTTTGGCCCCTAATTCCTTAACTGTTGGTACCATAACCCCCAAAATCAATCCCAGCCTTCCTTTCGTGGTATTGAACCTTATGGTAAAATTTCATGGAGATCCATTCACTTAAACTAAAGTTAGAGTGTGAAAACCAATGTGTCTTCGGACGACGCCAGACGACGACGACGACGACGACGACTACGTCATACCAATATACAACCAAAAAAATTTTAATTTTTGCGGTCGTATAAAAATTAAAATGGCCTAAGTGTCCATATGGCTCAAAAGTTAAATGCAGCACCACCAAAATAACCCAAAAATATGTTTGTACAAAATTTATTGTACCCTTTATTCCCTCTGAAATGTGCCCAGCCCTTTCAATTTCTAGCACTGAGATATGCCTCCATCTTACATTGTACAAAGTCAGGAAATACATTTTGGTTCATTTCCTAAATACAAAAAAGATATCAATGTGGTGTTTTGCCATTTTTCTTTGAAATATTCATTTGTCACCTTAAAATTTTAGAGAATGAATGAATGTTTACAATATATGTCAACTTACCTCTTTCAGTTCTTGGTGTTTCATCCCATCTGTTTCTTCTAGCACTAGGTGTGGTGTTATGTCCAGGGGTACTGTCTCCACGACCTGGGGTGGTGGCACCTGGCGTAGCATGACCAGGTGTAGTGTCCCAAACTCTGGTACTCTGTCCAGGTGTTGCACCTGGGGTATCTGAACCTTTGGGCCTTCCAGGAGTTTCATCCCATCTTGTGTTAGATGGTGTGGCAGCCTCTTCCCAGCCACTCTTGCTTTTCTTGGCTGGAGTATCATCAGCAGACTGATCCCATCTTCTCTTCTTTTTCTCTGCCTGTGCTGCTGCTTGTTGGACTTTCTGTGATGAAGCATCACCTGCAGATCCATTAACAGCTTTCAGTCCTCCATCTTTGGCCTTTTCTTGCATTTGTTTCTCCAGAAGTTTCTACAAATTATAAATTCAAACTTAGAAAACTAATGCTCTTAATTTTAAAAAAAGTATCTGTTTTGTGATGTTCAATTAAAACAATTTGTACTTTTCCTGTTGATTTGAAAAAAAAAAATTGGAATGAAACTTTTTAAAACATAATAATTAAATGGACATATGACCAATTTCCTTAATTTCAAATTTTCTTCCATCTGTCTTTGTCATAAGCTTTTCTTCCTCGGGTAGAAGTGTTGGAAACCTAGCAAATTACTTCTACATCAGTTGTCAAATTATCTGACATTTTCCAGGTAAATGGAACCAACCCTGTCGAAAACTTTTGCAATTAACAATTTTAAAATAGCTCATACAATTTTTGAAACAAAAGCCAAAATTTCTAAAATTTTTAAAGTAGACATAGTAGCTTGTCATGCTTAACCTTGTTTATGCCACATTTTTACAGCAAGATGGTACTGAGAATAAAATCGTGTGTTACTCCTGATTGTATGATACAGTTTTGGAATTATTTCTAATTGAAAGCTTATCCATTTAGGTTTAAAAAATCCAGAAAACTAGATTTATATTTCACAAAGTGTAGAAAACATAATCAATTTATTTAGGAAAGAGCCTGTAAAAAATTGCCTTTCCAATTGACTGAAAAAATTAGACATTTTTTTTCAACTGCATTTTAGATTAACTTTAGCCACATGACTTTATATTTTGTTTCAGATGTAATACAACACCGACATTTCTCGTAACTGAAACTGCTACCCATTTCTTCTAGTTTGTGTATTCTTCAAGAAATAGAATATGGATCACGACTGATAATCTATGGAAAATATATATTACAAATAATTACTCTCTTGTAACAAGAACACTTGTCCAAAGATAAAGCAGACTTTGATTTCAATCCATTGAAAAGTTTGAGAGAAGATTTTTAAATGAAGAGTTTACGGACAGCAGACGACAGTAGGACAGAGGCAAAGTGATGGCAATAGCTGTCATGGTTCTAAATGGCAGGTCAGCTGAAAAGAAATTTGTCTATCAGGACCATTACTGGCCTTAAAAAGGGACAATTAACATAAACTGTTTCAATATTAATCCCTAAATCATCATTACCTTTTCTCTATCCAACTGTTGACTGACCATGACTTTAGAGAATGTTCTAGCGTTCATATCTGGAGTTTTCCCACCTGTAAAATATAAAAAGAAATGTCACGACATGAGCCGTGACATACAACAAATTAGTAAAATAAATTAGTTATTCAAGTTAAGTATTTTAAACTTACGTTTTCACTTAAGAGAGTCACAAAAATATCTTAAACACAGTGACAAAATGAACAACCTATAACTTGTTTCAAACCAGGTATCTTAATATTTAACTAACAAAAAAAAAACAATGAGAAATCTGAATATTTTCTAAACAATTATTAAGTCTGGAAAGACTGACGACACCCTAAATACCACCCACATAATTTTATGGGTAATTTGCTTGTCACCTATTGTTATAATCTAACCCCAAAAGTTGTAGGCTGTTCAGGTACTGCAATGATAACAGATACTTATTGATATGAAACTTAGCAAAAGTGAAGTTAGCAACTTATATATTACTATACTTTTCATATGAAATGACATAAAATAAAACTAACAAAAACATAAAATGATGAAAGTACATAACTTTGATAACATTTTGCAACTGATTTCCTTATAAATTTCACCTTATTAAAACTATAAAGTCTCTTATTAAAAAAATTTCAGATTGTCAAATCTTGGTAATGAATGTTTTTTAGTATTTATCCTTGAAAATAAGTCTGATTTCTGACATCACAAACTAAACTTAATAAACAAATTATGATGACAAAAAATTATAGTGCAAAATAAAAATATTTGAAAATAAATCTTTATAAATTTTTGACAGTTGACTTCATAAAAAATATTTTTTAAAATACGGCATTTTATATAAAATATATAGTAATATTTCAATTATTAACCATGTTAACTAAATCCTTTAAATTTTGGTTTGCAATTCATCGTGTTTTTTCATGTTATCATTACAGCAATATTTGTCAGGTGCAGATTCAGATTACACATTTTAGCCTTTTTCTACTCATACGTACGCTTTACATCTTCTTAGTTCAATCACCATGGAAACCTGCTTCCAATAAGCCTAAAATTAGTCTCATATTAATATAGTATGACTTTCTAACACACAATATGTACACACAATTTTGGGCTTTCTCTTAAAATAAAAAAATAGGACATGTGCAGTTTGTTTTCCTTATCAGTCCCTAATTCTACAAAACAAATTCTTTTAGTTCAAAACCATATAACATGTATAACTTACATGATTTTTTTTTTCAGAATTGAGTGTAAAAAAATTAAGTAGAAAACTATCCAGATTATTCAAATTAGGAAGGTTTCGTTATCTCATTTCTTATTAAATTTTATCAAAGATCTTTTATAAAAAAAAAAAATAGAATTTTGAATGTTAAATCATTAAGATTATGTTGAATTGTATAACTTGAGGTGTAACAACCTCATTTTAACATGGATGTCTGTGAACAGGCAGCTCCACACTGATTCTCTGGCGCTAGAAAGGAAAGATAACTTAGATTAGAATCTTTTCGACTCTTGTAACTTACAGATAACTATTGTGTGTTACAGAAATATGTCATGTATCAACAAACAATTGTATAACATAATCATGTCAATGTCATATTACAGTAAGGGAGGGTTTTTCTTCAGGGGGATAGAAGTAGAAACAATAATCAATTCTTTCGTAAACAATAAAATGAACTAGGAAAAAATCCTGAAAGATTGCTTCCTCTACTCCTTAGGTACTGTCAGTGTGATAGAGAATAATTCAAAATAAATCTTTTAAAGATCAATTCACTATTATTTTGGAAACAGATGAACCAGGTAAAGAAAACTTGAATACAGCCCCTTTCCTTTCTTTTATATAATCACTACCCTCATGACACTAGACAAATGACAGTCAAAGGGATCTTTTTGGAAGGTTTATTTTTAAACTCTCATAATCTATTTTATAAAATCCATTTTGCTATTAAGATATATCTAAGGGACATAAGATATACCCAGAGCAGATACATTTTTTTTTAAAGACTTTACAGTTAATTAAGTAACATAGAAATGTAATTTTCTTAATTCTCACTACTTTTTTTATCATCATAGCACATATTATGTGATGATTCAGTTGAAAGGCAATGTTTCTGCCTGTTGTAGGATTATCAAACTCTTTTACTGCAAATTATCGATATACTTCCAATGAAACTGAAATATGCTGATAAATCAATTGGACATATACTAAACGGAAATATACGTCCAACACCAGAAATTGATCATTTCTTTAAGTAAAACAAATTTCTGATATCTTGTTACTATGTTTTACAGAAAATTAACAAAAACCTTTAAAACCTTTTTTAAAGTGATCCTTACATGTACATCTTAATACCACATTAAACAAATAATTAGGATAATGTGCAAGAATATCCTTGCCTCAGTTAACAAGATAATACCTTTCACAAAGTGTTGACAATTCTAAGCATGCACATAAGTATAAACAACTGATATTGATTTTATAAAAAAAAAGGAAAGAAACCAACATTCCAATTGTAAGTGCTTCTACTAAAAAGGTGCATTGTTTTATATTTCTTCTTTTTGAATTTTCAAAATAAAACTTTATTTTCTGAATTAAAATTCCATAAAAAAATAAAAATTGAAGTATGAAATGTATAAATTCAAAAAATATCCTTTCTATGAATAATAATTTTTTTTAGGATTGTTGGTTCATTCTATTCAAATTATCATAGCAAATATGTCCAGTAATTTTTCCAGATAGCATTTACAACAAATCACCTATGAACTAGTTCATTTTGAAACTTTTTAATTCTAAAAAATTGGTATTTTTGATATATTATATATGTAGCCATCTTTTTAATTCATACAACCAAAACTTTCCATAATGAACATGATGAAGTTCATGTGTTATCTTATGTAAATGCTTGATAACCCTAACATTATTAATATAGCAGTGATATAGAAAGACACGCACCGTCAGCAAAAGGATCATAACGTGGAGGAGAGATAATTCTTTGTCGCATCCTAGCTCGATATTCTCCTTCTCTATCTGCAATCTTAGGGGCACGGTGTTCCGCCATAGGATCAAAGTCCTGAAAGTAAAGATAAACTTGTTTTAAAATGTAATTTTTAATGTGTATAGTAAAAAAATAACAGAACTCAAATGTACATACTATAAAGGTGCATAATTTTCATAAATTTTGTGTTTATATATCATTTAATATGCAGTGAATGTGATAATATACCATTAATAATCCTATTGCTTAATGTTTTCTTCAATATAAATGAATAATCGGTAGAAATGCTATTTCACCTCTTCAACTTTATCAGATGTGGGGTTTACAAAATAATAAACATTTGACTCAAATTCATCCATTATTGAAATACAATACACTGTTGTTTATTTCAAAAGTACAATAAGAATATCTATTCATATGAGAAAGTCCTAACTATGGACTGTACTATAAACTAGGGTGTCTTTTTGTCTTCTCTGTGCTTCCTATGTGGCAATAGTATTTTTGAAATTTTTACCTTATCATTAACTGTGTCATTTAGAAAATTTAATGGAGCTGTATATGAAGAGCCTCGCTTTGGATATCCTGCACCAATATCATCATCATCCTGCAAATACAAAAAGTATAATAAGACAACTTTCAAGTAGAGAAAATCAAACTGCTATTAAAAAGTTACACACTTTTAGCTCCTTGACATCATAAAATTAATTTGATATCTGCTTAGGAAAATTCTACCTTAATCCTTTTAAAATTATGCACACGAACATCCATACAAAGCTGTACATTCATCAATTTGTTTAATAAAAAGTACTTGTTGTTTAAAAGCTCTAAAACGTTTACTTATAAAAACCATATAACCAACTTTTAATAAAACTGTTTTATATTCAAACATTTTGAAGAAAAACATATTACTTACATCTAATTCTTCATTTGGAGCAATTGATGTGACATATCCTTCAAACTTCCCATGTGCACTGTAAATATCTGTATCATAATGACCTTCTGCTCCCAAACCAACTTTATTTGTCTCTTCTTCTTCTCCTCCATCCTGTAGCTTCTTTTTCTTTTGTTGAAGATTTCTGACTTGTTCCTCAATTTCTGAAATAAATGTCACAATTTTATTTTTAATATTTTGTATCTTAACTCGACAGTTAAAACTTGAGCAGGGTTCTCAATTGATATTTTCAGGGGGATTTCTGGGACTTATCACTTTTTATTTGAATATTAAATAAAATGCTCCGCAGGGCGCAGCTTGATACGACCGCAGAGGTCGAACCCTGAACAGTTGGGGCAAGTATGGACACAACATTCAAGCTTGATACAGCTCTGAATTTGGATTGTGATTAAATATTTGACACAGCATAGGTTTCTGACACAGAATGAATGTGGTCTAAGAACTTAAAAATTTTAAATTGGACATTCACCTATTATGGTCCAATATCCAAAATCTAAATACATGGTTAGATTCAGCATATCAAAGAACCCCAAGAATTCAATTTTTGATGAAATCAAACAAAGTTTAATTTTGGACCCTTTTGACCTCAATGTGGACAAAGTTGATATCGGGCCCAAAAATCAAAAATCTAAATACATGGTTAGATTCAGCATATCAAAGAACCCCATATATTCAATTTTTGTTGAAATCAAACAAAGTTTAATTTTGGACCAGATTTGGACCAACTTGAAAACTGGGCCCATAATCAAAAATCTAAATACATGTTTAGATTCAGCATATCAAAGAACCCTAAAAATTCAATTTTTGTTAAAATCAAACTAAGTTTAAATTTGGACCCTTTGGACCTTAATGTAGACCAATTTGAAAATGGAACCAAAAATTAAGAATCTAAATACACGGTTAGATTCGGCATATCAAAGAACCCCAATAATTCAATTTTTGATGAAATCAAACAAAGTTTAATTTTGGACCCTTTGGACCTCAATGTGGACCAATTTAAAAAACGGGGCCCAAATACAAAAACTAAATACACGGTTAGATTCAGCATATTAAAGAACCCCAAGTATTCAAGAATAAAACCCCATTGAAATTGATCAAGAAATAAGCAATTTATACGAAGTATCTTCTTTTGCACAATACTGTGCAATTGAATATTTCTTGCTATTGCGCAATACTGTACAATTGACAATTTCTTGCTATTGCGCAATATTGTGCTATTTGGATATTTCTTGCTATTGCGCAATACTGTGCAATTGAAGATTTCTTGCTATTGCGCAATACTGTGCAATTGAAGATTTCTTGCTATTGTGCAATACTGTGCAATTGAAAATTTCTTGCTATTGCACAATACTTATTATATAATAATTTACACATCCTGTTTGGTGTGTATCTCCTACCATATCATTATTATATGCTTTTAAATATAAATCAGAAATAACCAACTTAAAATGGAAAATTTTAAAAGAAAAAAAATAAACTGCTTCGCTGAGCGCAGCTGGATACGCCCGCAGAGGTCCAACCCTGAACAGTTGGGGCAAAAATGGATACAATATTCAAGCTTGATACAGGTCTGAATTTGGATTGTAATTAAATATTTGACATATTACAGGTTTTTGAATAAATGTAGTCAAAGAACTTGAAATTGGTTATATGAATTGAATTTATATTCAATTAAAGATTTCTTGCTGTTGTGCAATACACTGTGCTGTTGCGCAATACTTAGTAAATCTGTTGTCAGACTATAAACAAATAAAGTTCAATTAATTCTCAATGTCATATTAGAAATTTATGAAAATCAAAAGGGAGCTTACATCAATAGATATAAACAATTCACCAAAGTTTCATGCGAATTGCTGACAGCATTTTTGAGTTATTGTCCGAAAACTGGAAAATCCCCCCTTTTTTAATGAATAAAACCCCATAACTCAGAAATGTAAAATGTAAAATTTATAAAATTCTAAAGGGAGCTTACTTAAATAGATATAAACAATTCACCATAGTTTCATAAGAACTGCTGTAAGCATTTTTGAGTTTTTGTCAGAAAACTGGAAAATCCCCCTTTTTTATGAATAAAACCCTGTAACTTGGAAACGTAAAATCTAAAATTTATAAAAATTCAAAGGGAGCTCATGTCAATAGATATAAACAATTCACCACAATTTCTTGAAAGTTGGTGAAAGCATTCTTGAGTTATTGTCCGAAAACTGGAAAATCCCCCTTTTTTTAATGAATAAAACCCCATAAGTCAGAAACATAAAATTTTAAATTTATAAAAAACGAAAGGGAGCTCACGTCAATAGATATAAACAATTCACCAAAGTTTTATGCAAATTGGTTAAAGCGTTTTTGAGTTAGTGTCCGACATGTTGACGACGGACAGACAGACGGACGGACGGACAGACGGACAGAGGTATACCATAATACGTCCCGTAAACGGGCGTATAAAAAGGAAAAAAAGAAAAATCCCCACCCCCAAATGATTCATCACCCCCAAACTCAATCCCAGCCTTCCCTTTGTGGTATGGTACCTTGCAGTACAATTTCAGAGAGATCCATACACTTGAACACAAGTTATTGTCTGGAAACTAGAAAAGTGCTTATTTTTGGCCCCTTTTTGGCCCCCAATTCCTAAACATTTCGGGCAATTACCCCCAAACTCAATTCCAGCTTTCCCTTTGTGATATGGAACCTTGTAGTACAATTTCAGAAATATCCAAACACTTACACACAAGTTATAGTCATGAAACTAGAAAAATGCTTGTTTTTTGCCCCTTTTTTGGTCCCTAATTCCTAAAATTTTGAGGCAATTACCCCCAAAATCAATTACAGCCTTCTCTTTGTGATATGGAACCTTGTGGTACAATGTCAGAGAGATCCATACAGTTACACACAAGTTATTGTCTGGAAGTTACAAAAAAGCTTATTTTTGGCCCCTTATTCCTTAACTGTTGGTACCATAACCCCCAAAATCAATCCCAACTTTCCTTTCGTGGTATTGAACCTTATGGTAAAATTTCATGGAGATCCATTCACTTAAACTAAAGTTAGAGTGCGAAAACCAATGTGTCTTCGGACAACGCCGGAGCCAACGTCATACCAATATACGACCAAAAAATTTTTAATTTTTGCGGTCGTATAAAAATGAGTCTAAGAGACAAATGCAATTTAACATACAGTTCAGCTTTTATATTAATAGACTAAATTGCAATTAAATAAAACTGAATTTTCAACTAGGAGAAACTAGGTCATGAGGAACAATTACCTAAAATAAACCCGAGCAGACAGGTAATTTACAATGACATATCCCTCAAATTTACTAAATTCTTTTAAAGATAAGATTTTGTTTTGAAATTTGGTTGTCCTTGTAGAATTCCTATTACAAATGGAATATCACATCCTCATGATTACAATTATATGGATTATAGAGCCAAATATTTAGGTACATCTGAAAAAACTTATTCTTGGAAGTTGTCAATTTACACAGTAGTAAGATCTTTGAGAACCGTTTTTATTTGTACTGCAATGTAAAATGAGTTTTTCATAAATAACATAACTAACAAGTGAATCTGTGAGCTACTGTTCACTAATGATACCCCCGCCCCACTAAAAGTATAAGATAAACAGGAAGTTGTTGAGTGATGAATCTGAAAACACATCACACGGTATAGCTGACTCATATAAACCCTGAAACCAAATTTCAGAAATCCTTGTAATGTAGTTCCTGAGAAAGATGTGATGAAAAATATTCATGGGACGGACGGATGGACTGAAGGACAGACAGAGGTAAAACAGTATACCCCCACTTTTTTAAAGTGGGGGTTTAATTATGTATTGCTACACAGTCATGCTTTTCTCAGACTGGTAAAGATGTCTTTGCACTAAATCTGTTGGATGTGTACTGATTAATAGTTAATTCTGTGAGAACATGATTTATTTATTACTTGAAATTTGCTTTGAACTAACTTTCAG